CGAGCGCTGAAAATAAGACTCTGCAAGAGTGCGGGAGACTTCTCGCCCAGGGCCACACGGCGCACAGCGACTGATAGCCGGTAAAGCTCTAGGATGCTGGATCGGGTGAACTGGGACTCTCGGCCGGTCAGCTCCAGCTGCGCGAAGAGAACTGAACTGGGCAAGGCGCTCTTGAAGACCGGCGTAAAGGCAAATTCACGGTTGGGGGTGGTCATCGGGGACGAAAGCAGATGCGCGAACCAGTAGCGCGAAGTATATTCCAGGAGGATGTATGATTCGAAGAGAACGTCGCGCTGCTGCACTGGCATTTTGTCCATGGATATTGCCACCTCTTCCTGGACACAGATACGGGTCCAGGCCAAGGATCGCGTGAGGAGATCATAGTGCGCTTCCTCGAGGCTGAAGGGAAATCCTTCATTGTCCGAGTAGTTGCTGTCCGCGGACATGGCGCGTTGCCGGAGGTTTTCACGAATCATAGAATGGCGGAATGCCACGAATCCATCACGGACCATGACCAGACGGCCCAGGGGTTTGAATATGTTTCGTTCGGCCCCGGCAGGACGCGCCGTTCGCTTGAGACTCTCCGCGTCCACTGAAAGCAGCTCTTCAACCTCCTTGATGCGCAGAGGACGCTCAGACGCCACCAGCCAGGCAAGGAGACAGCGGACGTCAGGCCGTGCGATGTCAGTGGTGCTTAGATGGTTGCCAATCAGCTCGCTGACGTCGCCTGGTGCTTGCTGGGTTGCAGTCATCATGCCCTTGAAGGTCGACTCATGTTTCGTAGATTCGAGAGTGAGCTGCGCCCAAACGAAGCATCCCTGAGCGCGGGCCACGATGCTTTGGGCCATCGTGTCAATCTGATCGTCTGCTAGCCCGTAGAATTGGCCGTCTGACTTGATGGCATCGGTAACAGCCGCAAGCAGGTCGGAGTTAGTCAATGCGGGGTTCAGCGAGAGCTGTTGAGTGCTCTTCCCCAGCTGCTGCTGCGCTGGAAGCTCTCTGGAGAAGATGATAAGCTTCGATGATGTGCCGGAGATAGAACCTTGTAGGCGCGCAAGGAACCCAGCCATGGTGGCTTTGGCATTCTTGATCTGATCAAGGCCGTCCAGGACGATGATGAAGTGCATGTGTGACTGCATTGCCGTTCTCATGGCGGACCAGAGCACATCCTCCACCTGGGTGTCTGTCGCACCAGTTGAGGCCAAGTTCGCAGCCTGTCGAACCGATGATAGAATACCCTCTTGGGTCTTCCATGAGCTGACACATCGGTCCAGCATCTGCAGGAGAATGCCTTTGAGGATGGTAAGGGTCAACGTTGTGATAGGCACATCCTCCCGCACCCAGCAGGGAATGACATTCCAGATGTCATACTCGGATGAGACCTGCAGCCGCTCAACCGTCCATTGCGCCAGCGCACTTTTTCCTGCTCCAGGACTGCCCGTTATTACCATCATCTCACGGTTATTGAGAGTGAAAGTCGTGAGGTGCGGGTCAAACCACGCAAATGAGCCATCCGCGAGGGAGTGGTTGTGTCCTTCGAGGATCATCTGCAGTGGACGATCCTGCAGATCAAGGAACTGATAGATGGCAGCCACATCGGTCGCCGTTCTCTTGGATAATGCGAGCTCCGACAGTTTCCGCCAATTGGTGTTGAAACTGTTGTGGAACTGGAAAAACGCTGCATCGACGTGTTCACCCATCATCAGCCAGTCCAAAGAGCGCGAGGCGTCATAGTACTCCATGGTAACGTGTAGGACCAGCTGCAGCAAACTGGCGTACGTCTTGGCCACCTCGTTCTGCAACGAAGCGGATTCTCTAAAGACGCTCTCCTGCTGTAGCAAGAGAGAAATCTGAAGCGTGACTCGCCCATAGCGACTAAAAATGGTATCCAGGATATCCACATGCTCGATGCCCATCTGGAATTTTGTCAGCTTTAGTCCGAAGACCTGGATGTGTCTTACCTCTAGGAGCAGCAGAAGGCCACCCCAGACCAATTTAGTGGCTTCGTCCGCCCCGTCCATAAAAGAAACAACAGCGTCGCGTAACGAGGCCACGGCAAAGGCGAGGCTGGATGCGCGTCGAAGAGCACCGTCGAGCCGGCTTCCGTCTGCCGGCATGTGACTCAAACGTTCCGCAGCGATCGCGTCAAAGAAAGCATCGATAGTCGGGGCTTTGGCCTGGATAGCACTGGCAGACATGCTCAGACGTGGCTCGCACTCCCGGGAAACGGTTTCAACCATTTCCCGGAGCACGGAGAGCTGGCCAGGGCTCCCTCGAGCATTGTGCGCTCTGGCTCGAATTGGAACCATATCACGGGTATGCAATTATGTCCAATGTATAGTACAGTAGTGCCGGAAGAGATTCGTTTTACATCTTTTATGCAGGCGTCGAGTAAGACGAGTCCACCACCGATAGGCTAGTATTATATCGCTGCGTGAAAGAGACCAGGCTCACTGCAATCCTGACATCATGGCGGCTCGAAAAGCAAGCAAGCTTGAGGGGATACCGAGATAACCGTATTTCGCTATCCCGGTGTCATGCCATCATATCAATAGAGGACCCGTGGATCCGTGACAGATCGACCTTGGCTCCTGTGAAGTCAATCGGCACAGTCAGGATTCTCTATGGCCCGCCGTAATTTGCGCCTTCAGCAACTCGCAAACGCATAGACGCGTTAATATAGATCGCTCTTCAGCCTTGTGGACGGTATTTCTTTCATTTGGAGCTGAAAATAATGATACATCGAACGGACGTTCTGCAACTCTTGTGACAGGATGAGCGCGCTGAGATGAGGTTTCTTTGGCGATGCAAATAAGCTCGGCCCCACAAAGAGAGAGTCATGGTGTCATCCCCGCCCATTATGTTGGGGACTTGGAACAGGGTTATTCATTCGTCTCCGTAAGTTCCGAGTCGCCATGGATTAAGAATATTGTCCTTGTCTTGTCTTCTGGGAGAGCCGTTTATGTCCTACCCGGTGACATCAATGCCGCTGGACTAGGAGATGAGAATATGGAGTGATCTCTCCCACGATAGGTGCAACCTCCAAGTCAAACATCAATTAGAATTGAAAAGACATGCCTAGGAGAATATTTTTAGACGACAGACATGTCTTGTGAAAAATAAAAGACGGTCATCCCAAGTTGCGATCCGTCCAGAACTTGAGTGTTAGCTAGAAATGGAGCTCAATGCTCAAAACAACTACACAGAGCAGGCTGAAGGATATGTGTTTTAGCACTAACATCCAGATTTTCATGACGACGAAGTAACAATGTCATGAGCAGGGCTGTATTAGCCAGGAAGCTGCTGTATGACCGAGATGAGGTTGTTACAGTGTGGCCTGATGCCTGCCTTGATCTACAACAGCTGGTAAGAACACGGGAAATGGACCAGCCAAGGTCAAGCTGTGAACAGCAGACGCTCCTCACTGGTAATCAGTGGCTTTCTCACTCTAAACGCTACTAGGATGATGGCGCCTAATCGATGGTAAGCGTCCTGTTCCAGGTGTTGGTACCCAGGCTCGACCGTGGGGTCACAACAGCAGTTGTACGAAGCAAGCTCAAGATTGAGAAATGCCTCATTAAAAGCAAAAAGGTCACAAAAGGCTATGTCGTGCGTAATCACTGGCTTGGCGCGCCTGAGGAATGTACGAACAATGCAAATGGGTTAGATATCCTAGAACATTTGGACCTGCAATGACCTCCGGCTTAACGATCCAACCAGCTAGAGACGCTAAATTAGGAATGTAGCATTTGGATCACACTTAGTGTGCTCATCATATCTCTAACTTACTGTGTATGTGGATATCTTCGTCCCTATCTTTATGAAATGCGAACTGATATCTCGTGGTGTGAAACCGAGCGTTGGTGGATGACTGCCTTCAATTATTTAAGGTCGATTCATCACTCGCCTCATCCGAACTCGTTGGAAAGCCACTGACGCGAAACCTTCATCATTTGCCTCCAGAGTAGTGGCATCTGACCTTCTCTATCCTTGTTGTTCGTCGTACCTGTATAACGCCGCGTCAGCCTGCGGTGGCCACGTTCAGAACCCATGCTTTGAATTAGAGAATGAAGAATTCAATGTTCCTGGAATTTACATTTCTCATTACGGCCATCACTATTATGTCTCTGAAATAAAGTTCATGGCTGGGCTAAGCTTCTCACCCGCTCCTCATGGCGTTGAAGTTGGACGTGATATCACTGCAGCATTCTTCCACAAAAGCATCGTGAGGCTCTTGCATCTTTTGGATATTTTTAAGTCTCTGATCAAGATGACTGACATTGATGGCACATGTGGGAGTGGACGCGCTCTCATGATAATATACCGCGGGATTTGTAAACGTGGATAGTTTGGCCAAACATCCCTTGGACAGTCCACATTCCTCACTAGAATTGGTGGAATAATCTCGTCCTCCTGTTATTTTGAATGCTTTGACGTCATAAATGGTCTACACAGAGCAATCAGTTTGCAGTATGACTTTCCTCTATCAGTGCACGGGATTCGCAGCTGACAGTGGTGGGCCAATGGATATCAACATACGCGGCAAGAATCTCAGTGGATACCGCAAGGATTGTATCGTGACAATATCTTGACAATAAGGTTGACAGCATCTTGAAAAAGGACAATATGAGGCAATGGTTCTATACAATCAATCCATCTTCCATCGTCATGGGAGAATAGCCTGGTGCAATTGTACACGCGGCCTTACTCTTGCCACAACTTACATGGACAGTAACAAGAGATCTACCGTTGAATCAAGGCAATGGACTCAAGGTCGGCAGATACAGATTCATTGTATTCTCAGATTGTCCTTGCACACAGATCGTCCATCGATTGCGAATCCATTCCTCGGGCCACGAAGATCTCCAATGCCATCATCGCACTGTTCCGCGTAGATCTCATCGACTATATATATTGCATATGCATCCACTATATCCAAAACATGTGCCCGAAAGGTGGATTCATTGACAGGGTTGTCCATCGGTGCAAAGATATGAAACATGGCCTTCTCTTGCACAATAAAACCAACCGATTCATTCGAATGCGAGCATGTGGAGATACCAGAGCCAGAGAAGAGAGATCTTCGGCGAGTCTGCGATGACATCTCACTGGATATTTTTCTCGTGGCCATAGTGGAGTTGGCTGAGCGTTTTACGTATCGTTCCATCACAGCGCCAATGCGTGAGTTCTATCAATAGTGCTTTGGACAGAATCTTGCTGACGGGTATAGAAAACTACATACAGCATGGTCGTGATGATGTACTTCACCACGGTGCCCTTGGATTGGTACTATTTTAGCCTCCTTATTTCTCTGCAAATAAGCTGACAGAAGTAGGGCCAAAAAGTAGCAACTGGGATTAGTTACTTCTTTGTGGGATGGTGCTACCTGGCGCCGATCTTCGGGGCTGTTGTTGCGGACAGCTACCTAGGTCGATTCAAGACCATCTTCCTCGGGACGGGGTACATTCCTTCTACCCCTCGCTTCTCGAATGCAACTAAACATGTATAGACTCTCCGTGTGCGGTGTCTCGGTTTTGTTCGTCACATCGCTACCGCCAAGTCTCGAGCATGGAGTTGGCTTACCAGGGTTAATGCTTGCATTGATATTGATTGGATTGGGGTATGTCTTGCAACGGAACTTTCGGAGATACCGCATATGTTAACGGCATCAGATGCGGTGGTATCAAAAGCAATGTCGGCCCCTAATTGCTGAGCAGTACTCAATGCGCACAGAACGAGTCAAAACACTGCAAAGTGGAGAGATGGTCATTGTGGATCCCAATATTACAGTTCAGACGGTCTATGCACGATACTACTGGTGAGTCTTGAGGATTATAAAGGCGTGTCAGATACTAATATACTTCAAGGGTCATAAACATTGGAGCTCTGTCGATCATCCCCGCTTCAGTTCGTCCACCTCTCGCTTCGTCAGGTCATTGCTAACGGTAATAGTGGCTGGAGCTCAAGGTCGACTTCTGGGCAGCCTTTATGATGCCGCTCTGCCTGTGGTTATTGGCCATTGTCGCCTTAGTGGCTGGCCGTAAGAAATATGGTAAGAGAAGGTGCCTTTTCCCTTGAAGAAAATGACTAAATCATGATAGTGGTCCAGCAACCGCACGGCTCGGCCGTTACCAAGGCCATTCGGGTGTTGTGGATTAGCCTGAAGAACAACTGCAACATGGATGCAGCAAGGCCCTTCGCAATGGAGGCCACTGGTGCGCATGTATGCTGGGACGACACGTTTGTGGATGAATTGAAACGAGCACTTGTTGCCTGTCGTGTGTTGTAAGTACAGTCGAAGCCTTAACCAGACTAGCACTGCTAACGTTATGCCAGTCTGCTATAGTATGTTGGCACTCTCCTCGGCCCATCTGATAAAGCTGACTTTGTAGCCCCATTTTCTGGTTATGCAATGGCCAGGCCAACAACAACCTCGTGAGTCAGGCATCGTCTCTCAAGACATACGGGATGCCGCACGATATGAGTATGTGCTCATCTAGCTTGTTATCGAGCGACTTCTAACCTTTATAGTGGGACTATTCAACCCCCTCACCATTCTGATTGCAGTTCCCCTATTGTATGTTGCTTCCATTCATTCGACATCATCCAATACTGAAAGAACAGTGAACGTCTCATCAACCCTGCCCTCCGACGCTTCGGTATCCCTTTCAAACCCATAAGTCGCATGACTACCGGCTTCGTCGCCATAGCATTTGCCATTGCAATTGCTGCTATCATCCAACAATGTACGTCTCTTCTCGAGCCCTCGAATACCTTTCTAATGCCAGAGTGCAGTAATATATCAATCACCACCGTCTCACGTTAGCATCCTCCTCCAGGTCCCTGTCTACGCACTCATAGGGCTCTCCGAGTTCTTCGCCAGTCTGTCAGGCATGGAATACGCTTACACCAAAGCTCCGAGATCAATGCGAAGCATAGTCTCCGCTCTCTTCCTTCTGACCTGCACGATCGGGTCAACGGTTGGAATCACGCTGTCGTCTGTATCCGTTGATCCAAAGGTGCTGGTGGAGTATGCGTGCCTCAGCATCACCATGTTTGCCACAGCTGTCGTGTTCTACTTTTGCTTCCGCAAATACAACCAGATGGAGGAGAGCATGAACATGATCGGGGAGACAAGCAAGGAGGGATCGAGGAAATCGTCAGTAGAGGATATCCATGATTTGTGTCAGTTGGAAAAGCAGTGATGTAGTATATAGCGATTGTCTATGCTTTTTGTTAATGCGATATGATGACCATAGGTTGGGATCTGGAGATAAATAGACTGCTTTAGTACGCGAGAATGTATAGATATATTAGTAATACTAACCCTTATCCCAAAACTTTACATTTTCTAACATTCAAACAGTCCAGGCATCCTCTAATTGGTGGATATCCAACGGCGGACAAGGCTTGGATTGTGATCGTAGGGTTCAGAGAGAATGTCAGGTGTTTGGCCACGACTGCCACCATGTCGCTTTCTGCGGAGAATCCCCTCTGAGCTTCTATGCCCCTTGAAAGGATCATGGTAAGGTTAACTGAAGACGGTAATACGGGCAGATAAACTTTTCCTTCCCCAAGCGAACCTCTTGGTGGTGGCACTTGGCATCCGCTTATCTGGAAGTTGATCATAACCATCAAATGCTCTGGCTTGGTAAGCCATCAACTGCTCTGACTAAGTATAAGATTGGTTATATTTGTCAATAATAATAATCTATCCCCATGGCGAAAAGCCGTGGGGGAGCAGAACGGCAGAAGAGAAGCTTTTCCGAACCTTTCGTTCCGCTGTTCTTGGCGAATATTCTATCCCGATTAGGAAATGCACCATCGTCATGAATATGATTCTCAGCTCATAGTGGCGAAGACTTGCCTCACGAGTTTCTAAGCATTACTACGCCGTATTCGGTGGTGCCTTTTCCATGCCGAAAATATTTGCTGCCTCATTTGTCAGAATGAATAATTCAATTCTGACTTCTACTGGACAGACATCCCACTGGGTGCGGGTATATATATACTTCGGTCCCTCACTGCCAGCAAAACACTACACTTTCATAACCATCACTTCTCTTCTGAACTCCTTTACATCCTTTGACTCCTAACAATCCCATTTCCAATTAATCCTTCACAATGGCTCCCAAACTCAACGTCACCCACATCGGTACGGCGACTGCCATTCTCGAAATCGATGGCGTCAACATGCTCACCGATCCCTTCTTCTCTCCCGCCGGCTCCTCTTGGCCCGTCACAGAGACGATAACGCTGCAGGTGAGCGACGATCCTGCTCTGCGCCTCGATCAACTCCCCGTCATCGATGCCGTTCTACTCAGCCACGAAGACCACGTTGACAACCTCGATGAGCTGGGTCGCCGTCTGCTAGACGGCCGCCGCGTCTTCACTACCATGGACGGAGCCAAGAACCTTTCCCCCGCCCTGGCGTCCACGGCCTCAAGCCCTGGGAGAAGATCGACACCGTCATCGCCGGAAAGAAGTTCCAGATCATCGGCACGCCCACCCAGCACATCGCTGGAGATGAGTGCACTGGCTTTATCATTACCAACGAGGAATTTGGACGCGGCCGTGACGGTCTGCCCAACGCGATCTGGTTCACCGGTGACACTGTGTACATCGATGAGCTGAAGAAGGTCGGAGAGCAGTACCATGTCCTCGCTGCCATCATGAACCTGGGTAACGCCTACGGACCCGTCGACAAGACCGACCCCAGCAAGGGCGCCTGCCAGATCACCATGGACGGCAAGTCCGGCGCGCGGTTGTTCCGCGACGTCAAGGCTGATGTTCTGGTTCCCATGCACTACGAATCTTGGGGCCACTTCACACAGTTCGGAAAGGAGCTCCGCAAGGACCTTGAGGAGGAGGGTATCATCGATAAGGTGTGCTGGTTGACACCTGGAAAGCCTGTTTCCGTTCTATAAGCTTTGATGTATAGGCTCTGATGTTGTATACCCGGATGTGTCATGACTCATATGGCGGAGTTGAGGGGTCTGTATAGAAAAGTAGAGTTGTGGTGTGGTCTGTATTGCGAAAAGTGGGTTAGTAAATAGCGTCATTCAATACAAATATATCGGTGAAACCCGTTCATAGTAGCCACGTATGGGTGCAGTGACAATAAAGTATTCGCTGACTTGCCCCTTCAACGATGCAGCTGAGATTCTAAGGAAAGAATAACTAGTATTGAATAAGTGATACATTGAGCTGCTTAAAACATTGCAGATTACAGCTTCCCCTTGACGACGCCACCATGGGACCCTACTGCCATCTTAGCAACGCGAATACTGGCCTCGGAATTCCTGAGCATCTCCGGGTCCGACTTCTTGCTCTGGTACGTTCGCCAGAACTCTTCCTCCTTCAGATTTCGCGCAAACCACTTCTCAATCCAGCTCGCTGCGACCTCCGCACACCAACCCACTTCTTCAAAGACAACCAGGTGTGTGGCCTTCGGTGAAACTGCCTTATCAGCCATCCCCTTAGCCACGCCGCCACTTCCTCCAGTGCCAGTCCCGGTGGCTCGTAGCTTGGAATCTTGAGCAACGGGTGGAGAGAGCGGACTCTGGCCACCATAGACCCAAAATACACTTGGCCGCACAAAGGGCAGATTCCGAAAAGCCGCCCAAGCTTCTGGACGGGAGAATGGGGCAGGGCGCTCAAGGACGGGATCCCAGTCGGGAAGTAGGAGGTCGTTCAGCCCCGCTGATTCGGGTTCGAGATTGGGAATGGTGTACGCCCAGGCCTCTTGGTGCTTGCTGGTTGTTAGTGTTACAGCTGTCTTGGGGATACTGGGGTCGTCCTCTGGATTGTAGAGGCGTGTCGGCACAGGTCGCAGACCGAAGTGAAGGTAGCGGTCCACGACGCGGGGATCGCACCTGGCGAATCCTCTCCGGAGCTGCATTTCGGCCTTTGCTCTCGAAGGCCATAGGTCTCGACGCAGCACGGCCGTGATTGCGGGGTTCATGACCCCGAATGGCTCCCCGAAGATGACGGGCTCATAGAGGATGAGTGTTGAGAGAAGACGAGGATGAATGATGGATAACTGGATGCTGCGGTTGTCAGCGATGATCGTCGAAGGAATGAGATAACTTACAGCTGTGCGCATCCCATACTATGGGCGACTCCGATAATAGGACGGACAATGTCGTCCCGGAAGTGGTTGACCATATGCAACAGATCCCGGGAATGATCGTGCCAATGTGCTGCTCGCCGTCAGTTTCCTCTATCAGCTCGAATGATTCAAGTGAGCGTACTATTATCTCCTTGGACATGTTCGTTCAGAGCACCACTTGCGCCTTGATTCGAGATATCGGCGATCCAAATGCCGCGCACCGGAATTGATCGCTTGTTCAATCGAGCGTAGAGATCCTCCCACAACGGCTCATATGCCTCCTATCTGGATTTAGACAGGCACGCAGTAAATCCTGGAGAGAATGGGTTCACCTTTGGAAATCCGTTTCCCTGCGCCCCAATGATCGTCACAGCATTTTCGGGAATAGACTCTGTCTGATCGTGCGGAATATACTGCTTGATCGCAAGCTTCAAAGCAGTTTCCTGGCGTCCTTTTAGGGCATGTGGATGTTCCCGGATATGCTGTCCGGGGATGATATGTTCAACAATCCTGAAAGGGAACGTCATTGTAAAGCAGACTGTCCATCTAGCTACGAACAGATTGAGGGGTCAGACGAAAGATTATGAATTTGAATGGAATTCTCCATGGGGTAGTGCTGATGGGACGCCTGATGTCAGCGCTATCCTGGCACTAGACAGGGGCTAATATAGAGATCTGCGGGGTACAGTGTTTTCGCTTGAAATATCTTGCTCAATGCTTGTAGCATATGATGGTAATTTACATGAGTAAATTACGCAGGAAAAATTAGGAGTATTCAACAATAAGGTGAGGCTATCCGGCGCGATATTACGTGCTAACTTCGTTTACCAAATGAAGCCGGAGAGAAAGCCTGCCGTATCCCAATCAGGTTTGATCCGCGGAACTTCGGAATGTCAATTTGACACCAATAATCAAGGGGTGGCATCCGAGCTTGGAAAATGTTGTGTTGCCTCGAGTCGTCCCTTCACCTCCCTCGAATGCAACACACAACATGCAGCACTTCTGGTCGTCACGAGATTTCACCTTGCCCGTGAAGCTTGAAAGATACAACCCAGCCACCACACAAGCCATCGAAGACAAAGTAGACTCCCCGACACGCTTGAAATCCATGCATATCAACTACCAGAGTCCTGGTTGGACTGCCTCACGGCGGCGGTGAGAGCAGCTATCCTTCTCTTCTTATTTCGATGACCCTTCTTCGACCCCTTGACTCTACAACTTAATTTGCCATCATGACGAAGGAGTCATCCAAAGGTTGCGTTGCATGTGGGTGGACGTCCGACATGCAAGAGCGGTGCTCTTATTCAAGTCATGTTAAACTTTTCTACGGTGCGGACCGACGGGGTACTTGGTCTATTGGGTCCGACGTGATATTGAAAGAACGGCCTGACGAGGGTCCAAAGACTGAAGTGACCACACTGGCGTACCTTGCATCCAACGTGAATCCCAAAATCCCAGCTCCCAAAGTTTTGCGAGACTGGGTCGATGCCAACGGGCGATACTTTGTACTTCTCGAGCGGATGCACGGGCAGACACTTGAGCAGGCCTGGCCTTCACTTTCAGAATCCCAGAGAACGGCTATAGCAGATCAGGTTGTTGAAGTGCGCAAGAAGCTGCGGTCCCTCACATCAGAAGCTATACAGAGTGTTGATCAAAGCCCTTGTTACCCGCGGCTGCTTTTCTCTGATCGCGAGCCCCATGGACCTTTCCACTCTGACGTTGAACTCTGGGATGCTATAAGCCTTACCCTTCACAACACAGCTACAAAGCAGTTTCCTCAAGGAGCCATGGATAACCTGAGGAAACGTATGCCTCGATGTGAACCATACGTCCTCACTCATTGCGATCTGAATTTGGGCAATATCATGGTTCAAGATGGACAACTGGTCGGAATCCTCGACTGGGAATACGCTGCCTATTATCCTATATGGTATGAGTATGTTTCCGCCTCTTGGGGATGGACTGAGGAGGATATTGAGTGGAAAACGCTGCTACAAGAGCGCTTGGCTGCACATGGCGACGCACATAAGGGCGCAAAGGATTTCTGCATGGATCTGCGCCATTTGAGAGAGTACCCAGATTTGGATGACGAGGGCCGAGAAGCTTTACAAAAATTGTCTTAGAATGTGTCATGCCATTTTCTGTTGCGCATATCTTTTTCTTTTTCTGTTGGCTGGGAACTTCCCGCATGCATTTACCCCTGCACTTGACAACATCAGCGTCAGCGTTGGGGACATTCAAGCAGAGTAATCTGATTGATTATCTCGGAGGTCGGGCCTAGGCCTTAGTCTCACGCCAACAGAGTCTTCATGCATTAGTTCTAGACCGGTTGTTGAACGTAGACCAGAATGTGGACCCCGCGTCGGCCGTATATGAATGATACTACTAGTGTCCGCCTCAAGCACAACCGGTGGCTACGAGAGGCAGAGTCATCTGAACCCTCATTCATGTCAATGCATAAAAGCTGTAACATAAATTCTCCTATGAAGTCAAAAAGCGCTGATCAAGCATCCGAATACCCGTAGCGGGACTGAACGGCCAGTCTTAGCTGCATTTCAATACAGCTCTAGTTTGACGACCCCGCGCCGATCCCTGTCTGACTTCGTATATATAGTGTCTCACTCGAGGACTCCCACTTGTAAATTTCACGTGTCACTGGCAATTCACGGTGTACTTCCCAAGATCAGTGACGATGAGTAAAATAGCTACATTTCCTCTGCCTGGCATAAAGCATGGCAAGCGCATCCTGGTGGCGACGATTGAAGAACGAGCGAAGAACGATCCAGACAGCTCCTGGGTGTCGATGCCAATAGACAATAACGATCTATCTAAAGGATACAAAGAGATCACGTTCGCAGAGTTCAACAACGCAGTCAACCATGCTGCTCACTGGTTGCGGCAAAATCTCCCTGAGTCCGACGAGCCATTCCAATCGTTCGCCTACGCAGGCCCTAAGGACCTTCGCTATGCCATTTTTGCTGCTGCGGCCGGAAAGCTGCAGAAAGTGGTGAATATAGCCAGTTTGACATAAATGTTCCTCGCTGATTCATGCAGATGGTGCTCCCGTCGCCGCTGATTCCGCCAGCAGCACAGCGCTTGATTCTGAAGAAGACACAATGCAAGGTTTATATCAGACCGCCCAGTATGGCGCAGGTAGTCGGTACCATTTTGGAGGATGCGCCCCATATCCAACAGATTACGGCTCCTGAACCTGACAGCCTCCTACAAGAATCACCTGCTAAGCCTTATGTATATCCCAAGTCCTGGGAAGAAGGGAAGAATGATCCTTGGTTGGTGGCTCATACGTCTGGCACGACAGGTTAGTGGATCTGGAAGTACCTTAGGGAGTATCATGGATTGACACAGACAGGATTTCCCAAACCCGTCACCTACACTCACCAGATGATGGCTAGTTTTGACGTGGCTGCGGCTCTGCCGGACATTGATGAGTTCTTGCTGCACCACGCTCCCGGGAGACGCTGGTACACGCCTCTACCATCTTTACATGTATGTCACTATCTCTGGAACAACTTGATCCTCGAACTGACCATCCAAAAGTTGGTTGGAATGATGATGGTTCTCTCCGTGCCCACATACGCTCACGCAACCCTTGTTGTGGGCCCACCCGCGCCTCCTTCCGCCGACACCGTCGTCGATATCTTCCAATACGGACGAGTTGACTGCGCCCTGCTAACCCCAGCTCTCATCGACGAAATGTGCTTGAACGACAGAGCCCTCTCTGCATTGAGAAGCCTCCAGTTGGTTAGTTACGGCGGAGCTCCCCTCTCACGAAAGTCCGGCGACCTTCTCGCTCCTTACGTCCAGCTCGTTCCCGCCATCGGAAGCACCGAATCGGGCGGCTATTTCACCGTTTTCCGCCGAGACGACAAGGACTGGGATTACGTCGAATTCCAGAAACAAGCCGGGGCGGTCTTCGAGCCCCGTTCCGGAGACCTCCATGAGCTTGTTTTTGTGCGTGTTCCCGAATGTAAAATGCAGCAGATCTTCCTTCTTTACCCGGACCTCGACCGGTTCGAGACGAAGGATCTGTGGGTTGAGCATCCCACGCGCAAAGGGTTGTGGAAGATTGTCGGCCGTGTGGATGACTATATTCCTCTCAGCCATGCGGATGGGCTTTATGCTGGGTCGCTGGAGCCGGAGATAGAACAGCATCCGAAGGTAAAAGCGGCGCTGGTTGGGGGTCATGGACGACCCCTCCCGGTGCTGCTGGTGGAGCTGCATGATGAGACCGAGGTGGCATCTGACGCTGGTCGTAAGGCGATGGTCGAAAGTCTACAGCCCTATATCGACAAAGTCAACGGGAACTGCCATGAGTGTGTGAAGCTGAGTCCTGAGCGTTTGATCTTCGCCAGTGGAGACAGGCCCTTCATTCGGACGGTCAAGGGTAGTGTGGCCCGGATACCGAGTCTGGAGCTTTACAAAGAGGAGATTGCTGCATTGTTTGAGAATAACTAGGCTGTATGAAGATGGCTTAGATCAACGGATCTTTGAAGTCGGCAATGAATATCTAAGAACTGACGGCAGCATCTCGCTTTCTTAAGTCCAGGTTATAGTTAAATCCTAAACAAGAGGACATCCTCGGTCGTTCTGGATCGTTGAAGCTCTTTAGAAATGCCTCCCACCCTCCGCCATTCTCTTCCTCACTTCTTCGTAGCGACGGCAGTGCGTCTTTCTGCTTCCAATTATGACTTTCTCATCCAGTGATATCCTGATTATCACATAAGTTTGATATTACACCTGCAGGAGCTCTTTCGCGATGGCACAGCTGGTTGATCTGTGCATAAGCTGGGGATCTCCGTCAAAGCTTAATCAAACCCGGGAGTCTCCGTCCTCGTTCAATGACATTCATTGTCTTCATATACGACTTTTCCCAACGGTCTTGGTTCCTCTATGGCCAATTGTTCCATGTCTGAAATGGGAAAAGGAGAGCCGTCTCGAACGCACCCCAGTCCCGTGGTAGAGGTCCCTACGAGTGCCGAAGACAAAGCAGGTCGGATGTCTGAAGACAAAGGTTCATGTCTCATCGACAATGTCTTTTATCGCAGTGAATATCTCCTCATGTAAGACAGTCAAGAAGATTCTAAGACATCTCAGTGGTCGACTGCATGTAAAAATGTCCTTTTTATCTTCAAACAGTTTACTCTCACTTCACCAACTCTTCAGCTGCTCCCCTACCAATAGCATCCAAACCAATCACTGTCGACTTTCGTATCAACTTTAACACCTTCAAGCACCTTTCAAGGAGCACTGCAAGCATCCAAAATGGATCTGCAGACCGGGTGAGTATCTTCTGCTGACAACTCTGATAGTGCAGCTGACAACTTCAGCCCGCTGAGCATGCTTCCCCCAGAATGTCTCGTGAATGTCCTTGACAACCTAGGCACCGCCGACAACCTGGCCGTCTCCAATGTGTCCCGAGATCTGCGAAAATGGGCAAAGCCCCTCGTGTTCAGGAACATCCTTTGGACATACACGGCCACGCCTCTCCGACGCGTCCTTCTGCTCCTGGAGCAGATCTTCCTGAATCCGCAGTTTGCAGGGTATGTCAAGCATCTCCAGCTCACTTACACCGGACCGGCCTGGGTTCTGCCCGATCCAGATATTGACTTTCAACAGCATGCCACGAGATTTGCCTTTGTTACCAGGAAAGCTATCCAGTTCGTGAGCCAGATCGGGCTTTTCGACACGGTAGGTTACGCGGCGTTGTTACAGCAGGGGGATTACTACGCGTATGCGACGGTTCTGATCTTCCAATTGCACAACCTGCGAATTTTGGAGTTGGACTATACCTATACTCTGGTTGGTGGTTTTCCTGGTCTGTTTCTCCAACATGCCTTCCACTCGTCGTTCGAAGGTATCTCCCGATTCAACAGGCTGGAGATCCTCAAATACGGCGGGGACGTCCCCCAAGCGGAGAAGCTTGACAACGAGGCGGAGGAAGCCGTGGCTGTTATTCCTTTACTGGGGAACGAGTATCAATTTGCTCCCTGGTTTGCCCTGCCTAAGCTGAAGCACGTGGAGATCTGGCTCAGGAGTTCTTTCGGTTTCGATGAATACAAGGATCGTTTGGCGGCTGGCGAGCTTGATAGCCTGGTTATAGCCAGATCAAGCGTAGACGCGGCCGATATCAAGGAAATCCTCGGCGCCTGTCCAAATCTCCGGAGGTTGCACCTGGGAGTCTGCTACAACTTGGTGTCGCAGCTGCCACTCTTCGACAGCAAGGAACTGGCGGAGGCGTTAAGGCCATTGAAAGTCCGCCTAGAAACTCTCTCAATAGGTCTAGAGACCGACCCAAGCTTCGTTGGCGGATTCACCTGGGACCAGGACAATAACTTTGGCAGCACGCTGACGGATCCCTTCCTGATGCTGTTCAGTGAGTTCACGAAGCTTCAGGAGCTCGAAGTCCCAATGCCGCTTTTACTGGGCTGGTTCTCGAACGAGAACTGGGCGGATTTCCACAAGTACCTACCCCCAAAGGTACGGCACTTGGTAATGCGGAATGATCTCTCCGGGTTCGATAACTACGCGTGGGATCCGTACGGGATGGTCTTTGCAGTCGACCAGCGGGTTGTTGCGACGAAGAAAACGATTCCTAGCTTGGAAAGGTTGACGCTTCGTGTCTGGGCCACGAATGCTCGTCGGCCGAATGAGGACTTCCTGGCTGAAGCGGCGGATATGGCGCAGTCGGTTGGGGTGGAGTGTCACTCGGTTGTTGACGAGCTTGGCTCGGGGCTTTGGGTTGCCAGAGCTATGTGATGCCACGGGCACAACGTAGCAAGGTTTTCTGGTGTGTAGCCCCTATTCATTTACTTCTGACTATCTTTCCGAAAGGGAAGCTGACTTATTCGTCATCTGTTTTCATGATTCTGCGCTTCATGGCAGCCCTGAGGTTCAATCAAGACATTCAGTATCGGTAGGGTGTATAGTTCAATTCAATTCTATTGACATTTAGAAGACATAACCTGACCATTTCAGCCCATTAAAGTCAACTTCAATTAAAAATTGTGTATTTGACCACTGAGACACTTCAAGTAAATCGGAGCGAAGAAACTGTATCCAATCCCAAGATGAACATTGTACCATGCAATCATTGATCTCTCTCAACTAAGTGCCGGTTAGTATCACTCATAATCCACATAGTTCTACATACTCAGCTGCTCGACCCAATAATCTCAAATGACTGAAATCCCTGTCCCTGGGTATAACATCCGTTTCCACCAGCCTGGTGAAAGGTATCGCAGGCCGTGCCACTCGATGCAATGAACCTCCACCCCTCCGGAAGTTCCTCGATCCTCATCGCTTGAATGGGCTCGGTGACGCCCGTGAGCCAGTAGCAGCCCCAGTTCTGCTCCCCCGTGATGGAGGTCAGGTAGCCGGTGCAGTCGGTGTTGCTGTATGCGGTGACATTCCAGGCTGCTGTGAGGGAGCCGGAGAGGGAGAGGAGAAGTGTTGCAAGGGAGAGGTTCTTCATATTGAGGCTTTGGTATAGGATGTGGCTTGAGATGTTGATGGTTACTGAGGCTGGTTTGTTGTCCAGGTTCAGGGTACAAGTAGATGCAGCGTCTATTATATATTTGAATCTCGTCCATCTCACATAAGATAAACGGATTAACAGTTCTATATTTGGGTTGAAGTATGGGAGGCTTCCGCCTCTGTATGCCAGTGTCTCTGCTCTATTGGCTTCACTTGACCCATCTTGAGGGATAGGCAAGACAATACCCTAAACATATCCAATCTCGTCTGCATAGTACAGTAAGAAAAATGTATGGATTCACACAGCCGGTTTAGACCTCGCCTGAACGTGCAATGATTTGCTGGGGTCTGTCAGCTGCGGGGGCCTGACGGTCAAAATGTGGGAGTAGATGCGATCTTCCACGAGTCAACCTCATTGTGACAGGCAAATCTGGAAAAATGCCATCAATTTAATCCATGGATTCATCATTGCGAGAAGTTGTCTTTCCTGACAAGTTCAGGACCTGGATGGTGGGAGGTATGTCATAATCTGACGCGGCAGAAAGAGATTACTCCTGCGGCGTCGTGGCCTGTGCTCTCATTCAGCCCGGGGATCGAGTATCTACAAAAAGGTCTGCCTGAATATGAGAAGATTCGAAAAGATCCGTGCGATCAATGTTCAATACAAGGGCCTGCTTAATCCTTGATACTTCGAACCATTGTACCGCACAGATAGCTGCAGCCTCCGTGGCATAATATTAAGGGTTCGATTAGACGACAGTAAATGATAACGAATCCATACGGAGTACTCCTGGAATTCGAACAGAGCAACAAGACTTCACGAAGTTGATGTACGCCTTGCCCCATGTAGCAGCCTGGTCAGGTAATTCTCCACAACTGAAGGATTCGCCGAGACGCGAATCAGGCGGCAACCATGGCATTCCATATAGCGTGGGAAATTGCGGTCGCAACTGCGTATATTCTGACAAATATTGCGCATTGGATGATGCGTCTGTTAGTTAGTAGATGAAGCTTTCATATAGAAGAAAGGGGGAGACAATCGATTATTATTGGAGTGGCCGAAAAAGTGTTGATGGTGGCCTGAGGCCTGACGATCTATTCTGGGCTCCTTCCTTTCTGAGCAAAACGTGCCAATCTATTCCCAAAGAGTCTAGTGCCTCAGCGCCCAAACAAACACAAACAACACAACCCAATTCCCAAATAGTCAAAAATATTGCAAACGGCCGCAAACTCCGAGACTAAGGGTCGCGCCAAGCTGCTAGTTTCAGGCAATCTTCCAATTCCCCCCTCGTTCTCCGGAGATTGAGAATCTCTGCAAAAAGTGCAGAATGCCGGGATTCCTCTTCTCAATTCACTGGCGATTCTAGCCACAACACTGTGGTTGAAGAGAATCTCGGATCAACAGTAAGGGATAGTCCACTGCAGGAGATCATATCCGAGATAGAGGCCCACCGACGATCGACCAGCACGGGAACACCGGTTCATCATGCGCTCGAGCTTCAGGGACGACTAGAGGGTTATTTCGGCACCACGATCTGCGCTCCCGTAGCCCGTCCGGTCGGCTGGGATCGAACGCTGCGGTGGAATAAAGATACTTGCTCATGACTGTTTGGATCTTGAAGAGAATTGGGTTCTGTGGATAGCGACACCGATGCGGCCTCACGTTGCCATCCAGGCGATCGTCTTTTTCAGCATCCTGGGGCTGCTTTATCGCTACTATGGTCACCACTCTCACTTGTCTGCCGTCACCGAGGGGGCCTACCCGGTGACGGAGATTGCCATTCCCCAGACCGTCCACCAGCTTCTCCTATCGATGCCCGACCATCCCGTCTCGCAGTTTGAACCCAGTGATCACGTGATCTCATGGCAGCAGTCCGGCTGGAAGGTCGAGTACTGGAGTGAGGAGGCCTGTCTCGAGCTGGCACGCGAGGTGGACGCGTCAGGAACCTTTGCCGCCGCATTTGAGCAACTTCCCTATGCGGTGCTCAAGTCGGACTTTTGTCGCTACCTGGTCCTGTTCGGGCGAGGAGGAGTGTACAGCGACCTTGATGTCCACCTCGTCCGGCCGCTGCCATGGACCGTTATGGGTTCTGAAGACGAGCATCATAGTCCCCCGAATGTGATTATTGGACTGGAAGGAGACGCGACCACAAAAGGTCTGCCTCGCTCGCCGCAATTTGTCCAGTGGACTATGGCGTCGAATGCTTTGCACCCCATGTTCCGGGATCTACTCACTCGTATTGCGGAGAGGACGTCGAGTTTTGTGAAACAGGTGCACGCCTTGGAGGGGGATGCTGAGGTCAATGTTATGGACTGGACGGGGCCGAGTGTATGGACCGACACTATCCTCGACTACTTGGGCTGCTCGGAGGAGCAAATACAGAATCTACGGGACTTGAAAGATCCTGTGAGAATTCGAGACGTGATGATCCTTCCCAAAAGATCATTTGCGGTCACACAGGGGGAAGATCACACTTCACCCGATGTGCTGGTGAAGCACTATTTTAGTGGCACATGGAAGGGTTGCAAAAACCGCTGGCATGGGCGGATTTTACCATGGCTTTGTTAGCATTCTTTGGTATTAGCGTTGACTAGTTTATCTGCATGACTTCAACTGTGTTAAATTGCAAATGGCATTGTCAGTCTTAATTTGTCTGGCTGGCCGAGATAACGGCAGCGGCGGTCGCTTGTCCCGAGGTATTTTGCTTTCAGATCTGGCCGGATGTAGATTAGAAATCCCTCTAAAAGTATATAAACTCACCCCGATTGAAATCAGTCCGATTCAATCCATCTTTCTTCGAGGATATTTCTCAGGGGATTTAGATACAATATGCTTACTGTACATCACCTCCAACGATCTCAATCCGAGCGCATCGTCTGGCTCTGCGAGGAACTGAGCATCCCCTACGAGCTCAAAACCTACCAGCGCGATGCAAAAACTCTCTTAGCCCCTCCAGAATTGCAGCAGCTGTACGTGTTACATAAATTAGCAGATTGAAGTGAAATGACTGAACTTGTCCAGACATCCCACAAAAGCAGCCCCGTCATCCAAGACGGCAGCACCACCCTCGCAGAATCCGGCGCCATCGCCGAGTACATCCTGACCAAATACGGGAATGGGAAATTGGTCATCCCTCCCACAGCAGACAACTACGCTGATTATCTCTACTTCTTACACTTTGCAAACGGATACTTCCAGCCCGCGCTGGTGGGGTACTCCACGGTCCTCCGATCGGGGATCTCCCGCGACGATCCCAGCGCGAGATTCGCCCGGCGCAATTTCGAGCAGGCGTTGAGGGTTTTGGATGACCGACTTACCAAAAATACCTGGCTGGCGGGCGAGGAGTTCACGGCGGCGGATGTGATGAATGGGTTTACTCTGACGACTGCGAGGTTGTTCTTCCCGTATAGTTTGGCGGGGTATGAGGGGATCCTGGCGTATTTGCACAGGGTTAGCCAGAGGGAGGCGTATAAGGCTGCTATGGCCAAGGGGGATCCTGGGTTGGTTCCGTTGATTAGTGCTGAGAAGCCCCGGCCGATCAGGTTGTAGTAATATCATCTCTTCCATGTTGGGTAGATGAGATTTGACGTGATGTGTGTCAACGCCCACTACGTCATCGGAAAGTGACGATCACATCAACAAGAAATAATATATGGTACAGCAGAACTTCACATTCTTCAAACATCATTAGAAGGTATACCTGAGAGGCAATCACCACAAAATGTCCCTCAATACAGTAACCAGCGGCCTAAACAAAGGCCTGCCCACCGACAGCGTCACCAAAACCGCCTCAGGAACAGTCAACCAAACCACACAACAAGTCAACAACACCACTGAAAAAGTCACCGACCAAGCCATTCCAGGCGAGTATCCCTCCGACGACGCCAAATATGACAAACCACCGCCAGACATCTCCTTCTCATCCATCTGGTCCGCCTTCAAAACATGGCTCTTCTCCTTTTTCCCGAACATTCTCGACCGTTTCGAAAACTGGATCAAGGGCCTGATCGCCTGGATCCTGCCCCCTCCGCGACAAGCCAAAATGTACGAGGCCATCCTAAAACGGCCCATCGCGTCCTCGTTCATCATCTGCCAGCTGGTCTGCTGTGGGGTCCCGCTGCTGGTTTTCCTGGCGGGTGTGTTTCTCTTTGCGGCTGTCGCGGTGTTGCTCTGGGCGGTGCTCTCGTTGCTTTTGGCGGGGCCGATTCTGTTGGTGGCTAGTATGATGGGGGTATCGCTTTGGGGTGGGGGTGGGTTTTGTATGGGATGGTGAAGTTTATTGATCAGCATTTCCTGGGGGGACGATTACTCGGTTCTGGTTAGCGAATCGGCAGGATGAGGGGGATGAGGGGGATGAGGCGGAGGGTGAGGGTGATGGTGAGAAAGAGGAGAATAAGGGGAAGGATGAGAAGAGTGACAGACCGAGGAAACCAAAGAAATTGGAAGTCAAGAAGGATACTTGAGTCGGCGGGTGATAACTACTATCCCTTGTTCTGAAGACATTCAAATTGGGCTTGCTAGGATTCAGCGTGGCTGAGCGTTGTATTTTGCGAAATGATGCTCATGGTTTACGAATAATTTAAGATGGTCTCATATATAGATTGTTTATACCCGTATCAAATTGGTAATATCTGATTCCAGTGACTAAATGAGAATTCATAACCCTCAACACCCGACTCCCGTAGATACCAGATCTAATTCCTATAAACTGTCAGTAATATCCAAAATGCAGCAGGAGAGTGAACCTACAGTAAAGACAGTGTCAAATCACCATGAATCCTCGCTTTCAATTGCACCTCGATCTCCAAGTTCAAATCCAGCCGTAACGATAGCGTATTATCCTTTGACTCTTTCTTCTGCTTCTCCGGCTGGGCTTGATTTTGTTGACCTTGTCCCATCATTGTGCCATTTGCGTTGCTGATACTATCCAGAGGACCGCTGGCGTCCTGTCTCCGCCCGACTTCCCTCCCTACTTTGTCAGCTCCGAACGGCACTATGCGCTGCTCGTCACGCCGGCGGGGACGACGTCGTCGTTCGCGGTTGTTCGAGGTGCCAAATTGTTCAGGACTTTCAGACAGTGTTTCTGATTGCTCTTCAGGATCACGCTGCGGTCGACGCGTGCGGCGGTTGCGTCGTTTAGGTTGTTCTGGCTCGAGTTCGGGTTCAGGTTGAGGATCAGGCTCGGGCGACTTCACTGATTCACCGTCATGAGGACGATCGGTCTCTACAGGTGTATTGTTCTCTTCTGGTGAAGTGTCACTCGGTTTATCATCTTTAGCTTCATCTTCTGCATTCTTTCGCGGCCGCAGCTTGGCTGGTTTCTTCTTCTGAGTAGGAGTCGTAGGCTGCTCTATGTCTTGGGTTGAGGCAGCCATTGTGCCAACTGTGGTTTGGAATGAGTGTAAACAACCAAGCCCTGTCAGTTGAAACGATGTTTATAAAGGTGGGGATGATCGACACGTTTCTGGCAGTTGAGTGCGGATTCTTGAATCGGGACCAAATGTCATCACCGAGTGGGGAATGCCACCGACGTCATTTTCATATTACCCAATCATAAAGTCCGGCTGATTTCCACCTGAACTTTGCAACCAATCATCGATGAGAGTAAATTTAGACAAGATGCCCGCTGTGGAGACATGCTGACCATGACATAGATCGAATCTATCGGTGCAGTACATAGCATGGATAAGCATACTATGGCAGGTCTGCTGGATCATGGCTGCGGTAGGACCTGTAGACACCGCCCGATGGCCGCCTCGAGCGACTCAAGCGGCGAATCCGTACCCCCCTAGCATAGCATAAATGCACCAAGGGCTAATATTGCTGTTCTGATCGAGTAATTGTGCCAGTAGCAAGGCATTACGAATGCCAAAGTGGTCACTGATATAACGGAACATATACGAGACCCACTGCCTCTGATCGACCGTGGCTGCCTTGGATCGAGCCGCAATGTACATAGGAAACAGAAGAGTGTAGCAGTCGAGGGGCTCGGACGGTGTATGCACTCTGTTGCAGCCCTTCTGCGGGACAAGGGAGAGGTCTGTGCCATCTGCCTGTCCTCGGCTGCGTTTCGATCGGCAGGCATAGCTTGCATATTGTGGAACGGAGGCATATACCTCGAGGGACAGTGCTGCAATATTACTCAACGCGACTTCAGACGCGGCGAGCTGGTTGACTCCGTGGATTGCGTTCAGCGTCTCATAACAGTCCAGCAGATATTCGTTCAGCTGGATGCGAACCTGCCGCACCACATTCCATGCCTGAGTGGCATGACGATCACGATAAAAGTCCATTTCCTGGCCATACACATGGGGCAAGGGGTACCGCAGAATCCGCCTGTCCGGCTGCCAGTCTGCAGGCATGTCCCGCGAGATCGCTAAAAGGGCCAGGTCAAGATCCTGTGCGCGGGCCATGCTATCCTGAAGTGACCATCTGCCAGTGTGGACTGCACTGAGGAAAGATGCATACTCTATCGTCAGACCCGAGATCTTCCATTTGGGATCATCTTTTAAGTTCAAATGACGCTCTAGATGGTCACGGAGTATGAGAACGTCATTGGAGACAGGATGCGCGCTGGCCACGCAGCTGATGATGTAGTTGGTCAAGAAACGTGATATAATACGTAGGGCATAGTGATCTTGAATGTTCTGTACTCCAATCTTCTGAATCAAAGCGAGTGTCCCGTTAACATGGCTGGGCCAGAATTGAATGGCGCTGGCTTCCGTGTGCGTGATCTTTTCGAATAGGTCCAATAGTAGAGATGCCGCGATCAGGCTATCTGTCGCAGTCGGGGCTAAGCTCAAAGCTTGTTTCATCACGCGCAAAGCCAAAGCATACCGCTGACGAGCCAAGGACAATAAAGGAGCCGAGACATGGTGGTGCGCCAGCAGCGCTAAGCTCACTGCATCAATGCTCGCATCTAACCAACGAGGCGCCACTTCCATCTCACGCTCCCATCGAATCAGAAAGTCCCAACCACGGGAGCCTACAGACACATAATGGGCGAAGAAGACCATACGGGCCTGGACGTCGATGGAGACTGATAGCGAAGCCTCTGTTGGCCGAGCAGGTTTCGACTTCAGCAGAGCCTTGCGCCACGCGTCCTCGGTCTGATCCTCAATACGGATTGCCTGTGGGTCCCGATATCCATGGCAGACCACCGCTGCACGAAGGCATGGTGTGCACGAGTCCTGACGGTAGTCACACTGGTCTCTGTTACATACAGGCTGGGCTGCGTGTGCGAGGAAAGCATACCTTTAACCGCCGAGCCCGACAGCGCTGGCAGGCCTTTGATGGACGACCGCGAAAGACCATCAGGATTAATCATAGATAGATAGATGTGTTGTTGTAGCCGATGGCAGAAAGACCAGGGACGGGGGAAGTGGGAGAAATGGCAGGGTGTCCAAACCACGCTAAGCTATTTTGGGCAGGCATTTCGACGCCAAGTGGACCATATTCTCATATGGCAGCAGAAGACAGTAGATGATGAGAAGTGGAACAAGAAGAGGGAGAGAGGTCTTCTCATATATAAAGGAGGTCATGGTAATGTTCAGACTGTCTACTCCTCCCTTCCTGTAAGCATTCCTCCTAGCAATCCAGTCTTTCCCAACACCATTATCATATATATATTCTCATCTTAATTCTCTTCAACTTCTGGTCTAGTACGACTTACTGAAAGATGTCTTTCCCTTATAAGCATGTCCTGCTCATTGGAGCCACTTCTGGTATTGGTCGTGCTATGGCCGATCGACTGGTCCAAGCTGGCGTCAAGGTCACAGCTGTTGGTCGTCGCAAGGACCGCCTTGACGAATTTGTTCAGAAACATGGAGAGCAAATGGCCAGCGCAGTTCCGTTTGACATCTCCGTGCAGGAGAATATCCCAAAGTTTGCAGCTAAGTAAGTAATGCATACAGCTATATGGCCCTGCTGACGGACCAGAGTCATCGACTCGTACCCCGACGTGGACTGCCTTTTCCTCAACGCAGGAATTCAACTCCCCTTTGAACTCGACGACCGGGGCCAGTTCGATTTGGAGCCATTCAACAAGCAAATGAATGTCAACTACTCCAGTCTGGTCGCGTTGACGCATGCCTTTCTACCCTTTCTGATCGAGAAAAAGAGCCCCACCAGTATCATCTTGTGAGTACCGTCCACGAACTGAATGAACTGTGAGTATCTGACCGAATAGTACCGGATCGAACGTGGCTATCGTCCCAGCTGCACCTATGCCAGCATATTCGGCCTCCAAGGCTGCATTGAACGTGTTCACCTTGTGTCTCCGTGATCAGCTGCAGAACTCCAACGTGGCGGTGATTGAATTTTCACCCCCGGCAGTGCAGAGTATGTCATCCCTGCATCCTTGACCAAGGAGACTGACTAATGTTGTAATAGCCGAGATACACCACTATATGGGCGAGGAGATTTGCCGCAAGCTGGGCATGCCTCTGGACACCTTTGCTGATCTTGCATTCAAAGGTCTCTATGCGGGACAAGACCAGATCGTGATAGGCAGTATAGGGCCTGCTGAGAGGTTCAATGCGATTGTCGACCAGAGACGCGCGGCATTTGAGGATTTGGCCGAGACGATGAGGGCGCAGCAGAAATAATTGTATACTGCGGGCAACCTCTACAGGGTGTATGTCAAGATGTCAATGATTTCTCCACCCACTTAAGCTGTCCCTGTCGTCTTTTTTCAGTACTGTCTATCTGATCTAAGAACAGCTGAGACCCAAGTCGATGACGTAGATAGGAATTGGGTATTTCTTGCATTGTTTGAATGATCCGGGGAATCGCCGGGATATCCACCGTTGTATACGCAAAATATGGTTGAAGCCGCATGATCAACCCCCACAGTCTCCGCAAATTCCCCGGCTTCTTCAATTAAGGAAGATGCGGGGGTAACCTATTGTTTACTCGTCCCTATCCTCAGGACACTCACCAGTTCGTCCGCCAATTGGCCCGGACAATGTCTGGTTCCCATACGTCGAATACTACCAGTGTACAGCTTCAAATATAAGGAAAGGACCAGGATCATGAATGCATTCAAGCACAACCAAGAATTTGAAGGCCATCATGCTTAAGCGTACATTATTAGCCACTGCAGCGGCTTTCCTAGCCTGCGACGTTGTCGCTGGAGAGTTCTGCAACAGTACAGCACCTGTTGTCGTCCATCCCACTCCTCCCGGTGTTAACAAATACGACTCGTTCACGGTTCAAGTGCGCTCCACTGCTCATAAGAAGCAAGAGTACACCGTGCAACCGTTCCTTGTCCAAGTAGGCGAGGCCAATACCACCAGCGGAGCGAGTATCGTGCACAATACCTCTGTCGCATACTTTGATTTCTGTGGCCCCGTCGAGGTGTCGTTGACTTACAACAATGGCCCTATACATTCCGCTGTCGTCCGTCCGCATTCATACAACATCGTTCCCAAAGTGCACGGAGACGTTATCACTTTCTCACTTGACTCTCCCAAGAATGTGGTGATCCAGGTCAACGACAATATCTGGGACGTGCTCAACCTGCTCACCAACCCCATTGAGACTGAGGTGCCTAAGCCCTCGGATCCGGGTGTCATCTACTTCCACCCTGGTATCAATAACAGCACGGCGGGCGCGACAAACAAACAACTACTCATCCCGCCCGGTAAAACGGTGTATGTAGCTCCTGGGGCTACCATCACCCTTCCACTAGCCTTCCACAATATCTCTGATGCCAGCATCCGCGGCCGAGGACTGCTGCTCAAAGCCCCTATTACAATCGAGTATTCGTCTCGCATCACAGTCCGCGACCTAGTCCTCATCAATACGAACATTGGTGTCGCCGTCTCATCCGATGTGACCGTGCGCGGGATCCGGTCCTTCTCCATCGGCGCATGGGGCGACGGATTTGACAGCTACTGCAGCCGCAACGTGTTAGTGGACAACGTGTTCATGCGCAACTCGGACGACAATATTGCACTCTACCAGCACCGGAACAACTGGTCCGGAGACTCGAGCAACCTCACCATCCAGAATGCCGTGCTCTGGGCGGACTATGCTCACCCCATCAATATTGGAACACATGGTAATACACCCAACCCGGAGACGATGGACGGCGTAACGATCAGGAACATCGACGTGCTCGACCATCGCGAGCCGCAGATGTGGTACCAAGGGTGTCTGGCGATCAACGCCGGGGACGACAATCTCATCCAGAATGTGTTGGTGGATGGGATGCGCGTCGAGAACTTCCGCGAGGGCCAACTGATCAACCTGCGCATCATGTATAACTCCAAGTACAATACGTCACCGGGACGGGGGATCCGCAATGTGTATATCAAGGGATTGCAATATAATGGGACGAATGCCAACCCGTCGATGATGCTGGGGTATGACGGGCAGCGCAACATCACCAACGTCACCTTTGAAGATCTTGTGATCAACGGCAAGAAGATCTACGACGGGATGAAGAAACCGAGTTGGTACTACACTGCTGACTTTGTGCCCATGTTTGCCAATGAGCATGTCCATAACCTGACCTTTACTGCGTCGTGATCAGCTGGTATAGATAGTGACCAAGATATTATCGTTAACATCCTTCCGCTCTTTCAAAGCCAATGGCCAGCGTAGATTTCTCAAGAATGCGCCATAGAGGAAACTTGCATGTTATTGCATATATTCGGGTCGAAATATCCCGAGCAATCCAGAAGGAGGCGGGTATCTGGGGATGTCTGGGGTATTAATCTTTCGTAAAATGGCCATGATTGAAGCTTGGCTCCCATCAGCGTTTAATTAATGCCAATATGATCTTGTCCCCTTTGTTATGTATACTGTCCATTCCTTTAACAGGCCATGCTGCTCCTCATTCAACCCGACCCGTGGTCGACCTCGGCTACTCCCGGTATCAAGGAGTCAGACTGGCAGCAGGAGTAGATCAGTACCTGGGCATGCGATATGCGGCACCACCACTAGGAAACCTTCGCTTTCGAGCTCCACGGGAGCCTGTCCATAATTCCACTCTGCAAGATGCATCGGAGGTGAATACATCAAATATTCCAAGCAGATTCCACCGCTCACTGTTATAGTTCGGCCCGATATGTGTTGGAACGGGCCAGAGTGCCACAGCAACCCGAGCGGAGGACTGTCTCTTTATCAACGTGTTCACCCCTTCCAGTGCCACCAAACATTCGAAACTGCCCGTCTGGGTGTTTATCCAGGGTGGTGCTTATGCGACCAATTCCAACGCAAACTACAACGGGACCGAGGTCGTCCAGGAATCCGGGCACAATATCATTTTTGTCAACTTCAATTATCGCGTCGGAGCGCTTGGGTTCCTAGCGGGCGAGGAAGTTCAAAAACATGGTGATTTGAATGTTGGTTTGCTGGACCAGCGAAAGGCTTTAAACTGGGTGAAGAAGCATATTCTTCAGGTATGAAATCCTGTCTATTGCACGGCTTTGGGGTTTCTGACAGGCTAGTTTGGTGGCAATCCGGACCACGTTGTTATACACGGGGCCTCGGCCGGTGGTGGCTCCGTCTCGTTCCACCTCACGGCGTATGGAGGCCGCAATGAGGGTCTTTTCGTGGGCGCCATTCCAGAGAGTCCCTGGTGGGCTCCTCAAGTAACAATGTCCGAGTCTGAGGTTCTGTACAGCCGCTTACTGGCGGCCGTGGGATGCTCGACACTGGCGTGCTTGCGCTCGGCGGATGCCTCTGCCATCCAGAAAGCCAACTTAAGCTCACCAGATCAAGGCTCAATTAGCTATCCTACTGGGTTGGGAAAGTTCTGGCCGGTTATAGACGGGGACCTTGTCCGAGATCGGCTCTACGCTTCCTTCGAGCAAGGAAAGTTCATTCGGGTGCCGTTGATGGTGGCCAGCGATACGGACGAAGGGTCCTCGTTTGCATATAATGCCACCAGTCCAGAAGAGGTGTCGCTCTTCTTACAGAGCTTTTATCCTCATTTGAGCCCCGAGCAGTTGCAAGCAATTAACGAGGCGTACCCTAAGATGGACCCAGTTCCGCGCCATGCAGTATACTTCCCCTCGGCGTCGGCTGCCTTTGGTGATGCTACAATCGTATGTCCAGGGATACATATCACCAGCAGCATGGCGAGATTTCTCAAAGACGGGTCTGACAGGGTTTGGAACTACCGCTATAATGTCCAGGATCCGCCGAGGATTGCTGCCGGGCTTGGTGTCACGCACACATTTGACCTCCAGGCCATCTTCGGTCTGAATTATGGGAGTAGCGTCAGCAGTAGCATGAGGGATATAAATGCCGCGATCATCCCGGTTGTGATGCACTACTATATCAGCTTTATAAGAACGTTGGACCCGAACCTGCTCAGGACTGACGGCGCTCCGTTTTGGAAGCCATGGGGGACTGGAGAAAGATTGAAGATACAGACAAATGCAACTACGGTGGAGTCAATATCTGACTCCCAGCGGGATCAGTGTGATTTATGGAAGCGGTTGGCACCCGTGTTGGAGGTTTAACTGACATTTACCGCACTTAACTACAAGTATACATCAAAGTCCCGTATCCCAGCTGATCGTACCCTCCACTGTTTGGTCCATAGTCTCCTCCGCCTCCTTCCGCACCAGCGCCGTCTTCCACGACCAGGTCACGATATTGCTTGGTGTACTTGACGTTCAATCGCTTCAACACTCCGTAATGGTTGTAAAGAAGCTCCCACATGGGCCGGATATCCCCACGGCTGGCATCACTGATGACGGTCTGAGTAACGTCGCTATTTGTGTAGGTTGTATAGGGCACATTATTGCCCAGATTGTACTTGGCGACGTACTCGGCTCTGATCAGGTCAGTATGATACGAACACGGCATGAGCAGATCATCAGACTTACCCCGCGAGAATGCGATTGTCCAAATATCCAAACAAGTCATCGCCTTGATTATACGCCGTCTGGGCAATAGCCCCCAGCAAAGCGAAATCCAGCATCGCATGGCCCTGATCCCGGCCCGCTTCCTGTCCCTGTCCCAGCGTCTGCCCGTCCACCTGGTAGAGCTTCCAAATCATCTTTTCTATCTGTCCGTTTCCAGCCCCGGTCTTGAAGTAGTTGACGCCCTCGTCGTACATGGTGTGATTATCGGTCAGCACTCCGATGGACATCATCGAGGCGATGTTGCATAAGTCCCAGTTCGCCCAGTAGTGGTCGATGGCGGCGCCGTTGTGCCCTTCCAGGAAGATGTGGTTGAGCGGGTAGAAGACCTTGACCATCATGTTCTGGAACTTGGCGACATTCTGCGCAGACCAGCCGCTGTATGTCCGCATGATCTCCGCCGCATTGGCTATCTCGTAGCCATAGATCCCGCGGCCAGGAACTTGTCCGATGACCCAGAGATGCCGGTCAGAGAGGAAGCCCAGGCGTCGAGGATGCTGACTGCCTTGTCCGCGTAGGCCGTCTCGCCGGTCACCTTCCAGTAGATGGCGTTGACATAGGCAGCAGCAATGTCCCTGTACAGCGACGCATAGTTCTCCGAGTGAGTCCCGTCACTGCCGCGGTACACGGTCGCCTGTGGACTGGGGTTGTAGCTCAGCGACCGGTATGAGCTGCCGGCCAGCTTGTTCCATCCGGTGAGCCATGGTTCCGCTTTACTCTTGACCTTGCTCGTGATTCTGGAAAAGTCGGCTGCTGTGTGGAGGAGTCCGGGATGCGCAAAGTTGCTGCGTTCCTGGACGGAGCGAGCGAGTACCAGGGCGTTCGAGAGTGGCAGTAGGCTCAGCAAGATAGTGAACTTCATCTTGTCGTTTTAGGATGATGACTGCTCCGAGAGTGCTTGCTCAACTGTGCGTCGTTTGACATGTTATATAGCATGGCCGTCATACTCTCACAGCCAGCTTCGTACACCACCTACTTCGCTTCATACTACGGGTCCATCCCGGTTCTTACACCGGCTCTTCTGTTTGAGATACACATATCCGTCCTGTCATAATCACAAATTCCCTGAAATGGAAAACAGGGGTAGGAGAAATTCCGGGGCCCCGCCTCATCGTTGAAGATTGTTTCCAGATTGGGGCTGACCTCCGTTGTAGGCTCATTAAAAGTGTGGGGCATCGCACCCTCGCCAATTTAAACTCAAGATATCCCGTGCCTCATGGCTCCTTATGTCGGTAGATCCCTCCTCTTTGAAGGTTCGGAGAATTGCGCGTGATTGTCCTCACCTGACAGTCTTAGGGTTAACGGGGTATTGTCCGGCCGTCTTCCAGAGTATGAAGATCATCGTGAGCATGAAGAAAAGCTCCCCTTGCCAAGGTAGGAAGGTGAAGACACGTCTTTACGATAGTGTCTAGAATGGTATGAGATCATCTCCCTCATTGCCAGGAGCGTATTAGGCGGAGGGCTGGCATAGGATCATCCTCGAACGGAGTAACGACCGGAAATTTAGTATCGAGCCCGTCTCGTGCCTCAAAAGGGTCGCCCGGCTGAAAAGGGGATTGACTTCCTATATCTGCTAATTCACAACTTCTATAATCCTAATAATTACTGGTTTGAGGAAGTAAGATATGCTTTTGATACTATGCCTATCGAGAAACTTCTTCTGTGGTGTGGCTCTGTGTAACAGAGTGGATGTGGATTAGGTTACATTGTTACCTTGCATTACATCTATGTATGATATCACCTACCTACATCTGCGCATCATGGCCGAAGCGTTATTGAACCATTAATGAAGGTATATGGGAGCGCCCCTCCTTGCCTGTCTTGGGAAAGACAAGGATTAGTCTTGTATTAACTAGATCAAACTTGATATACTATTCCTCTCCTCCTAATAGTCGTTACCGATTCTTACCTAGTCAACAGGTTATCTCCCCTGCCAAGTAGATCCTTTACATTCTGGGTATAGAAGGATGGGAAACATGGTCATAGCCCTTCAATAGCTTTGGGTAAATCATCATGGGGGAAAAAATCTAGATTTGAAGTGGTCTGACTATGAGATAAATGACGTTGGGCCATACAAAGATGGGAAAAGTAGTGGCTAGTATGAAATGCTGGACAAGTTGCAAGGCAACCCCATAGGATCTATGCAAAAGTCACTTTCTTATACAGCCTGGCCTTCGCGACTATTATACTGTGGAGAATAAAATTTTGTAATGATGGCCAGTATACTCACCTGGTTGGTTGGTCTTTTTATTTACCTTGAGATATTTACAATATTGAATTTTTGATTTTATCTATCATTTTTCAAAAGATCCAATATCATCGAATTCAGCAGTTAGATGACTATTATGGGCATCAAGAATAAGTAACCGTTCTGCACCAGTTGCATTGTGTTTAAAACATGGTTCAAAGACCTCCTTTAACCAGTGAAGGCCTATTTTATCTGTTCTCCAGCCATTCTCGCTGGTTGCAACCCACCAGTCTATAGAAAACACGGGTTCTTGGTACCAGACAGCTTGTTGGTCTGTTGCTTAAAGTATAATCACTGGAGGTATATGCACTCCTTTTGAGCTCACAGTTTCGATAATAGCAGCCCATGCGCGACAGTCCTGGATAACTCTTCTAGGTTTCTCACTACATTCTACTGCAGTAATAACCTTAGAAGTAGAGCAGAGACCCATTACAAAACCAGTTTCTTTGAAGTTCCAGACATCATTGTCATGCATACCGTGTTCCTGCATAACTGCATGTACAGTCTGAAACCATGGTATAATAATCTTGGATCTTCCTGCTGGCACGTTGATATGTAACACGTCGACTATATTCTGTACGCAGCTCAAGATGACGTTTTAACAAATTATATGCACAATTAATACCAAGAGCTGCAGTTGGATCCTGAAGACGATTGTAGAGTAATATTTGTGCCATTCCATGTAGCCGTCTCTGGTGTAAGCATAAGAACCTCTAAAACTAAACAGTAGGATTGATACAAGACCAATCCTTGCCAAATCTCCTCTAATTGTATACTTTTACACCCGAGCGGCGTAGGGTTACATCACTAATGCCATGATATCATACAAGGTCTTCCGTCTCACAACTATATAGTCCTCAAACCGCACAGCTAGTACGTTTCGTTTAAAGAGTTGAGCAAGCCAAGAGAGAACGGTTTGAAAAATATAATCTGTTTAGTGAGGGAAGTACACTTATTTATATTCTGCATTACAGTGAACTTGGAGCTTACCTCTATAATACATCCTCCACTACGCACTCGGCCTACTACATATCGGAATTCATTCGGGACTGTCTCCCTACCTGATCGACAAGCTTTCTGTCCTGACCTGTAGATCCTTCACACTTGGCCGCCAGTTTCTTATATTGCGAAAAAAATAGTCTGCTGACCGCTCACCGCTGGGTAGTGTTAAATAATTACACACACTGTAACACTGTCACCATGCATAATGCAAGGGGCTCGCAATAGCGTCCTTGCAGCAGGTAGGTCGTGTTGGTGCGGCTGTCACACTTTTAGGTGCAATAACCTCTACGTATATAAGATACATTCGATGAAAACGCCGCCCCACCCCTGGCATTACATTACATACTACCCTCACTATGAGAACCTGTGTGGAAATCATTCTTGGGTTGCTAGCAGTGGCAAAGACTTTGCTACAAGGTAGCAGTGAAAAGGTAAGAAGGGCAACGTTCTCTATGATATTTTCGTATTCAAGTCTAATATGTAGTAGTTAGGATCCACTCATGAAGGGTGAGTCAGCTACCCGAGCACTAAGTTAACTAACTAGTTAGTTAGTTAGCTAACTATGCCCTTAATAGCTGTTCTGACAATATTCTTTCACAACACGCCAGTGTAAACGGCACAGTCCAGGTAGACGCACTAGCGGCATTACAGTCAGGTCCTCCTTCCTTGCCACTGGGAGATATATACAGAGATTCGTACAATGAAATTGAATACTTAAAAATTTACCTGAGTCACTTCGTCGGTCCAAACACGCACCTTTTCAAGGATGCAGTGATACAGGAAATAGACGATTTCCAGGTCAAGATCAGCAAAGAATACATGCTGCTGTTCAAGGAAGCATTTCCTCATCGGGCAAACGAGCCTTTCGGAATCACAGAGGTACAGCATGAAAAGTCATGGGAAAACGTGGACAGCCTTCTACAAAAGCTGGACGCATTGAACTGGAAAATCACGCACTGGGCAGATCGGGTCGCATTTGTCGACCTCAATCAGGCTGACATCCGCAGAGCTATTTTAGCAAAGGGCGAAATACTCTGGGCTCGACAATTTCAGGATATCAAGAGACGTATTGATGAAATACTGACGCAGTTTGCGTACAGAGGGCATCCATTAAAATATGTTGGGAGTCTGAATAATGGCACTCGAGGGGCACATAAGGCAAGGACAGTCATTAATATCAATGACTTTGATGTCGACCTGTTTGTCGTGCATCCGGTTGAATGGCACAGACATCTGCCGGTTATTCTGGAGCAGTTCCCAGAAAATTTCAGCAATGGAAAGATATTTCCATTGGGAACACATATGCAGGACCTGCAGGACCTCAGCCATGCTGTGGGTAGGGCTCTGGCAAGAGAACTTAAGGACTATGTGAAGGATGCGTGGAAATTTATTGATAATACTGAAATCGTGCTTCGGGAGCGAGACTCTTTCTAAAAGTGCGTACTGTGCATACTTGTATGTTAACGAAGGTCGCGCATGGACTTGTGCGGCCCCAGGTCCCAGGATCGCCAGGTCATCCTAAAGCAGACCACTCTCTGCATATTCCTTTATCACCTATAGGATACTTCTCTCTATAACTGGTAAGGGGTTATTGAGAGGCTTAGTTAAAGTATTACCCATAATTCATCTGTTGCTGATCACCAATGACCTCGGATATCAGCATTCCATGACGTTTTAGCGACAAGGATGCATATTTTCCCTCTCTTGAGTGCGTGCAGTGACGCGTCATATGCATTATGGTTCAACTGCACAGCCCCTCTGTCTGATATAATGATGCAACTAGTCATCCCAGTCAAGATGCATACAGTGTTCTGTTTCAACCAGCTGGAGCTGAGACAAGGTACACTATAACTATAGCGCTGGTTGGTCTGAAGTCATATATCCATAATGCTCCTCTTCACAGACTTATAGCCATTGCTCTTTAACAGAGCACATGTCACAGCCGAATTCCGACGGATGAACGATACCATCCTGTTTCCCCTTGCTAGGACCCCATACCTGATGTCACGTCTCTGCTTTATGCAATCAACATCCCCATTGACTCTCCCTGTATCCACCCCCAGGATCCCATATTGCATGGAGTCAAAATGGGGAATAATTGGGCCACTCCACTGGTCCAGGGCATCCTGACCCATATGCCTTCGAAGATTGGTATTAAAAAGTGGCCGGTCACCTCCCTTAAGGCAATCGCTGCATTCCTCAAACCCACGGTCTTCCAGCTACTGGATTAACAGGTCTACCAAACAAGGACACTGGAATTCTTGTATTATCATGTCGGCCGAGTTCACCCCGGCATCAGAACAGCCGGGCCACACATATGACCACGAAAAAGCGGACGAACTTGCCAGAGCAGTCAAGGAGTTTGAAGAATCCGACCAGCCAAACCTGTCTCACCGCGAACATGCCTCTCAATCCAGCCCAGGCACAAGCTTCAACGAAACCTCAAAAGGGAATCCACCATGGCAAGCGCGAACTCACCGAGGACGGCTGCTACGACAAGCTCGGCTTTTGCTTTCCCTGGTACAAGAAATGGATCCTTACTGTCATCTTCGTTGCGCAAATGTCCATGAACTTCAGCACGGGCGTCTACGCCACTGCGGTCCCGGGACTTCAGGAGGAGAGTTTGGAATCAGCGCCCAGGCGGCCCGGGTCGGCCAGATGATCGTCCTTGTGACATACGCCTTTGGCTGTGAGCTGTGGGCACCTTGGAGCGAGGAGTTTGGTCGCTGGCCCATCATGCCAGCTGAGCTATTCCTGGTGAACGTCTGGCAGATTCCCTGCGCCGTGGCACCGAACTTTGGGACAATCGTTGTATGCCGGGCGCTCGGCGAGCTTAGCTCGGCCGGTGGCTCAGTGACGCTGGGCATGACGGCTGATATGTGGGAGGCCGAGGATCAATGTCATTCTCTCGTCCGTCGGTGCTTCGACCATCGGCCCTTTCTTTGGCGGGCACATCGGGCAATATCTATCCTGGCACTGGGTGTTCTGGGTGCAGTTGATCTTCGGCGGCGTCACGCAGACCCTGCATTTATTCCCTCGTCCCGGAAACGCGCGCCACGATCCTCATCGACCGCGAGGGCGTGCCGTCGCCGCACTGCGGGAGATGACGTCTACGGCCCGAACGAGCTCAAGACACCACGACTGGACGTCAAGGATGTGATGCGCGTCTGGCACCGGCCGTTTGAAAGGCTCCTGCGCGAGCCCATCGTGCTCTGCCTATCCCTGCTATCCGGTTTCTCCGACGCCCTCATCTTTATCTTCACCGAGTCGTTGGGTCTTGTTTTCGAACAATGGGGATTCAGCACCCTCGCCGTCGGCATGATCTTTGGCTCGATCCTGATCGGCTACGTGATTGCCTACGTGATCTTCCTACCGGATATCTGGTGTCAGCGCAAGATCCGCAAAATGCACGGCCCCGCCGCCAGGCTACCCGAGCGTCGCCTCCTCCTTCTCCTGTTCATCGCACCCTTGGAACCAATCGGGCTGCTGGGCTTCGCCTGGACCTCGATGGAACCCGCCTATACGCCCTGGATCGCACCGTGCATCTTCGCCTGCCCTGATCGCCATGGTCAACTACGGTATCTACATGGCAACCATCGACTACATGGTTGCCGCGTACGGGCCGTACTCCGCCTCAGCGACTGGTGGGAACGGCTTCGCGCGGGCACTGCGACCATGTATGCTACTCCTATGTATGAGAATATAGGGAGCAAGTTCCATCTGCAGTGGGCGAGAATTTTGCTGGGCTGCACCGGTGTCCCTGTGCTGATCCCCTTGTACATCTTCTATTGGAAGGGCCCGACTATCCGGGAGAGAAGCAAGTTTGCGCAGATGCTGGAGGCAGACCGGCAGCGGCATATGAGTCGGCGGGTGAGTTATTTGTCGGGGAAGCAGAAGCCGTATGATGTTTGATTTACTTCAGTTTGTATATTATGATGGTCCATGGTCATGTATAAGGAGAGTCGGTAAACTTGTATTTTTCTGAGATATTTAACATAGAATATGCCTCCCGACCAGCTCGTCCTAACTCCATCCTAGTAAACATACTACACGACGTTAGCTTCCATCGACCAATGAAGTAACAGTACGAGGACTTACCCTAAAGTCCGGATTCTCTTTGTCCGTCAAATCCAAAAAGGCATTCGAGTGCTCAATCTTCTCGTCTACCGACGACTCAGATGGCGAAGTCTGCTCGGCTGCCGCGGCAACGTTTCTCTTCTTCCGGTTACGGGCCATAAGGACAGTCCGCAGGCTGAGGAGGATGATATTGAAGAGGGCGTATAGGCAGAAATGGGCAGTTAGCCCTTTGTGGTATCTTGGCGCGTCGTTTGATCGGAAGATCTGTTATATTCAGCATATAGTCTGTGTCAGCTTGACGCGATGATGGCTGACCTGAGGTGCAGCGGCGTTGCTGGAGGACCAGGCGATGAAGGTCAGTGCCAGGACGGTAGACTTCTTGGTCTGTCCGGCCACGTTTCTCGAGATGAGTGAGAAGAGCAGGTTGCCCTCGGCGAGAATAAACTGCGTGCAATAGAATGCGATGAGCAGACCGGCGCGGGTCTTCGGCGTGGGAGGGATAGTGAAGATGATCGCTGTTCCGATAATGGCGGGTCTACACAGTTAGATTGATTCGAACTGCCAGAGGAACAACTTACATAGTCCACAGATGCATGATGAGAATGGTCTGTTTGGTCCAGGTGGCAAGGGACGCACCGCCGACCATCACAGCGATAGTGACACCACCCTGTGCGATGTTGAGCAGCTGAGTCTGCAACGTCGTAAAGCCAAAACTCTTGATGATGATGTTGGAGAAGACACCTAGACCGCCGATAATCAAGCAGCTGGTCATCTGCAGCAGAGCGTACAGCCAGACGGCAGGGTCTGTGAGGACCTCCTTCACTTGGTACTTCTTGAACACCCTGTTCTGGATACCAGTCTCATTGGCGCGTACTCGCTCGACCATCAGTCGCTTGTCCTCCTCGCTCCAGCATTTGGCCTTCATCGGGCTATCGGGAAGGTACCAGCCCATGAACAAAGCCCAGGTGCAGGTCGCGACTCCGAGTACAAGAAAGAGAAGCTGCCAGGATTTAATAGAGTGGCCTCTGTAGTGTTCGACACCATACGCAAGGAGACCACCGATCTATTACTGTTAGACAATACTTGACGAGAGTACCGGGACGTACCATGAGTTGGACACCCATCACTACAGTATGTCAGTTAAGCCTGAAGTTATAGACCTGGAAGAACATACTGCAATACCACAAACTGGTCAGAATCGTCTGCTCCGATCTCGTGTACCACATCGACGTCATAAGGATGAAGCATGGCTGCACACAGGACTCGAAGATACTACACTTGTCAGTGAACGCATATATTGGTCAGGATAATACTTACCCAAGAAGAAACCGAACGACCATCAATCCAGGAAAGTTCGTCGCCGCGGCGCTGCACTGCATAGAATAAGCCTCGAAATCAAGCACCGTTGACGGAACCACTCACAGCAATCACAATACCCCAAAGGAACACACTGTATGCATAGTTAATTCTCGTCATTATCCCGATCAGGTCGACGAACGTACTTGGTGGCAATGTATTTCCCCACAGGCAGCTTCTGCAAGAGAAAGTTGGTCGGGTACTCTCCTACCAACACGCCGATATACAGGATCGTTCCCAGCCAACTATAGTCATTGCCAACGAGGCCTGCATCCTTCTGGATTCCCATGATTGAAGCGAAGCCAAGTGTGCCCTTGTCGAGCGCTTGACAGAAATACGTCTGCAGTTGTTAGACCCAAGCATCTCAAGCTGGAGGTAGGCATACTGCAAGCATGCACACCAGCACACGGCGGTTGATCATCCAAAACAATCGCCGGTCGGTCGCCTTGTCGACATGAATAGCGGTGGAATTCGCGTATGCCGCTGTTTCCTGGTCCAGATCGCCATGGTGGAGAGGTTTAACAGGAGTAAGCGTCTCCTGCTGTTCGGCCTTGGAGACTTTACCTTCGATGTCGGGCATGGTCAATCTTTGAATCAGAGGCTCAGTATATCTGAAATGGATACGAGGTCGAGATAGGTGGGATCGCTCAATGTCGATCCGCGACAGACATCCTATATACCCCCTGTACGATCACGACCAACAAGACCGATGGTAGGTGAACTGGGGTTGTGGAGGCCCCCGGTGTGGAGTCCGATGGTTCCCGCAAAAAAACACAGTTCGTTGGCAGAGATCGCAGCAGGGTTCGCATAGAGACTAACGGGGAAGCTCCGTTATTCTCTCCGGAGTCTTGCTGGAAAGTCACAAACTCTGTTCAATGCGGGGAAGACACCATCGCGGGATCGCTCCTTAGCGCGCAAAGATGAAGCTGGCGGAGAATCGCCGCTACTTGGCCCGCGGAGCCCTATGATCATACCAACCTGATGAACCAGATGGATACTGAGAACAGAAGTCGGCGTGCTCTCCGTGTCGTGGGGGAATTTGGCTGGATCGATGTTGCATTCTCGTTTACGTATTCCGGTCTTACATGGTTTGTCATGAAGATGGCTCTATCATAGTAAAATTGGGGAAAGATTGAAAACGCAGAAGACTTTCCTATCTGCATCACTTCCACACTTCAAACACTGAATCTTCGAGTAGGATACGGGCTGTGATACTGGAGGCTCTAACAAAGTTGCCCGACAATATGAATGTATGCTTTCTCTCCGTTCCAGTTTGCAATGGTGAAACACGTTGATTGTACTGACTGCTCTATCAAGGAACCTGCACGGAAAAGACTCAGGAGCGAATCGAAAGACCGGACGAATGGAACAATCGCGAAGGCCAGTGCTATGCCGCCATACGTGCTTCAGGCACTGTACTCTGAATCGGTGGCAGCAAAACTGTGGAATGTCGCCAGCAGAGCCTTAGGAAAGGTGCATATATACATCAAGAGAGCAGGACTATGCTGACGCCGTCTAGATTGAGCCTCCCACCTTCTTTCCCGAGTACACAGGCAAAGATGGAGCCACGTATGTTTACCGACACCTCAGCTTCTGGACGTCTGGCTTCTTCCCAGGATCCTTATACCTGCTGCTCGAGCGCCAGACCAAGTACAGCAGCAGCACAGAGCCACGTACTCCTCATCCACTCCTTTTGCAACACCTCTGCCACTGGTGGACGGTCAACCTGCATCAGAACGCCACCCTCAACACAACACATGACCTTGGCTTCATGATCGCGCCCTGGGCCATCAAAGCGTGGGAGCTACACCGGGATGCGAGGGCGTTTAGCAGCCTGGTGACGGCAGCAAATACTCTTGCCAGTCGATTCTGTCCCAAGATCCAGTCTATCCGCAGCTGGGACACCTGTGTGACGAAGCGGTATTCGTACACAGATCCCTCCAAGGACTTCCTTGTAATCATAGACAACATGCTCAATATCGACATGCTGTTCTGGGTCGCCAAAGAAACTGGGAATCCGCACATGTATGACGTCGCAGTTGCACATGCTCGCACAACGCAAAAACACCATATTCGGGCCAACCACTCCACATACCACGTGGTGAACTTTGACCAAGAGACATGCATGCCCAAGGAGAAGTTGACGAACCAGGGCTACAGCGACGAGAGTTGCTGGGCCAGAGGTCAGGCGTGGGGCATCCTCGGATTCGCTCAGACGTTCCACTGGACTGGTGATCCATCGTTCCTGCAGACGTCGCGACAGCTGGCCGATTTCTTCATTGAGAACCTGCCCGCCGATGGTGTGCCGTACTGGGACTTTGATGCACCCGTCACGAGCGACTCGCCGAGAGATACATCCGCCGCGATGATCGCTTCCTGTGGAATGCTCTTAATCTGCAAAGTGCTCAGGGCACAGGGCAGGTACGACGAATCACAGCATTATCTCTCTGCTGTCAGGCGGATTGTGGAAGGGACGTTGACCACGTTTCTGAACCCTCCAACCTTCAGATTCACAGTCCAGCCCTCCGAGCGAGGTATCGAGACCTACGAGGATGGGCTGCCCTGCGATCACGAGGAGAAGCCGGAACCTGGATTCTTGGCTGTGGACAAGTCCCTTGCGACGAATGGGATAAATGGCAGGGGGTAAACGGCACTGAGAGCAAGAAGCCAGTAGCAGAGACGATCCTGACCGGTGCCACGATCAACAACTATGAGTTTGCTCCCAGAAGATGGACCAACCATGGTCTGGTCTATGCGGATTATTATTTCATGCTTCTGGGGAACATGTTGCTTGAGTTGGGCTTGGTGCCGTCGTTGCTATAGATACATAATCAGGTCGATGGACCGACTCCTACTTTCTGTAGCTGACCGTGTCAGCTCTCTAGCAGACAAACTTGATTTAAATTCCATTACCATTGCCGGAATCAGAAGTAGATTTCTTGCGCCTGAACCCTAGTAGGCCGAGGTAAATTGCAAAGGTGAAATTCATCGGATGTTGCCCGGTACTTCGCCGTTGGAAGACATGGTTTCACTGTTCATGGCAGGATTCCCGTAGCGACTTATTCGATGCCCTGGACTGGATGGTAAGTCCACGAAACGATTCGCATAATCAGGATTCGGGTTATTATTACAATCATTATAAGACTGGGCCACCGGGTCCCACAGCGGTTGTGCATGTAAGGTTTCTACAGGCGGAGCGGCATACAGAGATGGGACATGATCTTTGGGCAGGAGAGCCGGGTCGAGCATATGTACGTCCGACATCGGTGCATACTGTGGCTGCAGCGAGAGAGGAAGTGGCGGAAAGGCGAGACTGAGAGCGTTGTAGAGCGAGCCATTTGGAGAGGGCCCATTCTGCATAGGGTCACGGTTGCTCCAATCGCCTGCATAAGCCGGAAGGTTTGGGCTTGCTGAGTGACCTGAACCGTCGAACGAGCCACGTTGAAGATTTGTCCGAGATTGGGAATTGACAGGCCCCTCGTTGCCGTCCGAGTCTTGCTCCGGCACCGGGTCCGCTCGCTCTGTGGAGTCCGAATATACAGTTCGCCGGATATCCAGGCTGGCTCGACCGGACGCATGCTTACGTGCGTTGAGTAGTCTTTTTGCGAACACGGATGCCAGATTTTCCAGGCCAGGTGTGTTCGGACCCGCCCAGCGTCGGGAAATCTCCCAGAGACTGGCGGCAATGCTGTCCAGTTGATCGGGAATCGGAGTTTTGGTGTATGTGGAATGTGTCAAAAGCATGCGGCCGGCGATAAAAAGGCAGAACGAGAATTGCGGATTGGTGAGGATGGGCGAGTGATGAAGGAATTGGTGGCCGATGGTGGCAATCTCGGCAGCAGCCTCGATGCAGGTCTCCGCAGAGGCAACGGATGGGAGTCTCACAGGACACTGTTTCCAGTGCGAGGGCGGATATGCGATGCTCTGATGCAGGAGAATGACCGCGGTGTTGTGGGTCATGTGTGCCAGAGTGAGGTTCGGATCCATCACTCCATCCTCATTCAAGACCGATGCGGTTCGCCATTTCGGTGGCAGGAAAAGCTTCCATTGCACGAGGCGCAGGTCGAGCTCCTTGAACTTCATCAGCCATAGCTGGGCCTTTTGCGCGTTCTGGAGGTTCAAGGCGTGCTGCAGAAAGAAGTTAATGACGAGGGTAAGCGACTCGGTCGCCTCGATGCAATATGCGAATCCCCCGATCGCATCCTGCTCCGGGTCGCCCTTGGCAGGGTCGCTGTCGACGAGATTCGGACTACTGCTGCTCAAAGTGCTTTTGTCGGAGATGCCAAAGAATGGTGCGCGCACCTCGTATTCCTTTTGCCAGAGAGCACCTTCGCAGGGCAGTCGACGCTTGACATCGGCACTCGTGAGACTGAGGTTCCACCCCGTCGACACGCTGCAAAATCGGTCCATCAGAAAAACAGTCCAAAATACCCTCCGTCGCTCCTCAGCCTGCCACCAGAACTTGGATGGTTTGAGGAAGATCATGCGCTGGATGAGGAACTCGCCCTCCTCGGATCCCCGATCACCCTGCGACTCTTCTACACTAAGCTGAAGTTGTTCAACTGTGCGAGTCATACTACCAACAATTGACCATGCTGATGGCCCGCGGCCACTGCCAATCTATTTCCGTCAGTGAATCTTGTTGTGAAAAGCAGGCGAATATGACCTACAGTATCAAAAGCAATAATAACCAGGGCCTGCAGATTCTCGACCGAGAAGGACTCCATGCTGTTAAGAATGACCTTTTGTCGACTGGCAACCGCCATTTCCCTGCGAACCTCGTCGGTGCCGGCGCCAGGGTGATGGCTGAAGCGGATGCAGGTCGCCACGATAGCATGCAAAATATGGATCGCTTTGTCCCAACCTTCAGTGGTCTGTATCTGCTCCCGGAATTTTCTCACGTGTAGAATGGGTATCCAATGGTGGACATTTGCAAAGTAGAACTCGACCAGATCGTTCATCACTTCTCGAGATGGCAGGCCATGGGCGCTGAGATGAGCCGACGAAGAATGATCCGGCGGAGTAAGTCGCTCGGTCGCGCTTGATTGTGACTCGATCTTTCTGCGTTTGGCCGGAGGGGCATCTCGCTCAATGCTGTCCTCGTGGGCGTTGTCAACTACCGAACGAAGGCACCCTTCATTGTCCTCTGCCAGCTGCAGTAGAGTGTCCTTGACGCGATCGCGGACTTGATCTAGGCCAGTCCTCTCTAGGTCTCCGCCGTTCTGCTGGATATCGCCTGCTGAATTGCTCACCGTATCCCAGATTTTTTGCCACAGAATCCCCTGTCCGATGAACATGCTCTCCAGTGCCTCCACCCGACGTTGCAGCTGTTCGACTGCCCCGGCCCGCAGGCCTGGTTTCAGGCGGCCATTGTCGTAGAGACAGATCGCATTGAAGCGGACGCATTGTGAGCATGGCTGTTCCCGGTCGCATTTGGCTTTTTTGCGCCGACAGGATTGACATGCAGGGATCTTGTCCTTGTTACTGTCCAGGTGGTCCAGATCCGGTGGGGCTTCTGTTGACCTTGGGGACATTGTGGCAGAGAGATGGAGTCTCAATGTAAACTCATGATGCTTGTCATGAATTGCGAGAAAGGGACTCTGTAAATTCGCTCGGGATCATGAAATATTTTTTTCGGGTTTTCCTGGCACCCATCAAGTTGTGCAGGGACCAGCTGCCACACCCCGTGGGGTATCGAACCTCAGTCAAGCTGCCACTAAACTAGTCGACGACGCCTCGTATCCTTGCGCCTGATGATGGCATACCAAAGGTTTTCCCCGCACTTGGATAAAGTAGTCACTCAACCAGTCTCCATATGCCGGCAAGGCAGTGGGGAAGACCAGGGGTTCGATCGTTCATGGGAGATTCGAAATTGAGACGCACTGGCTGACGAGTTCCATTGCCTGGCAAATGGTCTGTGAGGGCTCTTGTGTGCCACTCCACTGGCGGATAATTTGCCGGAGAATTCTCCGCGGCGATCGACTCTCCACCGGAGTTATCTTGATCTTGGTTGAAGTCGTTCTAAAAGGTTTCTTGTTCGAGTGGTTTAATGGAGCGAGAGATCATCACCGGCACTGAGCAATGATAGGCAAGTTCCTGATGATTTCGTAATGGATGAAGATACTCCTCGTGGTTCAATAAGGATGTAGAGACAAATTTACAAGCGTAAAGAAGGTCGACTCTATGATGGACCACGTGTGGTTATTTATTTGGATCACATGACCCGTGGGCATGTCCCCGTACACACCTCAGGATTTGGATTTCCATCATCCGCTGAACTCCATCAACTCGCACGAATTGAGCTTTATACAGACCACCGATCATAGTCAGGAATATCCTCGTCATAGTATGACTCTGTGACCTGTGAAAACCCTACCTCTGGCGCATGTGGCGGCCATGGCTGTCCCGTGCCGGTCGCAAACAAAGCAAAACTCGCTCCTTCGAACACAAACCAACCCGTCGGAGCGAATGCTAGCCAAGACGATGACAGTGATGCCAGCCAGGTGATACTTTCATCTGGCCCGAGGCTGTATCCAAATGTGTAGGAGAGGGGCTCCACGCGGATATGCAGGGTCAAGTCGGACGGGATAGAGGACGCGTTCAGCTTGACCTGATTATACTGTTTTGCGTCAGCAGCATTTCCTATTTTGTCATCGCGGAGTCAAGGTCAATTACCTCCGTGGTCCCGTTCTTCATCAACTGAGTGAAAATACACATGCCGGTGCTATTCACACAGCCCGACACTCCAATGTCCTGATGTTGGAGCTCACTCAAATAGGCACTGATCCCGACAGTCTCACCGTAGCCTAGCCCGGACATTGTGGGAAGCAACTGCGCGCTAAAGGTCATATTCAGCGACTTTTGCTTCCGCAGAATGGCTGCTGGGGTGTCCCGATCGCTCAGGCCGAAAACGTTCGGCTGGAAGACAATCCCATGAGATTTCTCCCCACCCTTGCCCTTCTTCAGATCGTAGATGGGCGCGTACGGGGTCCGCAATGTGTACCATGAGGGATCAAGCGTTTTTTGGTTAAATCTGTCGATGAACCTTGGCGGTGGTAGTTTCTGATCGGGCGCAGGACCGAAGGATTCACTGAGCAGGACTGGATTACCGCCATTGATCATCGGCCATCCATCCTTCCAGTTGACTGGTGACATGAAGGTCTCTCGGCCCAGAGGCGACGAACCATTAATCTTACGTCGAGCGAGGTAGACAGCGTAACTGTCGCCATTGGCCGCCTCGAAGATGGTCGCATGGCCAGTGGATTGCACTGTGAGGTTATCGTACCCGTACGCTCCATTAAAAAGGATCGGATTATGTGGCGCAGGCTCCCAAGGTCCGTTTGGAGCCAAGGAGCGTGCGATACTGGCACGGTGAAGGTCGTCCGTGCCACCTGCCCGATTGTCAGTCGTCTGGCGCTTCAGGGACAGGGAGGTACTTACCCTCTGCAATGAGAAGATAGTACCATTGATCCCGCTTGAACATCTTTGGGCCTTCGGGGCGAGCACTAGCATTATGCGGGAGCGTGCCATTCCACATGGAGCGATACTCCCCGATACAACGGCCACTGTCGACGTCCACCTCACACTGGTAAATTCCCCAGATGCGGTCCTTGTTGTTGTTGGGGGCCATCAGGTTCAAGTACACTTTTTGCGATACGGGATCCTGGAATAGTGCGGGATCAATGCCCCATGGGTCACCCCAGATGGGATCCGACCAGGTCTTGAGGTCGCGCGACGACACCCACATCACTCGCGGCCAAACTCGGGCCACCGGGTCGTATGTCCATCGCGTCATTGCAGCGAGGTAGTATTTTCCATTGATGTAGGAGAGCGTGGGAGCCCAGGCACCTACCGATATATACCATATTAGACGGCTGAAGATCTAAGGACGAATATGTACTAACCTGCGCCCGTTGGAGTCCCATAAAGCTGAAGTTGCTCCGGTTTGGTGAATGCATGAGAGAAGAGCTCCCAGTTTGCCAGGTCTTTCGACTTGTAGATCGGCGTGCTCGGCCAGTACTCGAATGACGAGGTTGCGAGGAAGTACTCGTCCCCGACGCGGAGAATCGAAGGATCAGGGTTCCATCCAGAGATAATGGGATTCCGGACTGCTAGGGTGGTGAGCACCCAGCTCTGAATGGCCAGCAGGGAGAGAGTGAACCGTCTCATTGCTGTCTGCATTTGGACCACCTTTAGCATGTCTAAAGAACCCCTGCATGTATGTCTCCGTATATATAGCATAATGGGAAATACACTCTAGTTGCAAAACCTTATCGTCGGGCTCCACAATTGGCTCTTTTCCCCTCGCCATAATGGGAGATGGTATCCGGGGGATGATCCGGGGGAAGAGCCGGCCACTCATACCACAGTGGATGTCAAGTCTTGGCTGGGGCATTCTTTGACTCTCGTAAATCCATTCAGACAAGTCAGTATTAGTCTGTCATGTCTCTTCCCTCTGTTGATGATTAATGGAGCGGCATATCGTGCGTTCGTGGAGTATCCGTTCTGCTTTGGCACCGAAAGAGAGATATGTAACTGCCTGTGGAATGATACAGCCTTGTCTCGTTTATGAAGAAAGAGAATCCTCAGGATGATTTATTATATTTCAACCATTGAGATAGTCATGTTCTATATAATACTTGGTCTTCTCTACCTCGATTTACAATCCTGGCAAACAGGTTAAGCTAGTATGCCCAGATCAAATCACCCCAGCTGGGATGATCGTTTGATGAAACAGCACCCTCGAAGCCTTCGAATTCCTTGGCCTTGGTAGTCCACGGGGCTTTTTCCTTTCTTTTGACCACATACTGGTAGTACAAAATGTCCCACATGGGGTTCTGGTTCGTCACGCCGCGCTTCTGCTCAGAGATAGTTGCCCAGGGCCCATTGACTAGGACCGCTTCGCACCGGGACCACTTGGGATCGTACTCGACTGTCTCGTTCATATTGTACTTGGCTGCGTACTCGGCCGCTTTGAGCAAGAGATTGTGGCCCAGGCTGTACAGATCGACGCCCTGGCTCTGTCCGACTCGGGCGCCGTACGCAGCCCAGCCGATGCCGGACATGGTGTGGCCTTTGCATATGTCAGTGGATATGGGTCAGTTAAAAGAAGAAGGTCACCTACTTTGATCACGCCCGGCTTCCACAGATTGGCCCGTCTCCGGGTGAAACTGCGCAAACAGCCCCGCGCAGTTGTCCTGAATAAAAGCATTCATCGCATAATTGTAAAGCTCGACATCATTCAGGTAGACCGCAAAGCTGAGCATCGCCTTGATACTTGCCATTCCGTAGTTAGCCTGTCCTATAACAACCGATTGCCGCGAGAACAGCCAGTACAGCTGGTTACTGAACCCCGAGCCACCCTGCCACTTGGCCCCGGCTTCTGTCCAATTGCCCTCCCAGCGCATGATCTCCGCTGCGTTGACGAACAAATCCCCGTCGAGACCAATCATCAGTGAACGGTCGGTCCCGATGATGTCGGTCAGGTTGCTCCCCCAAGCATCGAGAATGGTGGTACTCCTGTCCCAGTGCGACTGGTTACGGGTGATGTACCACATCAGGGCGTTCTGCCATGCTGCGCGGACGTCATGCGCGAACGAGGTATAGTTGCTAATCTTGCCGCGGGAAAGAACCGTGTACGGCCCCTGCATCTGATAGCTGGCTTGGGAGTATTGGTCGGCGCTGAACTTCTCGTAGGCTGCGGCCCAGGGGTCCTTCTTGGATAGCACATTGGTGCGAATGCGCTCCAGGTCCTCGTGCGTGTGCCAGATACCGGGATGAACAAAGTCTCCGGGGCGTTTCTTGAGGTATTTGGTTGAGTCGACGCCGGAGAAGTCGCCGACATGAGGAATGGGGCCGTAGACGCTGGGGGTGTCCGTCACAATGGAGTGACAGACGCCTGCCAGGGCGAAGATGTTTAGGACTACCTTCCACATGTCGCGGGAGCTTGTTCATCAGCCAATATGACTTTGAGACCTACTAACCTCTGTAGCAGTGACAGGGTTTGTTAGAGTACTTATATTCATGTCATAATTCTTCCATGACTTGAACTTGTGGAGCAATGCAAAAAGTCTTGCTGGTATCGGAAGAATTGCGGGACAAAAATGATTCACTTTTCTTGCCCGCATTCTCCGATAAACTGTTGTTCAGTCTAGAGTTTATTCTAGTTGAGCTTGTTTTCTGTTTGTTCCTCATGACTGCCGGGGCAAGGCCGGCGTCTACGCCGAGAGCTTTAGCGACTCCATTCCCCAGAGATGCCGGCATAGATGCCCCCGCATTATGGGGTACTGGTCGTTAGTATTACAATACTGGGGAAGATCGTGTTATTAAGGAATCTGTGTTCTATCTGACAACTATATAGTCATTCGCCTTCTTTACGGTGACTTGGTCTCCCGCAACCTGACCAACATGAAGCTAATATCTACCCTCCTGGCGACCTGCTTGACGGCATGCAGCAGTGTCCTCGCTGAGACTCAAGATCCCCTTAATTACCGGAATATCAAGCCCTCCTACGTCGCTCCAAAATCCTCCAACACCACCACACTGCTGGAATTCATCAAGTCACGCTCAGATTTGAGCAGACTCTCAGAAGCCCTAGACAAAGTCGGCGGCTTCTCGGAAGCATTCGACACGGATCCCACCTGGAAATTTACCTTTTTTGCCCCAAACAACGATGCCTTTGAGAAGAATGTGGGCAGATATTTCAACACGTTCGAGGCTACTCCGTATGGACACCGCGTCAAGTCAATGCGCTCGTTACTGACTGTTCACAGGAAAGGCAAATGGTGGCTGGGGAATACTATCCTGCATCACTACGTTCCGAACACAAGCTTGAAGTCCTCCAGTTTCAATGTGACATACCAGCAATTCCAGGTGATTCAGTAGTCATGTCTCAAGAGATATATGAATTTGCTGACAGAATGACAGACTGCGACTTATCTATATGTCGGAGCAGAGGTTCAAAACGGGAATCTTCTCCTGAACAAAGTTGCTACTGTAGTAGAAAAGGATATTGCAATTACACAGGTAGGCTAGACATCTGCTCAGAAGCATGATTGCTAATGCTCTTCAGGGTGTCATACATATTATCGATCGTATTCTTGACCCCTCGGCTCAGATTTTCGAGAGTGACCTGCCTCGAATCTCGCAGGCCTTTATTCCTGGTAGTTGCTCGAACCCAAATCTTCCATACTGTTGATAGGAATGTGAACTAGAGTACAGAAATGCCTGCTATTATGTAGTCTAGTCAGAACTGCCAGAATACATCCACACCGGACTGACTACCGTCGGTCAATCTGTCTCTTATATAGTCGTGTATTCCTCATGCCAATAGGATAAGGACACTCATATTGAGTTATTCGGCAGTTCAAAATTGTAGTCTAAACACCAGCGTCTGATAAGGCTGCAGCACGCCCTTGTAACCATCCATCTTTCCCAATGACCTGTCAGACCACAGCTCGGTGACCTTGACGGGGCCCTTGATGTTCAATCCCAGATCCGCAAACGAGACCGACAGAGCCTGGGGATAGCTCTTCTCATTCAACAGAAGAACCACGAATCCACCTTTCACCTGGCCAGCCCATACCTGCCATGCCCCCTCTTTACTGGCAGACTCGATATAATGCACCGCCTGGCCTAGCGAGTCCTGGTTGACTGCAATAATACCCTTATTCTTGAGAACAGCCACGCTCTCATTCGACAGCTTGGCCAAGTCCGCCCCAATAATCAGCGGAGACTTGAGCGCCGCCCAAAATGCAAAATGGGTCTGCTGCTGGTACAGCGTCATGTCACCGTTGCCGATCTCCAGCATGTCCATGTCGAGCCAGTGCCCCGGGGTCTGGTACTGGCTGATCTCGCGCATCTTGCGGATGATGCTCAGTACCGAGCAGCCCGCATACCCGGTGTTGAGGCAGTAGGCCGTCTTGCAGGCGCAGCCCGTCTCGTTGGTGAATTTGGCGGTGATGTCGCCCGACATGCGATAGGAATGACCGATCTCTGTTCACATTAGCCCTTCCTTTCCTATCTCTAACTGGACGGGAGAGAAGCATACTGCCTCCCCAATGCCACGGAAACTGATACCCCCACTCACAAACCGAGTAGAAAATCTCCCGACCGGACAATTCCAGCGCCTTTTGCATGACCCCAAAGCGCACCTGCGGCGGCTCCGTCATGGCCTGGAATCCTCCGCAGTTGTCATACTTCCAGTAATCCACACCCCAGCCCGCGAGCGTCTGCGCATCCCGCTCCTCATACCCCCAGCTCCCTGGCCGAAAGCCGCAGGTTAGGATCCCGCTATCGCCATACAAGCCGATCTTTAGACCCTTGGCGTGGATATCGTCTATAAGCGGTTTGATGCCGTTGGGGAACGAGGTCAAGTTGGGCTGGAGGTATCCCTCTGCGGTGCGCGAGTAATCGGACCATCCCTCGTCCAGGAGGATATACTCGTAGCCGGCATCTTTGAGGCCGAGGTCCTCGAACAGTTGGACGGTGGTCTCGACCACTGAGGTGTTGATGTTGGACTTGAAGGTGTTCCATGAATTCCAGCCCATTTGCGGGTCTGGCCTAGAGGCGATCTGCCAGCGACTGGGTTGAGCAATAAAAGGTAGGCTATGAGGCCGAATGCATTGTAGTGGTACATTGTGATGGTCACTGCAGGAATGAGAATTACGTCTAAGAGCATAAAATGCAGTGATTTGTGTTTATAGCTACTATTCTCCAAGACTCCAACCCCGCGACCCGGATCCCCTCCGGAAAATGTACAAGGCCAAATTGCTGCAGAAGTGTGGGGTGACTGTTCCTGGAATATGGTCATCGGGCTGTGGAATGATTGCCGGAGCTTGCCCGGCGGGTATCCCAGATGATGATTGTGGCTCGTTTGTGACTCTGCTTGAGGCTTAGCCGTGGTATTTGTTGAGGAAGACTGACGGTTAGGTGTGAGTAGCATAAGTGTGTACTTGGTATGCCTGGGGTGTTTGTCCCCTCTACTCCTGCTGAAGATGTATCTCCGACATATCCCATCCCGCTATATACATCTGAGGAAAATATAATATGTAAGCGACTTGCAATGATCAACATCCGACTGGTTAACCGACTCATGTTTTGAGTTGCTTAAATTTTATCTTGAAAGAACGTATCCATACACATATTCCTCATTAATTTACAATTAATCCAAGCCAGGCAAACGTCTATATCTCCTGGAATATATATACAAGAAGGCTCTAATCACATGAAGACCGTCAATGAGCATGGCCAGCAAAGAAAGAAGTAGAACAGCAACAGCGATCAAGGATGATCCCGATTTAACTGATCATTCGAAATCACCGAAATCTCCACCTGTTTCGTAATGCCCTGGTCGAGATGCGGCGGCGAATCCCGCCGACCACTGACGGTCGTACTCGTATTGCTGACGGGATCCAGGATCCGCTCAATGCTGCCGTTGTCCAGGGGACCATTCTTGGTGAAGCGACGCGTGCGACGGGATTGCGCCGTCTCGTCATGACCCGTGCGCCGCTGGCCGGTCGCAGGCCCCGTGAGCTCGTAGGAGCGCGAGTAGCCGCGGCTGGAGAACTTGCGGACGGAGGAGATGATCAAGGGGCGAATGCAGGGAACAGAAGAGGTGATGATGATGATTGCGTTCTCTACATAGCCCCAGCGGATGAGCTCGACGCCTCCGCTGGCGCCGAGATTGGTGACGCTGGGGACCTCGTCCAGTTTGGTGGTTTTGATGATGGAGGCGACCATGGCACTGCACGGGTCAGTATCGTGGATGGGAAAATGAGGATATAGGGACATACACAAGGCCCAGACTGAGGAGAATGATCAAACTGATCTTGATGCGCATCTTCAAGTTGAGATTCCAGAAGATGAGGGTGGGAAACACGGCCAGAAACAGGTCACAGGCGGAGTTTGCCGCTGTTACGAGTCAGTATAGGTTCATAGGGATTCAGAAATGGAGGACATACTGTTAGAGTAGTAGGCAAACTTGATGACGGCGTGGATATCACCACAGGTGGTCTTCGTCGTGGGGTCCCAGAGAATGCGCATATTGCGACAGATGCTCAGCGGCAGCACGGCCGAGACAACATTGCCGGCAAACTGGAGCAGCATCACCGTCCATAATGCGATCTGGTACTTTTTATTGTTTCCGAGAATGGCCAGGAGGTAGAGAATGAAGGAGCAGCGGGCGATGGTGGTGCTGATGGTCACAATCGGCACTTGGATGGCGATGTACTTCAGGACGAGTACGACTTCGTGCGGTTGTTCCGCTTCGAGGAGGAGGAGATTTTTGCCAAAGCCATGCTGCACGCATTGCGTCAGGAAGACGGTGGAAATGACGACCAGGACCTAATGCGACCAATGTCAGTAAATGCGATATCGGTTCCGCGATGGCTTGAACAACCTACCAGTGACACGATCATCAACACATCGTCGACACGAAACTGGCGAATTTTGACCTTTGCAAACACTCGCAGGAAAACGATAATCACAGCGATGATCACTGCGGCCCAGATGCCCCTTACGAGGGCCGGGCCGAGATCAGCTGTGGTCTGTGAGTCCTGGGCCATTGCGGATGTCGACCGACCCTTTGCACTCAGTGGGGGTTATATGTCGACTGTCGGGCGGAGGACGAGATCAAGAAGAGGGCAAAGGCAATAGAGTCGATCAGATCATGATCTGATCGGCATTATGTATGCTAGAACGCGACAACTGAAGAGATTGCGACACTGGGAAGCATCGCTTAATAATAATAATGGCAGCGAATATTCTTCAGCTCTCAGGCACAGGAAATAATCACCAGTCCTGCCAAGTGTCTCTCAGGCACCGGAAGCTCAATGGCTCCGGCGATTAGACTTTGCAGCATGGCCACAGGACAGGACAAAGCAATTCATGGACGGAGCAAAAAAATCCATTCGTCTGGTCAATGGGAATCGAGCTAGACAAAAGGGGATCCGCAGAAAGGTTTCCAAGGTTATGGCTGGCAATAGATCGAAGCCCGAGCCGTGGATAGGGTTCTGAACAAGCTATACTTTGCAGTCGGGCGCACTTAAGGACCGTTGTTGTGCGGGGTCCGAGTGCACAATTGAGTTCTTCTGGTATTTCCATATGGTCATAGATTGGTCAAGACTCTGATTTCGTCGGTCTCGAGGCAAGAGAAGAGGACATGGCCGTGGAGTGGAGTACGACTAGACCTCAATAATCATGAAGCTATCCATTCATAATTTCGTCTGACTTTCGTCTGACTCGAGACCTGAACTTTGTCTTTGCCGGGCTGCAATTATCGCCCCTAGAGAGCAGATGCCGAGATATCCAAGCGAGGAGATGAAGGCATATGGAGCACTAGACTCGGAGCAAGAGACACCGGCCGAACTCTAACGGGCAGCAGAGACACACCGATTGGCGAGAACACAACGAAGTGAGACATTGTCGGCATATCCCTCTTCCATTGGTGGTTCTAGTCTTCTGGAATTTGGGACTGGTGGGCCAACTCCGTCCATTCTCCACGGTCCTGGCGCGAGTCAATTCCAGATTCCATTTTTGCTCCGAATCCTATTCAGTGACCCCTGCGATTGTCCGCTGGCTTCCACTGGAATGTGTGCAGATCTCATTTATGAGATACAGTCGATTCCAAATATTGATATATGATATGCCGTGGAGTATTTTTTACCAGATGATCTTCGCTAGGAGTAATAGAACATACCCTCCGTACCCCTTCATTCCATAGACAGGTTCGCTGGCAGCTTGGCGGTGGCTGATTCAGTAGACGTGAGACATGCGCGTTTATACGAAAGTCTACTCTACACCGAAGAAAGTCTCTTTCAATGCGACTACTAGTACCATTGGAGAAGTTGGCAGAGACACTTCAGCGCCATTATTGCGCCCGGGATAGCTCTACTTGACTGGAGATACTCATTTTTTCGACGTCCTTTGGAGCTCCGTAAGACAGTGGGACCGAACCGAAGAATAGCCGATTTTATTATTAAGGACGCATCAAGTGTGGCACAGCCTTGAGCATACCGTTTGTCACTGTCTGCGAAGATGATCAAAGGATTGTGGCTGGCTGCAATGTCTTTGTTTCTGCCGAATACGCTTGCCCAGGTAGACTTCACATAAAACCCCGTTAATTAAGAAAGTAAATTAAGGACGACGCATAATTAAAAGTTCAATCTACCTGACATTGCCAGCTGCACCATGTTTCTCTGATGATATATATTGGACTTCCCAACCTCGTTCAAACAGCAGAACTTTCCAATGTTGTAGTTTGTAGCATGGCCATCTTGCCGGCCGAAATAGCTGGCACCGAGAAGAAAGACAAAGACCATGTCCATGTCCCACTCTGACTGATAATGCCTTTCTTTCCTTGGGTTCTGCTTCTAGCCCTCATGACAGAGTTCCGATATCTCCGACCCCGCCACTAGTGTTGGTAGATAGCCAAGTTGCCGGATTCTTGCACCGTTAAGGGCTGACAGGGAAGACGTGTGCAGAATCCCTGTCAGGGGCATATCTAGCGAAAGCCCGCTTCTAGATGCATGAAATCTGTCTAGCGCAGGAGACTACACACGTGGGAATCCATAGCTCAGTCACTGCCATGTGGTCAACAAAAGCCACTTCGGCGGACCACCGAGCATATCAACTGTCGAGGAGACACGAGATCCATAATCCACGGCTGTTCTTCATGAATCTTTGCCAGGTTCCGTAGACACATTTTTAAGCCATGAACCAACTCGAGATAGGCGTATCTAAAAGTGTATCCGAGCCCGACGACTATCGATCTTTCCCCCCACCGCTGCCCGCGGTGGACTCGGTTGTATTTCCCAATCCGGCCATCCAGGGCTTCTCTGGGAAACATCGCCGCTTATGCACCGCCACCAGCATGGGTGTTTGCCAGGTTTCCAGACCTCTCAATCTCGGTGCAGGTACCGGATAGCAACGATCCAGAAATATTGATGGAGACTCCGACGGATACGTCCGATCAGATAGTTCACGCCATCGTCCCATTAACATCAACACTTTCTTTACGGAAGGCTGCCGAGGTAGCCTGGCAATAATAATCTCCGTAATCATCTCTTTCTCGTCCATCTCTCCACCATCTGGTATAAATATCTAGCAAGCTCAGGATCGGCATGATCAACCGACGATCGTGAGATTCTTCTTCCCATCCGCCTAACTTTTATACTCCTCTCGAACCCCTCCTCTCCTCCTCCCTCCTCCCTTCCCCACACACCCCGTCGCGACACCATGAAGACCTCATGGGCGTTGGCCGCTTTGGTCGCGCTCGCCTCCGCGAAGGGCTCTAAGTGCGCCTCGTGCCGTTGCTTGCCCAGTGACAGCTGCTGGCCCTCTGCTTCGTCCTGGGCCGCGCTCAATTCTACTGTTGGTGGTCGTCTGGTCGCTACCGTACCCATCGGATCGCCCTGCCATGATCCCACCTACGATGCGACCGCCTGTGCGGCTTTGCGGGATGCCTGGAATCTTCCCCAGACTCAGTATGTTTGAACCCGCGCTCCCCTGCCATGCTCTGGTATCGCATGAAGCCGAAGCTGACTTCAATGTGTGTGCAGCATTGAATCCTCCTCGTCCATCATGCAGACCTACTTTGCCAACCAGAGCTGTGACCCCTTCACCGCAGAGTCCAAGCCGTGTACCCTGGGCAACTACGTCAACTACGCCGTCGATGTCTCCTCCAGCGACGATGTGATTGCTGCCGTCAACTTCGCCCGAAAGAACAACATCCGTTTTGTCATTCGCAACACTGGTCATGAGTGAGTGATCCATGGAAAAAAACGATAGCCGAAGGGAATGCTAATCGGAGGTGCACAGTTACTTTGCTCGCTCCAGTGGTGCCGGTGCTCTTTCCGTTTGGATGCACCACTTCAACGACATTCAGTACCGGGATTGGTCCGACGCTCACTACAACGGTCCCGCATTCAAGGTCGGCGCTGGTGTGATGGGCTTCCAGGTGATGGAGGCAGCTCACGCCAAAGGTCTGGTGGTGGTCGGAGGTGAATGTCCTACCGTCGGTCTGGCTGGTGGATATATCCAGGGAGGTGGACACTCCGCCCTCAGCACCTCCTACGGACTGGGCGCCGATAACGCCTTGGAGTTCCAAGTCGTTACGGCCGCTGGAAAGCTGGTCACTGCCAACCGGACCACGAACGCCGACCTCTTCTGGGCTCTCAGCGGTGGTGGTGCCGGTAACTATGGTGTGGTCATCTCGGCCACAATCAAGGCGCACCCCGACGCCACAGTTGCTGGCGCTAGTGTGCAGTTCCTCTCCAGCAGGACCACCGCAGACAACTTCTACGAGGCTATCTCCGAGTTCCACGGTCTGTTGCCCGAAATGATTGATGCCGGCGCCACCGTCATCTACCAGGTCGCCTCCTCCTTCTTCGCCATCAACCCTGTCACTGCGTACAACAAGACAACCGACGATGTCAAGGCTCTCTTGGCGCCCTTCCTCAAGGTCCTGGATTCCCTGAGCATCCCTTACGCCGTTGCCTACACCGAGTACGCCTCGTACTATGAGCACTACAACAAGTACATGGGACCCTTACCCTACGGTAACCTCGGCGTGGGTGAGTACCAGTACGGTGGTCGTCTGATCCCCCGTGATGTGCTCGACAACAACGCTGCCGGCTTCGCCTCGGTCATCCGTAACATCACCGAGCACGGTGTCATCGCCGTCGGCGTCGGTATGAATGTCTCTCAGCCCGGTGATGTCTCCAACGCCATTTTCCCCGCCATGCGCAATGCCGCCGTCACCATGCAGATCGGTACCCACTGGAACGAGACCGCTCCTTGGTCCGACATGGTCGCCGATCAGTACAAGTTGACCAACGAGTACGTTCCCCAGCTGGAGGCGGTCACCCCCGGCAGCGGCTGCTACCAGAACGAGGCCAACTTCCGCCAACCCAACTGGAAGGACACCTTCTTCGGCGTCAACTACTCTCCTCTGCTCAAGATCAAGCAGAAGTGGGATCCCAGCTACTTCTTCTACGCTCTCAAGGCTGTTGGCAGCGACTACTGGACTGTTGACGACTCGGGCCGTATGTGCCATGCTTGAACTTGATCATTTAATATAGACTTTTACCGGGGGTGGATGATTATGCTGCAGATATAATTGTGTATAGACTTCCTATTTAATACCATACGCACAATTGTACATAGACACAACATACCAGAAAGTGCATTAATTTGGTTCAGTTCTTATCTCATGTCAACCATACTGTAGTCCATGGCTTCGAAACCATTCGCCTCAACTTGATCATGGCTCGACCAGAGTCTGACTTCCAAACGCTTGGCTCAGGTATGGCAGTACCGTTCCTCGAGCGATGGAAATAGTCGAGACCTGACAATCATATAGATAGGTGTTTAAATATAGACAAGCTTGGCCACCATATTCGCGCTTACCTTCGTCACCATCACCACATACAAAAAAAGCAAGTCCCAATCATCAAATACAAGTTTACAAAATCTTATTAGAGATCGTTAAGTCTTGGTTTATGTGGCCGATATATGCAACCACGGAAAATCCATTGGTGGTTCATCTTCCATGGATGATGTCACCACTCTCATATCATACATAATCACGACGCACTTCCAGGTTCTAAACCATCGCAATCATTCCATAACAAGGGTCCTGATAAGAAAATAAGCTATAAGATGAAGTAATGCACACTGCTCTAACTTGGTTCGCTTCGTGATACTCCCAATGAGCCCTGTGTTCCGTAGGTGGAATTCTCCGCGCCAGCGTATCGGATGCGAAGCCAGACATAGAGAGAACATAGATACTCTAGTGTCATCCCAATTCCTGACATATCCCTTAATGCCCTGCTTTATAGGATTGAGAACTGGCCAGACCATGTACCCCGCCCCGCAGACCAACGAGATCTCAACGATGCGCCTCCACCGACATATGTACAGCCGTCATCCGTCCTTGTATATGCGTACGCATTGCGTCCGCATAATGTAAGAAACTGGTACAAAACTCGTAGAGGCCCTCAAACAGTCGCAAAATACAATACTCTACATCTATCTGAAGAATCGTTCTCAACTACAACTACTGTCTGTTCCATCTCCAGCCATGTCTTCTGTCGCAGTCAACAGGCAAGATTCCGGGTCTAGTCTCAGTGGCGCCAACTGATCTGAACATATATAGTCTAAATGAATATCACGCCATCCTCCACCGAGACAAATACGCCATCCTTTACTTCTGCGATTCCCCGAGCAATGCGCCTCCCTCGATCCCACCTACAATGACATGGCGTCCACCGTCGCCGACGCCGACGACATGATCGACTTCTACAAGATCAACATCTCGCAACACCATGACATCGCCGACGCAGCGATGGTGGAGAAACCAACCCTCCTGCTCGTAAAAGATGGCCGGGAACTCGAGCGCTTCTGTAAGCCTGTCCCGCAGCAGTTGGAGTACATGGTCTCGCAGGCGCTGTGTGGGATGACCAAGATATCCATGATCCCGTATACGGAGAGAGAGGGCCACGGGAATCTGATGTATTGTATTCCGGCGCAGAAATAGTCGTTAATGAGGTTATGTTGTACGTTACGTTCAAGTATTGGTTGCTGACTGGCTGTAATCAGGGTTTACCCTGTTGTACTAAAAGTGTATATATTTCATTAAAAGGTTTCGTAAATAGTGGCGTTGTTTGATACCTGAGGGAAACAGGTATATCCCGGTTCTCTTCAGATGATTTTATATATATCAAATGTTGTTGCCAGATAGTGGCAATACGAGTGGAACCAGAGTCATCATATTGGTATGCCATGCATGCAGCAATCAACACAGGTGCTATCCACACTTAGCTAGAAGCGGGCCTAATAGGCCTAAAACCATACGAATCAAACCAATCCATTTCAGTTAACAGACGATGGGAGGATAGATGATTAAATAGGTAAAATACCTAATATATCCATGTTCTGCATCATCCAATTGATGGAGATATGCCTGCAATGCACTCCTGGCTAACTTGCACCTCGCAAGATCATACCCATTGACCCAGGCAATCCTAAAGCCACCCGAAGGCCTTGGAGTACTTTCCAATGGCTTATCCGGCTATACTGCATCGTGATGCTTTCAACATTGAAGAGTCGTACCGGTCTTAGCATATTTCTCAACGTCCCAAAGTGGAACACTATACCCACTGGTGCTGACATGGATGCCAACGGAGCTGTCCATCCCTTCCCGCAATAAAGGTCCACAAGAGAAGACGTGAACCAAGATCCGTATAGGTTCGACCACTGAGGTGAGAAACGCAGATGCACCTCGATAATCTTGCCGTCGATCGTTTTGACATTCAGCATGCCGGTATTTCCCGCGAGATGCGTTTCCACAAAATCAGCAATATATTTCTCTAGCGAAGACTCCCACGTCTGGTCTGGACTACCACTCCCCTTGTAGACCCGGCGGAATATGGGATATAGCTCGTAGGCGTCACTATCGCAGGCTGGGATCTTGCAATGGGGTAGACAATATGCGCATCCAAGGAGTCGTTTGCTAGAAGATTGGCATATTGTGATATATATATCAATCGTACACTAGGATTATACCAGACTTGGTCACGGAGGACGAATGTCCATGCCACGAAGAGCCGCTTAAGAGAAACATACTCCGTGCCATCATCCCATACGCTCTGATGTTTGAGGTCATATGCCCGCTAGATTTTCGCAGCTTCTAGCTACCATTAGGCTAAGTAATATGTTATAAACTGCCAATATCAGTAGATTTGACGCGTTCAGATTATAGTTCAGATTGACCTTCCGCAATCGCGCTAGTCTATATCTGAAATCTATCTCTTAATACAGAGGCAGTTGCGTAAACATGCATTCCTCATGGTCATACTTTCCAAATAACTTCAGCATGTTAGATGTCAGTTAGATAGTCCGGAGTATGCACTCATTCACTGCTCATGGAGCACTCAGGAGTCAGGACATACACATCCGCCTCCCCACACTCTAGAGTCTGAACAAAAGCGGCGCTGATCTAATTCGAATCTGGGAAAGGAATGTCCGGATATCTCCGCAGAAGTACTGTTGAGTAGAAAGTTTCGGGCTTTTAACTATAAGTTAAGGTACTCGTGTATAAATTTACTTTAGGCTTGATTAGGCAAATAGGATTAAAATATCCGATATTCCATTGTCTACCATCATTGATTGAAACAGGAGGATCAAGTCAAAGTTGAATTCTATTCACTTCTGATGGCATTACCTAACTGGGACTAGCCTAACTGCTCTCAAAGTCTTTTGTTATCATCGCCAAAACATCAACTTCCACCATATCAATATCCACAGGTAGATCATGTCGAGCCTATTACAGTCCCGCTGGGCTCCTAAATCCGACGCGCACAAAACCCAAGGCCAAGTTGGTCAACCGCCGGCTGCGTCCCCGTCCCCAGGACGGCGAATGCTGCTCTCTCCCGCCGGAGAACTGTCGCGCTTCATGAAGATCGTCGCTCGCTTAAAATGGAAGCTTCCTTTCTTGGCCGAGGGCTACCGTCTCGCGACACTCTGCACCGATTCTCCCGAGGCTGTCGCTCATGCCGAAGTCATGTTCAAGATTGATTTTCACGAGTATTATGCGCTTCTGGAACGGGCGCTGGTGCACTTGCTTGGCGTCTTTGGCATCGCCGTATCGGCTGTAGGCAAAGGCTCTGGCTCGAACTCTGTCTGGAGCACGCATCGCTATCATGCCAATGTCCTGGAAGCCCTTGAGGACGAGAACTGCCCTTTGCGTTCTGTGTTTCGAAAGGGAAATGTCTTTGAGCAACTGAAGAAAGCAAAGGAACTGCGGAACCGCTGGAAAACGGCAGATTTGACCGAGCAAGAAAAAGAGCGAGAGTCTACGTGGTCGCCCAGACGAGAAGCGACGATGTCTCTGCAGGACTACGACTTTGACAGGATGTTAGCGGATATCTTTGACGGCCTGGAGGATGGATGTCGTCTGGCGCAGGAACACGTGGCCAACATCGACAAGAGCAACCATACTCAGGCACAAGCTGACACCTCGAATGCTGATTGGGATTTTATTGTTGATGCGATGGACTGGGAGGCTGTATGATCATCCTCGTGAAGGGGGTCTCTCACATTTGTAAATATCATGTACATACACCGCCATTTTTCGACGTTGCAGTAGATTTTAGCATATGCATATCTTCTCAATCAGAATTAACTGTAAAGGCGCACCATTATATATACTCCATGTGCCATGCAGAAACCTGCAGGAAGAATGAGACCGGCTGTATCTATATATCGACAAATGAATACTTGCAAACTGTTAGGGAAGCATGCCCCACTGCCACTCTGGAATCAGGATTATATTGCAAGACTGACTCCAACAGGCGTGCTAGTGGTTGCTTCAATGGCTGTGGGGACTGCATTGGGAGCATAAGGCTCTGACACTTGTTGCATATCATTGCAAGCAGTTGGACAAAGTCGATGCCATGTCGCAAAATTCATTCCGCATGTCCATCGACAAGGACCGATGGCGGTAGCATATCGACTTCCGCGCGATCAACTGTAAAACTGCCCATCTGCTTCCCCAGAGCAGATAGCACCCTGACGTATGGTATCTGCCACAGTGGATGACTTCTCACATACTCCTCAAAAGCATCTTTAATCACCTCAACAATATCACGCCGGTGGTACGAAGCCACCGGTGTCTGCGACACAATCAAGTCCACCTTTTTTAATCTCTGCATACACCCTAGACTCTCCAATCCATACGTCTCAAACATTAAATAGTCATGCACCTCGATGATCATGCGTTGAAGAGCGTCGCGCTCCGCCTCGCCAAGATACGCTAGCTCCGCTTCCCCCAGATGCACCGTGTCCCGCTCGGGTGCAAGGTAAATGCAGGCATGTGGCGACTCTTCCGTACGGAAGTAGGGGACAAACTCCCGTAGGGCTTCCTCACGGGCTTCACGGTTGATCATGAGCTGTACGGGATTGGGATGGTTGGCGCGGAAGCCGCGCGCATAGCGTCGGGAAGTCGGTTTAATGCCCCGATCACAGGTGATGCGAAGGACACGGCTGGTGGGGAGGGAGAGATTCCAGATATGCAGGCGAATCTCAGCTGGCAGCAAGGGGAAGAGGTGAAAATCGGACATCTTGTTACAGCTGACACGTGGTTGAGGTTCCATTCAATCGAACAGCAGTGGGAAAATCATACAGTTGACGTGTGATATTAACAGTATTATTGCCCTCGGTAAGGTCTAATTGGTAATAGAGGATTCGAATGAGTGTTGGATAAATGGCATGTCCAGCTTCGTGGTTGTTTCGAGCCTTCTCAGTTAACACATCGCCTACTAGATTAGAGCCAAGCTAAAAGAACCTTAACGTTAGGCAGTCAAGCGTCCAGTACTTTTGCGGCCAGCCTCCTTCTCCATCCCTGACATGCTTGGGTAAGATGCAAGAAATAACTAACTACTGTGCCTCGCTTGTCGGTAAACATTGTTAAACGTCTGTCCATATTCCGATCAGGCTTGGCAAATCTTCACATCATACCTTACTCCACCAACACATATAGATATTCTGGACCGGGCAAATATCAAATACTGCATCCTTCTTGAGGTCTAATATCTCCACGGACTGGATGCGCTTATCACTGGGCACCTGTCACATGTCTAAGGGAGACACTGTCTCTTATAGCCTTAACTTTGCCTGTATTGCATTCCTCAACGCGCTATCCCAAAGCTGAAAACTTTCAGCTTCTGATGCAGCTTGCCTTTGTCCACCGCATGTGCGTTTTATGGGGTTGCCAGTCTACCTTCATGTGGGAGGCTAGAGCTCTAGGTACTTTTTTCTGAAGTCATTAGGTGAGTTGGATACCCTATGCTACGAATATAGCTTTGCATTCCGGATGAGGTTGAAATTAGGAAAGCTATTCCCGTTATTAGTCTTACTATCGATGTCTCCAATTTGTACCTGTCCTCGAGGATCCTGCCATCAAGGTAAACATGGAGACCACGCCAGGACATGGTCACAGCACGAAATGATGTTTTATTTATCCGCCAGTGTCGGCACAAGGATAGTCTGACATCGAGTGGGGAAGAGAAAGATCCGCCTGGTATTGAATGGGGAAACCAGGCTTGTCGACAGGGAGAGCCACTCAAGTGCCGAAGGTCAAGCATCCCCGTTTCAGCCAAGTCCTTGGCGGTCATCCCGGTCATATTCTCCGGTGACAATATGACTTGCAAAGTGTGGTCATGTTGTGATTTGTGCGAGCGGACGTGAGTAGAAGCAAAGATTACTCCGGACGCCGTGCTTGGCAACGTGGACTACCGCACTCATCACTCTATATCCGCCTATCTTGAGCCAAGCCAGGGCACCTTCATTTGACAACACTGGCTTCAAAGGAGGGCTCCCGTTGCGATTGGAGGGTATGATAAGGAAATAGTTGGGATGGCCTCACGGCTATCCCTACAATTCCACTGTTGACCAGTAGCATAAACTGCACCTAAATTGCACGAGATTTCGGTGCAGTATGGTCCACCAATGACTGTCCCATCTCGGTAGTGTCATTGTGTATTCATGGCTATAAAAACCTCGTAAATCTACACTGGACATTCGTCTTGGAAGACCAGACAATTCGACCCCTATTACCAGTCTCTCACTATGTGGTCAAGCATTGCGGCGCTCCCCGTTCTCCTTCCTGTCGCCTTAGCATGTCTGGGCTACGAGGGAGGAGTCCCTACCCCCACCGCTCATTATTCCAATAGCGCTGTGATTGAGGTTGCGGCGGGACAAGTCTTCGACGCAGGCTGGGCTAAGTACGACCGCGGCTCTGGCGCCTGCACCGGCGATTCCGAGGGCGATTGGAAGGACGCCGTGTTCTACCTCCACTCCGGTGCTACTCTGAAGAACGTCATCATCGGCGCCAACCAGGCTGAGGGGGTGCACTGTGACGGACCATGCACTTTGCAGTTCGTCTGGTTTGAGGATGTTTGCGAAGATGCCATCACCATTGTGAGTATCAAGGCACATATACATATACTGGCCAGAGTCTGATCATGGGGGTGTAGAAAAACGACAAGGCAGGCCAAGAGACTTGGATCATCGGCGGTGGTGCCTATCACGCCTCGGACAAGATTGTCCAGCACAACGGTTGTGGGACTGTCAATGTGAGTGATGATTATTTGTCCCTCACTCAACCAATGCTCAATGGTTGTAGATCATCAACTTCTATGCCGAAGACTACGGCAAAGTCTATCGCTCTTGTGGCAACTGTGACAGCCAATGCAAGCGGAATGTCTATGTTGAGGGCACTACCGCGCGTGATGGCGGCGAAGTAGTCGGCATCAACCTCAACTACGGTGATACGGCCACACTGAAGAATGTGTGTGCCGACGCCGACCATCCTTGTGTCTTTTATGATGGTTGTGCGGGTGACTGCGAGCCAAAGAAGGTCGGATACTGCTCTGGTTAAGGCTCAACCATCCACCGTCGCTCCCACGATGAAGCAATCATCAATCCAGACATGACTTCTTTCACTGAATGCGATCCGCATGGCGTGAAGACATATCTCTTTATCTCTGTGATAAATGTGGTGATTGAGACTATCCCTGCAGCAGACCCCAAATGGTTTCTAGCTTATTATCAAACACGGGGTCAGACCAGACAAGCCGTTTCAACATTTGCCTCCAGCACGAGACCGAATGTATTTTGAATGCTTGAAACAGTAGAAGAAGGCCACTGTGGAAGAATTCCCGATCTGGGATAGCTGTAGCCTCAAGGGCACCCACAGTGAGGAGCCATAACGTCAATTCTGACGGAACTGATGTTGGACTGAGGGCGTCCAGCGAAAGCCGTAACTGCCGCACATGTACTTCTGTCACTACCGGGCTGATACCTGACATCCGTCGAAACTCGGCAAGATATAGCAACGCCCCGGATCGAAGGCTGGAGCATATAGGCCAAGAAGTGTATGCATCATGGCGTAGCGACAAGACCTGATGGGTAAGTGGGTGGATTAACCTATCAACCTCTTCTGGATTTGACCAGATAGAGTTTTGCGGAACTATTTGTGTGTTGGTCCATTGCAACAATTGAAAAGCGGAGACCAAGGGCGCCGGAAGATCCAGATAGTCTAAGCATGGTGACACAGACTTGCAGGGGGGTTGTATATAATCAACGCCCTCATTCATATCTCCTAGGACAGGGACGATGTCAAGTGCGTAGGAACCAATTAGATCCACCCTGTACTTGTTAGACAAGTGCCTCAACGAAGAAGAATTGGGCCAGTTAGTGCGAACCATTTAACGGTGGTGACCAACTTCTCATCCAATGCCTCCAGCGATAAGCCCGACTCCTGAGTAAGTCTTGACACAGCCACCATGTGCGACCTCCACGAAACCATATCTCCTTGCAGATGTGAATAGCATGCCAAGGCAGTAATCGCGCTCAATGTACCCTCCAAGACCTGCTTACTGCCCTGCGACATAGCAGCGATTTCGTTCCGAACCTGCACAAGTGCTTTGGTATGATTCGAGAGTATGAACTGCCTCAAGTCGACTTGCACGTGGCATTGTGAGATATGGGTAGCATAGGTAGCCAGCATTTGGCCAAACGCGGCGGAATTCGTGATGCATATTGGGTACCAACGGTTTTTGTATATCCGAAATTGGCTTGGGATCGCATTTGAGAACACTGGGGCGGAGAGATCGGTTAGTACGACCAGTTGGGACCACAAAGCTGTGAAAAGCAACATACTGTGGTGAAGGAGGCGCTCGGACTCCCTGTCCCACGGCCCGGTCAGGAACGACGCGATATGGGCCGACGTGAGTGGACAGTCTGGACCTTGACGCCTTCCAGATTGAGAGTCAACAGAAGAAGTGCTGAAGGATGAAGCAGATGCTGTCGTATCGCTCAATATGCATGATGATGTCGACGGGCTCTGAAGATATGCTGTGTGAGGATTTCGGCGGGTGTAACCAATCTCGCGCATGACGCGCCGTCGCATCTGAGATCGCTGCTCCTCGGTCGGACGCGGCCGCGTAGGAGTAGTGGTGATGAAGACCCATTCATCACGTTGATATTGGGAGATAGGTGCCATGGCGCATCATGTTGCCTCGGATATGTACATTTTGCCCACTGCTTTCATGGTTGTAAGAGTGAGAGAAGGTGATGAGCAAGTGAGCTTATCTCCACAAAGAACCTAGACTACATCGTTCCCCGCCGCTATAGCGTCATGTGACGTCTGTCCAGTACGCCATGAATTGGACTCGATTCTTCTTTTCCATATTTGTCAAGAATTCCAAGTACATATTTGTGGCAGGAAGGGAACCTCAGAAATATAATGGAATGTTAAAGTGCAGAACGTTGATAGATGGGGCGCTTCTGCCTTGGCAACATGAGGCTATATCAATATATATCTGGCCCCATGTTATACACAGTCACCTTTCCCACAAGCCATATCCTTGCATTTCGGTTACCAGTTTCTTTGGATCAACAGTTCCAAAGACAGAAACGCACCTTCTCGTAAACGAGATGGTATGCTCGGCTCCATCGCGACACCTTCATAAAGCCAGAACGCCTGAAGGGGACGACCTCCAGCTTGAGCGAGGAGGCGCAGAGGTGATGGACCTGAAGAGCGCCTTTGAAGATGTTAAGGCGACTGGCACCTCCTGGGAACTTGCCCCACAAAGGTCTCAAAGTTCTCCTAGATCATACGATACCTTTGAATCTTTGATCGGCGGATATGCTCGAGCTTCTCGGGCATGGACGAGATTTGTTCAGGATCATGTAACCGGAACTTCTGACCTACCAGGGTGGTTCAATGAGGTAATATGAGATGCAGCGAAAGTATTACGAGAATTCGCCTTGGACCGAAAGACATGATTATACGAGACCTGTTCGTCATTCCGGTAATTCCAGTAGCTCTGAGAACGCAATTCGATGGAATGTCGACAAAATGCATTCCAGGTCCCCAATTTGCCAAGCGATCTGACTCCGCAACACCTGTCTAGGAAAGAAGTGGCGGGAGTGTATTGTCTCCTTTCTCTATCTGGAGTGAGAAATAGGTCACAACCCTCTATACAAGCTCGTTGTCGCGTTCCCGGTTGCTCTTCCTGGAGGGTCGATAGTCCTGGAATGTGCAGGCAGCATACACCAAAGCGATACCAAATGCAAGTGCAGATAGTCCTACGGACGTCCACAAAGCAGCACGGTACCCTCTCAGCAGGTCCACGCCGTGATGACTTACTTCCGCCTCCACAGTCCCCGCTATCCCTAAACCGATGGCGATGGAGTAATTTATGACGGTGTTGACTAATGATGCCGAGGCTCCCTGGTGCTTGATGGGTACAGCATCACTCAAGATAGTCGTGGACGCGGGAAAGGAGATATCCATCCTGTGGGGGATATGTTAGCATCGCCCGTGTAGAGCAGGGCGTGGTAGAGCCCTTACCCCCAGGCCATAATGACAAATGACCAGAACGTATTCAACCAGTATGATTGCTCTACTGGGGCCGTGCTCTGCAGGATACATCCACCGAGAAACGCAGCACAAGCAATTGCCATCAGCCAGCCGCTAGAGACAACAATCATCAGATACGGTGTGGCAAGGGCGGCAAGGATCCCTGAGAGGGCTCCCGGTGCGAACTGCACAGCTGAATCCAAAGGCGACACATGTCGGAAATGCTGAATAAACTGAAACAGATAATAGAACCAAACGCCAAAGCTGCTCCACCCTAAGCCGGTCGTCACCAGGACTGCTACCACGCGTCGACTAAATATGGATACGTCCAGAATGGGATCCACGGCGCGCCTTTCCTGGAGAACAAAGAGCCCCAGAATGAGAAACCCAACAATCAACAGCACATACACATAAGCTGTGGACCAGCCGTCGATGGGTGCTTGGTTCCATGAGATATTTAGCAAGAGTAAGCCCGCAACACCCAGAGCAGATCCGATATAGTCAAACTGGACAGTCTTCTGGTAGGATGGATAGTCGTGCGGAATCACCCAAAATCCAGTCGCAGCAATAATGAAGCATCCGCCGCTGTAAGTCCACATCACCCATGGCCACCAGATATACTCCGCAAAGGCCGACCCGATGACCCCAGCGGTAAAACATCCCAGTGGTGCGGCCACAGCAAATGCGGAGAAGATCATATTCTTCTTCTTGCCCGGTGGATAGGTTCTGCCAGCAATAGCGAGGGCATTCGGGAGAAGCAATGCCGGCCCAATGCCCTGGAGTGCTCGGGCGGCATCAAAGAAGACTGGTGAATGTGTAAAGGCGCTGCAGCCGCCAATGACGGACCAGACGCCAAACCACACCCATCCGACGATAAGGATGCGCTTGGAACCATACAGATCTCCGAGCTTCCCTGCTATCAGAACAAATGTGCCCACTGTCAAGCTATAACCGCCAACATGCCAGGTCATCTGCGTGGCGTCGGATGGTCCCTGACCAAAGGTTTGCCCCACGATATGCAAGGGGATGAGGATGTATCCGAAGGAACCTTGAACGAAAAGTTGAGTGGAGCACAAGACGATAATGAAGAGCCATTCCTTCAGCCCATGAGGTGGTGTCTGGTAGACAGCGGACTGCCCAGCCCCTTGTGATGCGTCAGTTGGCGACATCACGGAACAGGTATTGGCCACTGCAAGTGAGAGCAATAAAGACGATCTTCAGAGTATTTCCGAAGCAGAAGCAGAGGCATTGGGATGGCATGGTTTTAAGAAGAGACATGGAAGCCTGCAGAATAGGTGATATCAAGTTTACTACTGGCATTGACGTAGATAATCAATGGTCCCCCGGAATTCCAGAAACGGAAATGTGGGACCATCTACTCAGGCTAAAAGTGGAGCATGACAGGGACCAAGCTCTTGATCTGGCCTAGCGCCCTGACTAAATCCATGGATTTTAGTGGGGATGACAGGGGACCAGGCACCAATTTGGGACTAGCGCTATTTCCATCAAATATTAAATGCCAACTGGTTATCAAGTTCAGTATATACAGCATATAGCGCATCATTACAACCAATCTGATATCATCAACAACGTCAGACCTGGGGTGTCCTAATCGGATGGCTTTTAATAGCTCTCCCCGAATAGGTGCCAGCCTAGACATAAGCTATATGACCTGTATTCTGAATCCCTTGCATGGATTGATTGCACTGATGATTCCCGATGCTAGGCATTTTCAGGGTTCGGCCTACGTGCCATGATTACAAACCTAGTTATGAACCTCTTCTAACAGCTTGTTCCTCATTCTAACCTTTATCATCAACACACTACTATGTACCGACTACTAGAGGCCAACTAGTAGCTCATTTCCAAGGTCCAGGGCCTGTAGGTATACAGTCGAGTCGAGTTACCGCGCCAACTTGCCCAGAAGCGTCTCGCACAACGCCGTCAGAGACCTAGCACCCACAATCTCCAATGCACTAACCTCGATCTCCAACTGCTGACGGACCCAGTTCCTCAACTCCACTGCGACCAGCGAGTCAACTCCGTAATTGCTCAGCGGGCGCGTAGGATCCAACGGCTCCCCAACACCCAAACTGCGCATTAAGACAGGATTCACCAGCTCCACGGCTGCAGCAAGTAAAATGGCATGGTCAGTGTCGCCCGGTGAGCCCTTCTTCAGGAGCGCCAGCTTAGATTTCGATTCGGCGTCGACGCCGCAGCCGCCGGTCTTGGCTGTATTACGGCCGGCTAGGGCGCTGAACCGGTGAACGGGCTCGAAGGGAGTCTCGCCGGGCACAATTGCCGTGATGAGTTGTCCGGTGTGGGATGGGTTCAGACGGTGCGTCTGCTGGAGGATACTGATGCGCAGGATTTGGTGGAGCAGGGCCTCGTGGATGGGGGTCCAGCCGCGAGTTTCGAAAACGCGATTGAGTATGGTACCCTGGTCGTGGTTGGCGAGGTAGCCGACATCGTCGATGGGACCGAGATTGATCGAGCAGGCTGGAAGGCCCTGCTGCAGCCGGTGCGCGGCGAAGGAGTCGAGGAAGGTGTTGCCCGCGGCGTAGTTGGTCTGTCCGAGCTGTCCTACTAAACCACTCACGCTGGAGAGGAGGGTGAAGAAATCCAGGGAGGTCGATTGGTCGAGCGCCGCCTGATGCAGGTTCCAAGTTCCGGCAACTTTGGGTGCGATGGGCTGTCGGAACTCGTCGGGCGTCATGGTCGAGAACATGCGGTCGCGCAGGACCATTGCGCCTTGAATCACGCCGATGACGGGCAACGAGGCGGTGGTAAAGGAACGGCTGACGTCGTCAAGGGACGTGATATCCCCTGTTACCTGATCAACATGGCATCCCAGGCATTGGCAGTCGTAGATTATCTTCTGCGATCGCGCGTCCTCGTACCCGCTGCGACAGATGACAACCAAGTTTCTTGCTCCACGCCGCGCCAGGTAGACTGCGATGCTTCATCCTCCAGTCCTTCATCAACTCCGGTTTGAGCAGACCCCAAGTCGAGTCTGAAGCCCTTGTGACCGTCTTTGGCGGGACGGACACCACGTCCACTGCCCTGAGGAATATTATCTTTTATTTGTTAACCACCCCTCGAGCATACCGCGCACTTCAGTCCGAGATTGACGGTGCTGTAAAGCCTGTGACACGCCCAGTGATCAGAGACGCCGAGGCCAAAGCCCTTCCCTACCTCCAGGCATGCATCAAAGAAGGTCTAAGGATATTCCCACCCAGTATGGGCCTTATGGGCAAGGTGTGTCCGCGTGATGATACGATCTGTGGCATAAGGGTCCCTGCAAACACCCAAGTCGCTTGGTCGGCGCTGGCCATTATGAGGAACCGAACCATATTTGGGAACGATGCAGACGTATATGAGCCGAAACGCTGGATTGACGCACCAGTGGAAAAGAGAAAGGAGATGGATGCCTCGTACGGATTGGTATTTGCGACTGGAACAAGGTGGGAATGCTTGGGAAGCGGCTTGCGTACATAAAGCTGGAAAAGACGATCTTTGAGGTAGGCGCCATCTCCCACGTTAGTGTATCTACCCTGACTCCTCGCTCTAACTGATTTTTTTGCTGCAGCTCTTTCGGCGGTTCGATTTCGCCATGATCGATCCGGTTGTGCCTTTTCGGTGGGCTAACCATGGGCTGACAGCGCATTTTGGTGTGAATGTGAGGATCACGCGGCGGGAAGAACGGGGTGACGTGGGAGTATTTTGACCGTAGTTAGGATATAAATGGCACTATTTACGTAGAACTGAATCATTTATGAATTGATATTGGGATTGATCTCATTGTAAACAAAGCCAGGTCAGGTGACAGGACCGGGGGGTATGTTCCCTCTTTAAAGACGACCTCTCCTCTCCATCCGCTTTCCCTTCTCTCCTTGATCTCTCCATCTAGATATAAACTCCCCGCTCTACTTCGTCCTGACCATGTCCAAGGCTCTAGGACTTGCTAGAGTTTCCTCAACGTCTAATTCCCGCACCGACCCCCCGGCAGCGCTGATGACAATGCCACTCCGGCGCCTGCACCCTCTTCATCCGCGGAGTCTCCGCGTCTCACCACCGCCACCATTGCCTGGACCATGATGTCGCTTTGTCTGTCCGTGCTCCTCTCCGCACTTGACTTAACCATCGTTACCCCTGCAATTCCTGCCATAGTCGGCACGTTCAAGACCGCGGCCGGTTATATTTGGGTGGGAAGCGCTTATACCCTGGCCTACGCAGCCATTACTCCAGTATGGGGCTCCGTCTCCGACATCTGGGGCCGGAAACCTATTATGCTCATTGCGGTCGCCGTCTTTCTTGTCGGCAGTCTTGTGTGCGCCCTTGCGCCGCATATGGATGCTCTGATCGCGGGACGAGCGATTCAGGGATTGGGCGGCTCCGGAATGGGGATCATGGTCAACATTGTTGTCAGCGATATGTTTTCGCTGCGTGATCGGGGGTTGTATCTCGCAATCACTTCGCTTGTTTGGGCGGTTGGCAGCGCCATAGGGCCCGTTCTAGGCGGCGTTTTTACGACGAGACTTAGCTGGAGATGGTGTTTTTGGATTAACTGTGAGGCATTCCATCTAACCTGATGCGCCCTAAGCTTACTCCCTCGACCGTATAGTACCGGTCGGAGCGGTCTCCTTTCTTGTCTTGCTCTTCTTCATGAGAGTCCCGAGTCCTCGAACACCCATCGCCGCCGGTCTAAAAGTCATTGACTGGACAGGCAGCCTTTTGATTGTAGGGGGCTCTCTGATGGTCCTCCTCGCCCTTGACTTTGGTGACGTCGTCTACTCCTGGTCCTCTGAAACGGTCATCTGTCTGTTGGTTTTTGGAACAGCAGTGATGGCGCTTTTTGTACTGAACGAATGGAAGATCGCCAAGAACCCCATTATCCCAGTTTGGCTGTTCACCTCGCCGACCAAGATAGCGCCTTACGTTGTCTTCGCGTGCAATTCATATGTGTTTATTGGACAGGCATATTACCTGCCCTTATATGCGCAGTCCGTCCTTGCCGCAAGCGCGCTCACATCGGGCCTCTACCTCCTCCCGCTCATCGTCTCATGTTCCCTGGCCGCAGCCGCAGCGGGGATCTTCATGCAGCAAACCGGGAAATACCTCCCGGTGATGTACATTGCCCAGGGCTTTTTGGTATTCGGCTCCGGCCTGCTAATCAGTCTCGAGTTTGAAGCCAACATCACCAAACTCATCATCTTCCAAATCCTGGTCGGAATCGGTGTAGGCATGAACATCGAAGCGCCGATTCTTGCTGCTCAGGCTGCGACCAGTGTTCGGGATACGGCGGCCGTCACTGCAACAACGGGGTTTGTTCGGTCTCTCTCGACGGCTATTTCGGTTGTTGTCGGGGTGTGGTGTTTCAGAACGAGATGAATGCGAAGAACGAGGGGTTAGCAAGCCAGCTGGGCTCCAACTCAACTTTAGCCCGCGAATTCAATGGCGACCTTGCCGCTTCGAGTGTGGAGGAGATTAGCACCCTTGGGCTGAATGCAGATCAAGAGGCCTTGGTTAGGAAGACGTACTTTGAGGCGTTGAGAATGGTGTGGATCATGGTAAGTCACTGCAACATAGCAACGGTGGCAGTGCATTTATGCTAATGGTATGTTCCTGTGTGCTATTAGTATGTGGCGTTTGCCGGACTAGCTACCATCCTTAATTTGTTCGTGCGAGCACATAAGCTTCGGAGTGAGAATGAGGGCGCCGTGCTGGGGGCCGACCGGTCACGGCAACAGGGGAGCCCCGCTGATGGGGTCGCAGAATTGGAACTGCGGAATGAACGAGGCGATTAACGTTGGCTGTGGATGCTGACTTGAAAGGGATTCCTTCCTAGTATCCCAAGGGTAACTGGGTCGAAGTCCTCAGTTGCAGCTACGCAAACATCTACGTAGCCTAACCTGGGATTTGGTCAGGTACTGTCCATGCAGATGCATGCAGTACGATGTCTTACGGTCGTATGTACTAGATTTGGTGCCTCTAAGGCATATGTAGTAGATTAAGGCCCGGTTCTCATATTAGATTTTGCCCTGATTCATTCGTATGCAAGATGCTAGAAAATAAATGAAAGAACAAAGGTGGGCTCTTAGAAGCCAATCCGCAGGCTCCCGACTGGTGCACACCGCTGTGTAGGGCGTCCTATCTCTATCTACACGCCGGCGTCCATCTAACCAGTGTGATACATTGATATAACTTTAAGAGTAGCATTTAGTGTGGAAGCCCGGCAGGAGGATATGAGGAAACTAAGTATGGGTCCGATGCCGGTGAGGATGTAAAAGCTCGGAACATAATCATTTATATATCTTTCAAGGAGCTATCCTGATCAGACAACGTGGCCATTTCTCGAGTGAGGTTGTTGGATAGGGCAGCTGCTACTCTGCCTCCCGCACCCCAGCATAGCTACGTAGCTGGATAGTGTAAGTGTAAGGAACTTTGTCCACTGCGCTACTATATGATGTTTATGATCGAGTTGCCAGGCATCTCGCAGTAAATGTCGGCCTTTTGGTGCTGTGGCTGCATTAGAATCCGATAGCTTTCCTAGACATAGGAGTAATAACTGTATAATACCAGAGTGAGGAGAACGAATCAGTACTATCCATGGTTTCCAGACGATGGCAGGCACAGTTCGAGCTATGGCACTGTCTGCGACAGATACCTCCAAAAGTAGGATGCAATAAGGTGAGCAATAGAATAATGGCGGTCTAGCAAGCCGTGACCACGGTTTCAGCTATATCTGAGGGGACACAGAGTACATCTATCAGTGACTAGTCCTGTCCCTGTTCGATACTTGCCATTTCCTGGACCATCTCCTTGGCTATCCTGCGCGTCTTTCGATCTAGGGCAGTGACCAAGCTGATCCATTCAAATCTCTCCTTCCAGAACGCCCAGCGTTCCTTTGACCAACCTTCGGATCCTGTCCACCTCGTTGGAAATTCTCTTCCCAAGGATCCTTCCATTGCATATATTTCTTTTCCGCAATGTCTGATCCACTGTGCTGCGGCAGGTACCCAGCCATTGAGGGTCCTGATATCAATCTCTTCCAGTAGGTGGTCACGGCGCTCACAATACTCCTCGTCATCGTCGTCATTGTCCAGGTCCTCCAGCTCTTGTTCGATATCTTCATGATGGAATTTCTCCCATGGGGCTTTCTCCAGTGTCTTTCTCAAGACCCAGCCACCGTGACGAAGATGACCGACGCTATTGGCACGGATGCCCCGAGCATAGAGCTTGGATGCGAAAGCATTGACATTAACCCAAGCTTGCCGCTTTTCATCGCGTTGGGAGTCATAAAGAGGATGATCGACGTCTGTTTTGTTAGTTTTGAGCTTGTAGCTGATCTTTGAGAAGACGTACAGTCAAAGACAAACTCCGTCATGTACTCACTGAGCCCATCCAGTCGACTAAAGACTCCGTTGCACTCAGTCAGACTCTGCAGTTCCGCAATGAAGTCCACCAGACGGTCATTCTGGTCCGTGAATTTACCGATTGCTGCAAAAAGGAGAGGCCATAGTGATGTGTAGTCGGGGTCTGGGTTCGACTCTTGGATGAAGCCAGACACGGCTTCTCGGGCTGCTGTGGATGGGGGAGTGGAAGAATCCACCAAAAGTGACGTGATTGCTGAGAGCATGTTTGCAGGTGCGGGGTATTTTTCCTGGCTCTGCACCGTGATGAAAGCCTCATATTCAGAATCCATGATGTTTAGATTTTAGAAATGCCGGACGGTTATGTTGATTGTTGTCACAAAGAGGATTCAAAGGGTAGTTCGTTTTAAAATCTTAGTCTTTGGGCTGTGATGGGGTTCTAGTTTAACTAATGGCAATGTGTTATGTGTCAGACAAGGCTGAATTTGCCAAATATTCCTTCAAGGCTTAGCTTTCAGCCAAGAATATTAATACATTATACATAGTACTTTCCACTGGACAGCGAAACAAGCAATGGCCCCCACATTGTCCGACCCTAAAGACACTTAAGACCTGGCGGTGCAGTCTGTGGGTAGTGCACTACTTGATGATGATCATCAACACTAACAAACAATGCAGTGCAGGATCATCGATATTCCAGAGAAACTACTGGTTGACCTGACAGAAAGTTTTAATGGGCTTGAATTGAGGCGGGAGCTAATGGAGAGACGCGGAAACTGAATTCGGGGCAATAGTTGACCTCAAAAGGGCTCTCTACATCCCAAACGAATCCGGTGGGAAAGCCAGCTTAAGGCCTCATTCTATGTTTTCATGTATTCAAACAACTCATATACAACGGCTTCTAGGTTTTTTTCCTGTTTGCTCGACACGAATGCTTGGTTCAAGAACCGTAGTCTTTGCGTTCGCATTCTCCTGCTGCAGGCTCTTGCTTCCCGACTCTGCATGCATCCGAATAAGGCTATTGCTTGGAATTGGGTCTGCGTTCTTTTTCCTCAGCCCCAAGGCTGAAGTGATGAAGATGGGTTGCTGCATATTTGGCCCCTTTTGCCTGAATGCCGTGGATCTTCGCACCAAGAGCATCGAGATGATGACTTTCGACAGATATAAAGGAGTCTCGAAAACCTGCCAAAGCCTGTGTGCACCAACCTGCTACTACACGACTCCCCAGCAAGATCCCAGCGTTTAGAATCATTCTCAAGACCTTTTCCTGTAACTCCAAGATGCCATCGTTCTTTCGTTCTCTGGCTCTCCATGCTCTCTTGGCTGGCGCTCTGGTGGCCCAGGTCACCAATGCCTATCCCCAACCTGCTCTCGTTCGTTCAGAAGATGCAACCGTTCCTCCTCGTGACACCATCACCACCGAACCAGCCTCAATGCTGCCTTCCTTTGGTGAGGCTGATGGTGAGCTGCACAAGCGGTCGAAACCTTTGAAAATCGCCCAAGAACCGAGTAAAAGCTACAGCTGCCCTGCGACCAATAAGTATGGAGGGACCACTTACACCTCTGGACAGCTCAAAGTTGCTTTTATCAGGGCAGCCCAATACGCCAACGATGGCCAACAGATTGGAGACAGTGAGTTTGCAACCAATCCTTGGGAGACAACCTTACTCACTGCTACATAGGAAACTATCCGCATACCTTTGGCAATGGCGAAAATCTTCCCTTCCCCTGCGGCAAGAGCACCATGGAATTCCCCTTGGATCGAGACAATCCGGGCACTGTATACAGCGGTCAGAGTGTGAAGACCTTGCCAGACCGTCTTGTCTTCGAATTCAAGGATGGCAAAAAGGAGGGAAAGGCAAAGTTCTGTGGGGTGATGCGCCATGGAAACAACGGTGATTTTGTCGACTGCCCATAAATCTTATCAGTCTTACCTGGAAGAGACATATTTATCTGTATTGGCCTAATTGATTTCTGATTCATTGCTTTTATCATGCCATATCTCCGCCTTGTATAAAAAAACAGTTTCAATTTATGTTTGGCCAGTAAAATCCAGTGCAATGTCAGTATAAAGCATAATAAGTGTACAGCTGAAAGAACAAGTCCTCCTGAGTGCTGACTCTAAAGACGAACCAAAGGCTCCCTTAAGGTCTCAGCATTAAGCCTTATTACTATGGGGCGGAAAGTATCGGCATCGCTTTCTATTTTTATCCGACATTTTCCGATGATGACTCCCGTGACAAAAAAAGCAACACTCCACGGTGAGCAGACCGTAACAAATCCAACCAGGGAATACACCATGTCTTCCAGAACCAAGACAAAAGTGGCTTGTAAGTCTTGTAATCTTCGCCGAGTCAAATGCGATCGAACCGAGGACAGGGCGTGCATCAACTGTCGAGTGGCTGGACAGGAATGCGAGCCGATCATCTCGCGACGTGGAAAGTATTGACGCCGTTGCCACGCTGGCTATGATTTGAGATACTAAATCTGTCCAGATACGAGCGTTCCAACACTAAAAATCACCGAAGTGGATCAGCTCGTCGAGCTGTTCACTCTCAAGATGGGAACCACCGTAGCCCAACGACTCAACCTCCACTAGCTCGAGCCAGCGCCGGTCCAGATCCCTCACAGTTTGGGACGCCTGGGGAAGAAGCCGGCGAATCTGATCAAGTGCGCAGCCCGCGCTTTATCAACAGGGCCAATAACCCAGGTCGCGGCAAGGAGATGGTGTACTACGGAGACTCGTTCAATCTCAACTACGTCCTACGTGAGATGGGGAATCCGTTCCAAGGCGATTTTGACAGCTCCTCCTTTAAATTTAGCATCGAGGAGTTGTATTTGAACCACTTAGGTCAGCCGACGAAGGATCAGCTCGACGCTCATGAATGCAGCGAGCGCATCCGGTTACAAGAAATAGGCGCATTCCAGCGTCTCGACAAGGAGATCAGCGACGCCCTTATCCAGACGTTTTTCGCTGTAGTGTACCCGCTCTGTCCAATCTTCGATCTTTCAGAGTTCCACACCAAATACAAGGCAGAACAGATCTCCGCGCTTGTGTTGCAGGCGCTGTATTTCGTCGCCGCGGCTCATTGTGAAATGTCATTGATCGAAAAGGCGGGGTTTACCAACCGGTATATGGCTACTTTCACATTCTATCAAAGGGCAAAGGCATTGTACGATGCAAACTATGAATCAGATGCTATTGCTACCGTCCAGGCCTTGTACCTTCTGTCCTACTGGTGGGGTAGCCCTTTGGAACAAAAGGATATGTGGCACTGGACGGGACTCGCTGTTGGCCTTGCACAAACTCTCGGTTTGCACCAGAGGTCAGTTGATATCGCTATTACGTTTAACTTTTCGTCGACTAATTGTTCAAATTCAGTAAGACATATCCGGGCTTACCAGAAAGGCAGCAGAAGTTGTGGAGACGTATTTGGTGGACCGTCTACGTATGTGAGAAGATGACGGACGGAACCCAGCTGACCAGATGCTAGAGTCATGATATCCTTATGGCGCTTACATTGGGTAATACTCCGCACGTCAATGAGGCATATTGTAGCGTGCCCTTGTTGTCTGAGGCAGATATTGACGACGACGAGGAGGACTTGGATGATACGCATCTGTTTGGAAGTTGGACTCAGGAAAGCCGTCTGTGCATTGTTTATCTTGTGGACTTGGCCAAGCGAAGTATATATCTCACGGTCGTCCGCAAACAATGCTAACCTCTTCTAGCTAGTCAGTGTCTTGAAGCCCTCTTCGGTGCCTCCTCGGATGAGTCCAGAATACAAACCAGTCTTGACAGAATTTCTTCATGGCAATCGATCCTTCCCCAAGCCCTACAGCGGAACAGCTCAGCAATCTCCTTGCAAAGTGGCTATTGGACGTCTTTAATCCATCTGACCTACCAGTACGTTACAGTCAATCCGGAATTAGATGAATGATAACTAAACACAGACTGTCAGCACTTGCCAAATCCTCCTTCATCGGAACGGCTTCCATTCCCCAAATAGGCTGAGGATCGGATCACTGCCGTCTGACGTTGCTGTCAATATTGTGCGGATCCTCGAGGACATGATGTCCTCTGGAGTTCTTACCGTGTCGTGCCTACGAACGTATGCTGTTCATCTCTACAGATCCAATGAACAAGAAGCTGACAGATGACAGACTACCGGCTGTATTTGCCTCCCTAAGTGTCCAGATTGCGAACCTTAGTGGAACTTCACCCGATGCAACCGAAATTGCAAAGCATAGAGCGCGCTTCTGCATGCTTGTCCTGAAAACATTGCAAGATCGTTGGACTCCGCTCCTATGGTACTATTCTATGTTCTTGAGGATACTGCACAGAATGGGCTGCGAAGTTCCAGATGGCGGGGGACACAGCAGTAGTTCATCCCATGGTCACTCCGTGGGGGTCTCAAGCGCGGCTGAGCCTCTTCCTGGTAGTCTGTGGACACAACCGCAACGCAACCAGGTTTCGGACGTTTCCAGCGGGTTATTCATGGCGCAAGTCCTGACAGAGGAGGCCGATTATGGTGCAATGATGGAGTGTTTCCCATTCTCCAGCTTCTTGACTGACAGCATCTCTGGACAATCCGACAACCCGTTTGACCAAGCGGGCCCTTAACCATATCCTTATCTCCGGTACCACATCCTCGTCACCTTTGTACCCTTGATCTTCCTCTTCAACTGGAGAACAGCATATAGAAGCGCCTCCGCCGTCGGCGGACAACCAGGCACATAGATATCCACCGGGACCAACCGGTCCACGCCCCGGACAACACTATACGAGTGATGGTAATATCCGCCCCCATTGGCACAACTTCCCATACTGATCACCCACTTCGGGTCGGGCATCTGGTCGTACAGCTGTCGCAGCGCCGGTGCCATCTTGTTGGTCACTGTTCCCGACACGATCATGACATCGGCTTGCCGGGGCGAGGCGCGGAAAATGATTCCCTGTCGGTCTTGGTCATATCGTGGCATTGAGGCGGCCATCATCTCGACGCCGCAGCAGGCGAGGCCGAAGGCGAGGGGCCAGAAGGAGCCTTGGCGGGCCCAATTGATGAGGGAGTCAGTTGTTGTTCTGAGTAGGTTAGTTATGTTGGAGCCGTATGGGGGATGGCAACTGACAGTATATGGTGTAACTTGCCGGCGTTTTCTTCTTTGCTTTGGTTGAACGAAGTTGGAAGCGAGGGGTTGGTTACTGTGTGCTTTTGCCAGCTTGAGGATGCTCGTAACTGGAATTGTAGCACCTTTGCTCTCGGACGGGTATCGATCGCAGAAGTATTTCCATATCGCCCAGATATATCAGGCTTGGAGCATAATGGTCGGAGAGGTGTATATAACCGAGCTCGCATCATATAATGAACGGATGTACCGAGTTAAATTAATAAATTTCTCTATAAGAACAATGTTCATCAAATAAGACCAGCTTCAGAGAGGAGCAGCATAGTATAATATACAATATAATGTCGCCGATATGGCTGTTATCCAGCTAGATTCCAAATCGGCGATATGAGTTCTTGATGGCGGAGGCATATCGCCGACTTGAGACTTCCATCGTAAATCAGACGGACAACAATCCCCGAAAGTGGAGTCAACAACTGAAATTAGATGTCAGAATAGTATTTTCCTGAGGACGAGCCATATGGCATTTGATATTGATACTAGACGGCATTCAATCGATACTAGACGGCATTCAATATCGATACTAGATTATTAGTAGTTAAGAATCATTCTTAAATTATTGAAAATTAGTATAAAGTAGTAGTAATAAAATATATATATATATATATATGTATGTATATTGACCTACTGCATCCGGATTTTGACGATGTCGAAAGGCTGTCCTAGAGTTATCAACATTGTACTCTCTATCTCTCTTCACAGTAAACCTACATACCAATAATTACCTGGATTATCCCTCCTATTGCTCCTACCATAAACTCTTTTCCTATTCCAGGAGCAGTTGCCCCTTCCAATATTGTAGGAGACGTGTGATTCATGTTGGTTGTCAGACAGGTTTTGACCGCGCTGGGAAGGGTATTCAGAGTGACACCTGGTAGGGCTAGGGTGTCATGAGAAGAAGCAAAACAATCTGCAGCGGAAGCTTTGGTGTTTGAACGGACATCACTCGACGGGCTATGCTTACTGTAACAGGCAGATAGCTGAGAAGGGTGAACACTCTGGAATCTTCCATGTCGATCATTAACTGAAGAGAGTGGCACTGCCTCGGGTCCATGGCCTGAAAAAGTCGGTGGAACAAGGAAGCACAATGGGTGTAATGCATAAACAGCTCCGATGGGGTATGCAGAACAAACCCCGTGTGCATGGAATGTTGGGATCCTGAATGGAGGGATCTTATCGTGTGGATGGCCTTAATATTTTCTTTGCTCATCTTGTATGTGATGCTGGTGTAGGAGACTCCATCGTGATTCTAATCTGCATAAAGGGCGCTAGCTTTCCTGTCTCTTCGGACGGCGACCATTTGAGTTGCGATGGCAACATGATGAGAATGGTTGCCTGCATCATGAACTGGTTTCCCGTTGGCGACTTCTCGGTAAGTGACAAAATCCTGTCGATCCGGCGTCATGTGCCAGGTTGCTGCTGTATCAAGGAGCCATGTGTCTGGAGACGGAATAGATGGCACTGAGTTGGCTTGGGCAGGCTTGTCTAAGAGAACAAGTTCCTTGCCTTTGTTTTCCTCTGTGTTGGTTGATTTAGGGGCATTGTGTCTCTCGCGTTCTCGTCGACGACGCGGTGGTGCCTTCTCAGGGTGTTTTATCCAGCAATTCTCTTCCGCGTGTATACCTCGGTTGCAATGGGAACATTTGTTCAATGGGAATTCAACCTTCTGTTCAGATTCACGGTTTGCATGAGGCTGTATACTTCAGTTATGGATCATCCGGCGTCTCCTGGTCGCCAGGGAAATGGCCAGTCGACACAAGGATTCTTCCCACTGCCCGACGGGCCCATGATGACGTTCAATTTCCCCGGCTGGAATCCTGCGGTGATGGATTCTGGCGCCCGGACCTGGCCTCAGGATCTGATCATGAGGTTCTTCTCTACTACGAAAGATATCACGGCTTGGCGGCGGATTATCTTGGGGGTTCTAAGCAGCGGACGGCGCATCGGGTCTCTGTTACTGTCAACCGGGCAGTCAAGCCTTCGCTGGACTTCTCGGCCCAAGCAGAATGCTATCATATTAATGGAGGTTCAGCGGATTTGTACGCTTCCGGTGCTCGTCTGGTCGTTGTCTCTCGGTCAATATCTCCAGCCCCATCTACCAAACTTTCTTCAAAGCCTATTTGGTAAGAAGATGAAAACTTAAATATTGCAATTTCAGCACTAAGTACTCCAGCAAGCAGTAGACAAGATAATCGGCAATGAATAAGCAAGGGTACCATTGAACAGTGAACAAGAATAACATCAGTCGTATCAACATGCGTCCCCATCAACATTACTCAAATCCTTGTGATAAGGTAGCCCCCCAGTTTCCTGGGGCCTGAAGACATGTAACTGAGCCCCCATTCACACGAAGGATCACTTGCCCGGTACATTGACGATTCAGATACGCTGTCAGACGCCACTGGCCACCACCATTGAAGGAGTACTGGGTACAGCCATTACCACTAATGGGTGAACATTCCAGTGCAGAATCCCCCCCTTGACTGGTATCGCCCGCACCGCGACATGCCTGACCAGCGCTATAACAATTGAACGTGTAACTTGCGCGTTTCTCAAGCGAAGATAGAGCGGCATCAGCAGGGTTGGCAGACACGGGCTCAGACGAGACAGCAACTTCGGGATTGACAGAAATGGGAGAGGCAACTGTGACGGGCAGCAGGAACATTGTGGCACAGAGTATGCGCCTCAGACTCGGCCGCGAATTAAGCGATAATTAAGAATTGGGATAGCTTGCGTGTCCAGCCATTGCTGAAATAGATCGTAAAACGAATCTCGGATGCTTGAGTCTGTGGTATTGCAGCGAAAGGAAAGATGCCCTTTGTCCTCGTCAGTCGAGACAAGGGTAATCTCTGAATAGATTTTGCGAAGATGTTCTGTGACATTAGAAACAATCGAGTCTTCAATGGGAACAGGCACAGTGAGTGTGATATGGATCCCGTCTTGTTCTTGTCCTGAGTCCATGCTTTCTCATTAACAGGTAGCGCGCAAGCTATGCTTTTATATTTACCTCCTCTCGCAGTCACAGATGTTTGAAGTAGTTCAGAGTCTCAGAGTAATGAGCTAGATAACAGCGACAGGCATTATATCATGCCATTTTTTCTTGGGCAACATCAGTGGTGTTCAGGCCTGGTGCTTGGAAGACGTCAGTCTCCTGTCGCTTCACCGAATACTGCGCGGCGAAAAGACCACGCTTGCCAGCTATTGGTGTATGAGGCAGCTTATTACTTGCTTGGACCCTTTAGATACTTGGAAACTGGTGCCGTAACCTGGGCGGAGTTCGAGCGAATACTACCTGCCAAGCAATTATTGTCTGGGGTCTTTCCAACTATAGGCAAGGGCTCTCCGGCTCTCCCTCTAAGGTGCACTGCTCTCTCCTTTTCATTATACTTCATCAAGATTTGCGAGTATGTCCATCTAGCGCGGATGGATTGAGGGTTGCGAGACGATTCCCCGTTCTCGAAACTTATCAAGCCAGTCAACAAGTTTAGATAACCGAATATGCTCGATCATTCACTGGGTTCATGGTACACCGTTTTTGAAGCCTTACGCTGCAAAGGTGATTTTCCGTGGCTCTCGACGTAGCGTATAGCGGATGGCATGACCACAAGAATATCCCGTCTCCACAGTCCACAGTGCATACGTGGGGTGCTTTTCCAAGGGCAAGGGAATCTATTTTTAAGGCACTTGCGGCTTTAGCCGCCTCCCCCGCTCGGTGCTTCCGTGCCCCACTTATAGCTGGAGATATAGAAGCATCTCTTTAAAAGGTAATGATTCACAAACATCACCTGACAAAGCTCTAATCTTGCATCAACAGGGCAACTAGCTGGCCATATTGCTTCAAGGTCCGCCATACCCAGGCTCATCCCGGCTGCCGTGCCGCAGAGAATCCGGTTTGGAACACACCCTGGACTAGATAAAGTCCTGTTCTCGAGAGGCTCGGCTATTTTTTTTTTTTTTTCTCTCGCCTACAGCAATCTGTAGACATGCAGGAAACGTGCATTTTCGCAACACGCACATAGAATACGAGTAATTTCTATACTATGTTTCTGTCTCAAGCAGCGAAAATCGTCAGTGAGGCGAGAATCTCGGTTAATCAGGCCCAAACTGCGTTGTAGAACCGCCTGTCTGTTAGAAACGCCAGCCAGAGCCTTGCTTGCAACGTCATGTCCTAATGCATCTCCCCCTCACTCTCGCTCGTAGGCCGAATCTACTGCTCGAATCCAGACATAGGTCTCCGGGCTCCGGTGAGAAACACAAGCGTCGTCATGACAGTGCGCGTCTGGGCCTGCTAATTCCTCACCTCCACATCCCCTCCACCCGTCCCGAAGGAACTGGTCGATCATATGAACCTTACTCCATATACAAGAGGGTGGCCCTTCATCTGGCAGACTGCAGCGCCGACTCTGCAGCTTATTGATGATATGATTGCAAGCAAAGAACTTACCGTAGCCCAAATGGCTGAAGCCGCTAGCTGCCATCAACGCACTATCAGAAGGTTGCGCTCGAGCAAACGGATTTTTGGTACGGTGAAAGCGCCTTTAAGTGGCTGGCCGCGAAGCCTTACTCCAGTGATAATCAAAGTCTTTGTGATTGTCTACTTGAGGAACCACACTTATATCTGGATGAGATGGTGGCGTACATACAAGATATCTTCCAAAAGGAAGTGTCGATGTCCAGCAAGCGACACCGATTTCCACCCCCTCGTCGATGTAAAAGTCGGGCTCAATTTCCTAATGGACTTGCTTGAGATCGAGACAGGTTGCCAGTGTTATGTCACGAGCCTTTTTGATACTGTCTTTAAAAGAATTACTGCTCACCCGGGATAGCTGCCAATTAGAGTAGTTATCCACCGCTTCTTCGAAAAGACCAGCAATCATAGCAGCTCTGAATGAAGCAAGAGAAGAGGGGCTCATGATACGCTTTCGATGGATACCGTCACATAGCGGCGTCACAGGCAACGAATTAGCCGACAAAGCGGCCAAGGAAGCCACAGGATGGCGCCTAGTAGTGGTGTTGTGCGCGGAGTCGATGGTTTCCTATACTAATTAGGGATGATCATAAGGTCTGGTGAGCACAGAGTCTATATTTAATTCCTGTCCACTCCAGAGTCTATGGTCCCCTATATCCTACCTTAGCAGAGTCTATGTTTCCTCCTCTTTTTTTTAATATTTTTATTTTTATTTCTTTTCCCCTTTACTCACTCTCCCTAAGCCACTGACCTAGAGTTGCATGACCGAACTGCTAAAATCAAATCCGACCCTCACCGAACTCGCAGCAGTGAGGGTTTAGTTCCTAGCCTAGGGAATTACACTTAGAGTTGCATTTGGTGCGGGTTGGCACCGAACCGCTGCGGTTTCGGGTTCAAAATTTAAAAATCGCAACCAAATCGAACCCGGTGTGATTCGGTTGCGGTTTAGCTGCAAAAACCCGCCGCTAGGCCTACCTAGGTATAACTAGGCCTATACTAACTAACCATGGTTAGATTCAGTTCGGTTTCAGGTTGGGGAACCGCTAATTTTAACTGCTTTAACCCTTACCATTCCCCCCAGGGCCCCTTCGGGGACTCATCTGACGCCCCCCATCAAGCATGCTTATATAAAATTATGATTTTTATATGAAATATGTGGTAATTATCATCATACTAATCTAGATCTAAAATATAAATTTGATATCTATAGGTTTGATATCTATAGGTTTGAATGGGCGGTGGCTAAAAAATATAATGGTTGTTAATCCTTAGTTATATATATATATATATCTCTGCACCACTTTCATACCAACCTATGACGGAGATGATTATTCCCTTATATCTCAGCAACCACGAGGTATTTTTAAATGATATTTACAGTACTAAATAGCCTTTGGTTCAGGCTATCTAGTGATATTAATATCGATTAAAAATATCTAGAATTTAATGATTTCTAGGTAAAACGGTGCAGGTTGGTTAACTGGTTCAGTTAAAACCGCAAAAACCGTAACCGGCGGTTTTCACCGAACCCGAAGTGATTCCCTAGGCTTGCCCCGACCCCGCACCGCTGCGAGTTCGGTGAGGTTTGCCTGGAAAACAATTTCCATCAAACTGGGTTTCTGCATTGCGTCTCCGGGGACGCACCCGACAAAGCAATCCAGACACTAAAGAGATTCGAGACTGCTGCTACCAACCACCCTATTCTGGGCCCTCATGTCGCGCCATTGAGCGGAAAAGACGATATCCGTCGTTGGTTCTGGCAAGCTGATGGCCATTTGCCGGGATGGAAGGGGTACATCAACAAGTTTGATGGGTATGCCCATTCAGCGAATGCGTTGGCGGCCGTATACAGGGAGACAAAGGCCTCTGGCGTGAATTATGTTCTTGGTAAGCATGGAGCCGTGTCCCAAATCATGTATAAAGATGGCAAAACTATCGGGATCAAGACGAAGGTGGGGCAGTTCCACGCAGCCGAGCTGGTGATCGTTGCCGTTGGCGCAGCAGCCGCCAAGCTCGTCCCTGAAATCGCAACTCAGGTCGTTGCGAAGTCATGGTCCGTTGCACATGTACGTCTCACAGATGAAGAGACCTCTGCATTGCGAGGTATCCCCGTCACCTACACCCGGGATTTGGGATTCTACTTCGAGCCTGATCCCAAGACGAACTTGTTGAAACTGTGTCCCATGGGAGGCGTGTATATCAACACGGACCCGACAACTGGGGTATCCCATGCCCCCGAGTCTCTAGAAGCGAGTGCGTTCATGCCGCATGATGATGAATCCCGAATCCGCCGGCTGCTGGCGCAGACGCTGCCTAAGTTGGCGAAGAGGCCCCTAGTGCGGAAATCCCTATGCTGGTTTGCAGATACAAAGGACTCGGATTTCATCATCGATTATGTGCCGAATACCGCGTCGTCGGTTGTGTTGCTTTCCGGTGACTCTGGGCATGCGTTCAAGATGTTTCCGATTCTGGGGAGCTGGGCGAGAGATTTGCTTCAGGTACCGCATAACAAGCAACCTATTGCCAGATGGCGATGGAAAGAACCAAAGGCAAACCATGCTGGGAACTGGGGTGGTGATGTGAGCTGGAGGCTGGGGCAGTCAAGGGAATTGAAGGACATTCTTCCATGTAGGGTAAAGCTCTAAGTATTCCGCAGCATCAATTAGTTGAGTTTCGCACGCCTCTTTCTGTTATGTCAATAAAGCGCATTCCCTCGTATTAAGAAGCTAAAATTCATCATCATGGTATTGAAGCCCGCTACGACAACCCTTGTTTCCTCTACTCCGTAACGCAAGTACAAATCCAAGCCCCGCACGATGTATCGGGATATGCCCCGATGTAGACACGGGATCACTGCCGACCGAAATACAACGGCCTACAACGTCACAGCTATAAAATGCACCTTTACAACATGGGTCTTTATGGTTGTCCTCCCTCCACGAACTTTCTCTTGGGCACTAACTGTTTTAGGTGAACGAGTTGGCTGTCTCCTCCTGGTTACAGCAACACAAGAGGTAGCCGTTAACTGTCAATCCGTGTTGGAATATCTTCAGCGCTCGGAGATCTCCAACCCGCCTGCATTTGGGGCGCGAATTGCGGAGACTATATTGGCCGATGATACGCTGCGACAAGTATGGTTCGAGGATCTGAAAAGAATGAGCTCTCGGATACAAGCAATGAGGAAGTTGCTCTATAAGCATTTGACTGCTCGTTGTACGCTTCATACTCCGTATATCAACATTCGAAATCTCGGTGTACTGACTACGTCGGATGACTGATACAGCAACACCAGCAACCTGGGATCATATCCTTCAGCAATCCGGTATGTTTGGTTTTCTTGGACTTCCTGCGAACGTTGTAAAGATACTAAAAGGGATGTTTGTGTCGGTCACGGCGTGGAATGAGGTTTTGCTCACACAGTTGGGTTAGATGAGTATCATATCTACATGGCCGAGAACTCGAGAATATCAATCGCGGGCCTGAATTCAGGGAATGTTGAGTACGTGGCGCAATCAATTGCGGAAGTTTTGGCATGAGGACCAAATTGTATTTGAATCGATCTGTTTAGAGCTTGGTTAAATACAGGCTAGCGTGTGACTAGATATTTGTAACTTGACTATGCTGTCTACAGAAGTCATCGCGAGTGCCATCATAGCTTAGACAGTCTTGTGATATCATTATAATACTGAAGCAATCGCATCGCAAGTGTTCACGCTTTTGAAGGCCTTCTCCTTCTTTTATGATAGGTACTTTAGCATATCCCTGGTAATTATGTATTTCTTAAGACACACTGGGCAAAAATCGAGAAATGGATTGGTCTTTGATTGAAAACCAGTGTGGATTGGCTGTGTCTCCTCCGTTTGGCACATTCTTCACACGATTAAGCAATGGCACTGCTGTCTTCAGCCTTCTTTTGTTATACTTTGCATCAAATGGCAGATCTTTCTTCTGATACGGGGGAGATGGATCTGGCAACTACTTGGACATCCCGCATTATACCTGCGGTATACGAGAGAAGTATGCAGAATACCTTGTCAATAAAAATTGTCATGAGTTTTCTCAACGAGAGGGATACAACCACAAACGGAAATACAGATCAAAACATCTGCCGAGAACGATCCGGGTTTCTAGTCTTTGTTTCGTCAATTTGCATATTCGAATGTGGGGACGGTCCGTGTACGGCCCGGTTCATCAGCCAATTCAGCCAAGCAAACTGGTGTGTCCGGCTCACGGCCCGTGAAGCACGACTTGATCACAGTTTTGTCTTCGATAGAGATATAAATGTCAAGATCTGCGCCAGTTTGAGCAATGGAACTCAAAATCAAAGATCATTCAATTTGACTCTACTTCAAACAACGAGAAACATGAACAAGAACGACGGCTTCATCATCGTCGGCGCTGGTGCCTTCGGGCTCTCCACGGCCCTAAGGCTCGCTCAAGATGGATATACATCTGTCACTGTCCTAGATAGATGCATGCCTCCAGTTCCAGATGGGAGTAGTAATGACATCTCCCGCGTCATCCGATTCGACTACGGCGATCCGGTCTACGCTCAAATCGCCAAAGAGGCGTACGACCAGTGGAGGACACCCCAGTACTCCGAGGCGTTTCACCAGGTGCCTTGTCTCTGGGTGTCGCAAGAAGGAACTTTGGAGCAACCTGTGCAGCCCCGTGCGGCGGAGTACAGCCGCAAGACGCGGCAGGTATTGACGGAAATGGGGCAGGAATGGCATGCCGTTTCCAGTGTTGAGGAGGCGAAGAGGCGGTTCCCTGCTTTGAGTGGGAAGTTGGCAACGCCTGGCTTTGACGGGTTTTACAATACTAATGCTGGATGGGCGGACGCGGGTCTAGCTATCCAAAGACTCGCCAGTCGTTGCGTGGCAGCGGGGGTCAGCTTTATTACCGGTCCAAATGGCCATGTCGTCGAGCTTGAGTATGGACGGGATGGAGGGGTTGACGCCGTTCGGACTATCAACGGCAACCGCATCACCGGCGACAGGTTCATTGTTGCCACCGGCGCCTGGACGGCGACTCTCATCCCGTCTTGGAACTCGATGATGGCTACTGGACAGGTTGTTGGATGGCTCCGTCTGACACACGAGGAGATGATTCGGCTTAAGGACCTCCCCATTTACTTCAACTTCTCGACGGGCTTCTTCTGTTTTCCCGTCCATGAAGCCACAGGATACCTGAAAGTTGCGGTCCACGGGTTCGGGTACACGTCGCCACATCCAAAAGCTGTATCTGCACCCCCAAGCTCGGCTGTTTCTGCACGAGCCAACTTCATCCCCGCAGATGGTCTGCAACGACTGTTAGCCGGGCTGAGGGATATCTTGCCCGAACTTGCGGAGCGGGGATTCGAAAAAGTGGGTCTATGTTGGTACAATGACACCCCTACCGGGGACTTTATTTTCGATTATCACCCTGAGCACAAGAACTTGTTCATTGCCACAGGCGGCAGCGGGCAGTAAGTTGGCGCCGAGTATAGCCGCATGCAAAGGATCTGACTGAATCATAGTGCTTTCAAATTCCTCCCTGTCCTTGGGAAGTACATTGTCGGTAGTATCGAGCGGAAGCTTCCGAGCGAACTGCTGGAGAAGTGGGGATTCCCATCACAGTTCCGTGAACGGTTCCGAGATGACGCATTTCAAGGCGATGGCAGCCGTGGAGGGCCTGAGAGACGAGAGATGACACCTCAGGAGCGCGAGGTGTACACCGCTGCTATGGCTGCATCAGTCCGAAATTGTAAAATCTAGAAGGTCAGGAAGAAAATACATATGACCATCGATGCTCGTACATGACGCATAACGTTGATTAGCCTAATGGTGAAATGCTTCTTTGCTTAAAATGAGCCCCGCATATCATGCTCCATTCTTGCACAACGTATGACGTTGTCCAACGACAGTCATCAGAATCATTTCGCACTCCATACGCAAACACGCCGGACGAGAAATACGCACTCACTCTTATGGTATAGGGGGAGGATTACGCTCTGTGGGCCGAGATGTCGAATAGTCAAGGTAGCAGTTGAGAATCATAACTGCTCCGGCAAATAACCTCCAAAGAGCAACCACTCCGCAGCATCAGGCATTGCCAATCCCAGCTCATCAGTATTTGATATCGGCCACTCCGAAGGAAGACAATGCTCAAGAGAGTCTGTAGAGGGTCGAGGCTCTTGAGTTCGTGGTCTTGGAAGATCAACCATTACCTCTCCGACTACATCACGTCCTGTCGATGAAGAATCATCCAGAGGCCACGGCACAGATACTCCTCCCATATGGTGGTCGGGTGAAGAACTCGACGCATCGAATATAGATGCCTTAGCAAAGCTACAGGACGTACCAAAGTCAAGAATATCCCACATCAAACGCTCGTCCTCAGCAGACATGCGAGGTAGATCAGACGAGGCTGGCATGCAGGGAAGAATGCCGGAGAACTCTTCCTGATTATGATACAGTGAACCGTAGTCCTTGCGTCGTTCAGCAATTTCTTTTAACCTATCGGCCTGAAGAAGCATCAGCACTGCTACAATTGCCAATTCGGGTTCACGCACCAAGACTCTCATATTTTCCCAGTACGCCGATAAGCCAGTCACGAATGCCACAAGCGTTTCGTAGTCATTCTTGGCCAGGCGGGCAACTTGCCGCTTTTTACTCTGAGAATGCTCCAACTGGATCGTGGCCGCGATCGCGCAGAGATACCCAATAAATGGGTCGTAGAGCTTGAAGTCCACCTCTTCCATCTCCCGCACAAACCGGGCAATCCATCTGGAATGGATGACGGAGCTCTCGAACGATTTCTGCAGAAAGGTAGAAGGGATGTTTCGCCCGTACTGCCGAAGCTTACTCGTGATGACAAATGGGTGGTGCAGTAATGCCTGTACCGAATGGAAGAGAAATTGAACGCATAGCCAGGTGGACAAGTAAGCACGCGAGTCAGGCTCCTCGCGCGCCCGTCGGCAAAAATCAACATTCATGTAGCGGTGTGTATCCGCGAAGTGCGTTTGAAATTGCATCCAGTCCGACTCGAGACCTGCCCATGTCGAGCCTGACTGCCAGGGTGGGCATCTATCCTCATCAGAAGGCTCGAACACATACTCTGTGAGCTTACCCCAGATAGAGGAAAGCCGAATGAGACACGCCAGAATTCCATCATCTACCTTTTTCCCTAGTTTTCCAGGGCCGTCGTACAGCCTACCACATGAGCCTGAGCATCCACGGTCTGTACCAGACGCATTCGGAGAAGGAAAGGGTAATGTGAAATGCTTGTCGCTCAGGCAGATTGAATAGGTCCGGGAGGCATTGTAATTGCGGTCAAGCATAAAAAACGCCCATGTAATGCGCTTCCAGTCTTCTTGATCAGCTGTAGTCTCAAGCGAGGTGTAGCCATCGCTTCTGTTCAGCCCGACCGACTGTAGCGCTCGAAGTGCAAGGGCGACACTATTGTAACCTCGATCTGACCGACCATCGGAGAGATCTAGTTGCGCCATCAGAAACGTGCCCTGCAGGAAAGGAAGACACAGGCTGCCTGTTCTATACTGATTGACCAGGATGTTCCAAGCCATATTAGTACAATCAGCTGTATTTGGCGCATATGACGGTAAGTCCCCAGAAACTTTGCTGGCCAGTCGAGAGGTAAGGGCGATGAGAGGAAATACCACCTCTGAAGGCAATTTTTCCGCGTCTTTTATCAGCTTATCTCTGGAGAAGACACAATATGGCTGGTCATGAAAGTGATCCAGGTAAACCTCTACCTGAGATCTGATGCATTCCGGCTGAAATGGAGCACTTAAGATTCATCATTCACACAGTTCATCGCAATGGGAATGAAAATCGCCAATGACGTACCATGGCATCCTTTCTCCTGAGCCAAAATTGTCCGTCCTCTCAGATGCTCTGTCCCCGGCACTGCTTGTCGGCAACCTCTCTCTGATTCGGAGTAACATCAGCATGATTGAAGCCAATGATATGATGCGTCTGAACTTGAGGAGAACGTACTGAAGAAGGGTCGTGATCGCATCCAGCCTCTGTTCGATACGCCGGAACTGCTGAGCATTTGGCGCATTTCCTGGTAGCACGTCATCTGGGGTGCGCGGTTGGTTGAGCCCTAAGGGAGCTCCTGATGCTGCACCATTGACTGCCCGCCGCGCGTTGTATGAACAGCGCTGACCAAGTCTCTGACATAATGAGCAAGTCGGCCTCTCGCCTGGACAACGAGCCTTTTTTCGACTTGACGCAGATATTGCAAGTTAGTTGCCTGCTTCATGGAATTGATAGAATCACGTGCATAGGTGTTAACAGCCTAAATTGCCCCTCATTAGGTATAGAGATACATACCGGCATGGTGCGCATGCTTGACGTGTACGTTGTACTGATACTTTATGGACAGTAAGGTTGTCATTTGCGGCATTCATTACGAAAGGAAGTTACAATGGAAGGTGCAGATTGTCGTCAATAGGGAGGAAATCTTAGAGCCACCATGAAGAAAATCACATAGCGATGATTTTCAGAGCACGTGAGCAGATACCTTGACCAATCAACATCCTCCATAATTGGGTAGGCAAGCGGGCCCGCAGCTGAGCGGGCCACCTCATGCGTTTCCTCGCGCTCTCAAGAGATCGGAGGCAGTTCAAAACCTTCACTATGCCACTAAAACCATCTATAAATTTACAAAATTCAGTTGAGCAAGAAGGAGGATAATTCTTTCTATATCAGCCCTTAAAAAGCAAGAGATTTGCAAAGTCCTCCGTTGGACTTCTCTACGGACATGCTTGAAGAGATCGAAAGGGACAGTGCGGGTGGTGCAACATCCCATCATGCTGATGCGAGAGGCACAGGATATGATCAGTACGCAACATTTTCAGGTGCAGGGAGTGGTAAGCCATGAGCAATCTACCAAGGCCAGAGAGGAGTTCAAACGGAAGTACAGGCGAAACACTGAGGACCTGCGTGAACTAAAAGGCGCATGGCCATTTGATTAGTCTCTTGTTTCTGAAGAACCTGGAAAGTTTGTGTTCTGGTCACAGCTTCTCTTGAAGGGATCCTTCCTATATGCCCAACCCAAATGATTGACGATTGGGTTGTTTGCAAATACTGTATTGCATCCCATCTCCTTTTTGGGCGATGCTAAGTACGGAAAGTTCCTATATGATTGACACGGCCATGGATACTCGGTCATCCACTTTGATAAATTACGTCTCTAGGGGATTCATCTGCATCCACAGCTGACCCCCGTCGGTGTTTACTGGTCTTGCTAAATCGCTCGCTTGTATGCTAAACCGGCTCCCTGAAAGACATACTCTGCGATATCCAAGTCTTCTGGAGCAGTGGTTCATTCATTAGTATTCGTTCCCATTGAAAGGCCGAATCCAACCCCTAACACAGCTAAGAATCTGGCAATTTGACAGTTTGGAGCACTTCGCTCTGACAAGCCCTGAGCTTTAATGGAATAACCAGTGAGCTTCTGAACTCGCTCCTACTGGGAAACTCGGCAGTGTTTCTTCACATATATCGTCATGCGCGAAAAGTTATCATCATGGTCTTCGGGAACGGAAACTGATCATAGCACGTTCGGATCATCTCTCTGACGCGAGGGGAGTCTGGGTCGGTGCTGTTGCCAATATTAACCAAACAAGACCATCATAGACGCGAAGGACACGTACAGGGCATGTTCCGGATCTTCCTCTTTGACAGTACACCAGATGAGAATCGACGGACGGGCAATGTCCGCAACAATCTCCTTGACACAAATGTTGGGGTTGCAGGAAAACACGAGGGAGGCATCGTCCATTTCCAGGAAGCCCTCCGGATCCTCGAGCACCTTGATATCCGATTGCTCAAGAACCAGCCTATCTGTCTTGGAATATCCCGGGTCCTGCACGTAACATGCGACCTCGCTGGTACCTAAATTGTATTCCTGCAGAAAGCTCTTTATCGTTAAGAGGAGTGCATGTTGAACGGCTGATCTTCTAGATCCGCAGCGCTCCAATGTCGGGGTGAAAGACCCGCATGCCATACCTATCACCTTGGCGATCTTGGTATTAAGATTCAACGACGAGAGGGTGGATTTGATGTCTCTCCATGGTTCGCTCCCTTCCCAGCCCCGCAAGGTAGTGTCCAGGAATTCCAGTCCTGAATTAAGATCCCCCAGGGGTTCAGGCTCAGGCTCTTGGCCGACGCGAGTCATCCAGTGTTGTATTGCCACGCTGCAATACGCCTGGGACAGACTGTATTCCAGCAAATCTTTGAGCCCTGTAAATGAGCGATAGGAAATGTGCGGGGTGGTCCTTGGAACATATCGTGGAATTAGCCAAAAATTTCCTTTCTCGCGTTGTCAAAAAATGGATAGAAAAGAGATGTTTATTCTCACAGCACCCATTGCACCCGTTTCTCCTCTCCCATGTCATCGTCGGGCTCCCAAAGCGGTTTTATGTCGCCGGTTTTCACAGGCCATTCGTAGATCGACCCATCGAACGCTTTCACGTAAATGGAGTCGCCCTTTTTGAGGGGCTTCCGCAGCTGGTCGCGCACATCCTGGAGGGAATGGCGGGGAAAGAGCGGTCGTCCTGCTTGATACCACTGGTCGATGTTGGCGACGGCTTCGGATTCAGTGGGTTCCCACTCATCCGCGTCTTTTCCATCGCGAAGGGGGGATCGATCCAGGTGTGCATGTTGAGTGTTGCAACGGGCTGCGTGGACGAGTTGGACAGTTGAAGATGACGAGGAGCTGCTCAAGTCGCGTGTTACCCCGCATGCTGGCTTCCATGCAGTACAAGTATACCGGCTGACCCAATCCGCACATCCATATCAACCCACGCAATCTGCACACTGGATTGGATTTCGGTTGGCCCTGGTCTAACCCATATCTAAATATGTTAAACATACCCGATATGCATGGCTATCAATAACCCATCAAAAGCATGTGAGAGTGACTCATGGGCTCTTAGAACTAATAAGCTTAACTAACCTTAATCTAGACCTACGCCTAGAGAAGGATATATATATATATATCTATATATATAGATAGATAGGTAGGTAGATAATAGCGCGGCTAATAGCTCATGGCATCCATCAATAAATCGATACGTATATATATGTGCGTGTATATATATATATATATACATTCATATACTTACTGTTGCACGCTCTCTGGATGGTGGCTGGTACACCGGGGCGCACGTCACACCCGCTGTGGTAGAGCTCTCTGCAGCATAGGGTACAAATTTCCTCCCTCTTTGCAGGACGCGAATGGGCACTCATTGCAGCTGACGGCCATGCTTTCTGGGGGAATAGCGAGAGCCGAAGTGATTTTGTCATTGTTAACATTGAAGTAGCTTCTTCTCTTTCCTGTTTGCGCCTTAGGGAGAGAGGGCCAAGTCTGTGTGTGGCCCTTGTTTGCCTCCCTTGCTGGAGGACCCGGGCGAGTAGAGACCCTTGATTGGGAGAATATTGTTCATTACGATGACCAACAAGAGTTCCTTAATTGTCATCAGAGTTCGTCCTGGTAATATGGCGGACCCAAGGGGGCTCCCATTTGTAGTCCTTGCCTATCCTTCCATGGACCAGCATGGATGCTCATTCAGGATGCAATCGTCCACACAGCTGATGTCTGACGCTTCAACCACCTCCCCACGGTAGGAACGTATCATCCGGCCACACTCATCGTAGAAGACAATAAGAAGCTGTGGGATGCGCAGGAAGATTCTCTACCAGTCGGCCCCAAAGCCGTATATTGCGGGATTATCCAGAATGTTTACTTTACGCCCCAACTGGCGCTTCAGCCTGCTAACTATACTGGAAAAGGCAGCTTCTCTTGAGGGCTCATAACACGTGCGGAGCCAGGGCACCCCTTCACGAAAACGTTCGGTTGCCGGCCGGCGCACACGGTTCAGTAACCATCGCTCCTCCGCGTCAAATTCGACCAACGGGGGACCACGCTGTCTTAGTATGATCTTTGTAAGGCTAGCCCCTGGGCGGTGGTCCGTTAGTGTATCTAATTCCGTCGTCCAGGGGTTGATAAATGGAGACAGAGAAGAATGGGTCAGTACCTGCTGACCGTTGACGCCGAGGGTCAGAAATTCGGCAAAAATCTTCTCCCGCTGGACCTCGGGAGAAACGGGAGAATCTTCCTGCCATCGTTCCTAAGGGAAGTGAGTGCAGGCTTCAATAAACAATTTCTTTTGACTCACCAACAGGAACATGTCGGCAGCTGAGATGAATGGATCCTCCATACCCTGCATTTGATCCATGTGGTCCGGAGGAGGGAACGGGGTAGGAGACTCGATGGTTGTCGATGTGGGATGTTGGCAGAGGGGAGGGATCACGGATGGGAGCTAAATGCATCCCCTAATCTCAGGCACGACAAACGATTTATTCGGTTCCTGGTGGGGCTGTCCCTGTGGGCCTTGGTTGACAGTTGCCTAGCTCTGTTGAAGCTCCGTGGCTCATCTTGGCCCTCTTCCAATCAAAACAGCCTCAATTAAATGCTGGGTTTTGTAGTGATGTATGCATAGTAGATCTAAACACGTAGTGGATAGGTATGTCAAGACCTTGCTACCTTATTCATGCTCTAATGTTCCATGTGAGTAGCTACTATGATACCCATCTTCAGTATGGGATTATATAAGAGGCTTACCCTCTCTATAGTGGGAGGAGATCATAACTATAACTGGTTTGCCTTTCATATCTGCTTGGATGGTTGACAGTTACTAGATCACGGCCCATTAGTCGAGCCTCCACCAAACCATACCAGGCATTATGTAGCAATTAAGAGAGTAATTGCCATATATATCGTTAGATATCACATATAACATATCATTCCTTGGAGAGCCTGGCTTTCTTACCCCTTAGCCTCTGTGCATTTCCACTGGTGTGCCGTAATTCCGAAGGCATTTACACAGACATCACATTATTACCAAAACTGGTAGGTTACGCCGAGCCACAATAACCTGGCACTACTGCTACCAAATTCTATAATATAGAGGCTTTGTGACTCCAGTGAGCTAGTGGCAACTGTATATATGGTCCTCAAATACAACATACACTACATATGGGTAGTCGCCTTCTATTCATGGACTTGCAGAGGCCCGGTCAATTAGTCGAATCCCGTAGCAGGAATAACCCTCGAGATGCGATTGTCGATGCAAATCATACGAGTTTGCGCATTGACTAGCAATCGGCCGTTGCCTACCAGGGTCATATTCTCCTGTTCTGACAGTAAAACACTCACCGCTGAAGCCGAATGAAACGCTCTCCATATCAGTGCCTGGTTAAAGATCTTCGGCAACGTCTCATTGAGCTCGATGACTCCCGTGTATCCCATACTGATCTTCTGGCTTCGTTGGTCCTGGCAACATTGTCAGTTTACTATTGACGGGGCGTCAAATGCGACAGTGGCAATGGTCTTCATGCGGAGTCTGCCATTTATATTTCGGCCGAACTCTGTTTTTTTGAAGACCAACCCAGATGGTCACTGTCGAGGAGACCGTGTCAGGTTCGTGCAGAACGTGGAGAAGGGCTGCATCTGTCGAAGGGAATGTTAGGCGGCTTCGAAGTCGCCCATATCCCGTGCGACGTCTCCGGCGACATCATTAGAAGATGTTGGAAAGACGCTGATTAACCTGGGCCTTTGAACCGACTGAATTGATCAAGGCAGTGTACTCGGACAAGACGGCCGGCGCCTACCTCGTTGACATTTAAGCAATCGGCTGAGGTGGTGGTGGCCAAGCATCACGCGTTTCTTTCTGGCAACTGATAGCAGAACAGGAGGCAATTTGCGTGAATAGTAGTATTGAGTTATCACCTGTATTCGGATTATATATATTAATATCTAACTACTCTACGTGGAATGGACCGGACGACCTATTTCCCTTGCCCCGTGCTTATATATTCTAGATAATAGGAGTGATCCCAACAAGAATACTGCAGAATACCATGTAATAGGAAATTGGGTAATTTAGTTAGGCATCATAGGAGAGTCCCCGAAAATCTACCTTTAAAACCATTCCTTCTGTTTCTCAGACTATATATTCCTGTATGCACTTAACACCACTCAGTAGTTGTGCTGCCCGTAGTACCCGTATTATAAGACTACAGAGACATCGGATCGGCCAATTTGCTGACAGATGCAAGTACTACTCTGCAGATAATTTTGCTGTCCATTTAGTGTTAAACATCAGTTTTTAAGCACTAATAGCACTAACCTAGTAAAAATTAGTAATGAGTTGTCAGTCATAAATCTTGAATATGTAGCATGTGCTGTGTGACTTGGCATCATCATGGTTTGGCAAAATTCAGTGCAGAGAATCCATGTCCCATGTTACACCGTCCATGGATGGTGCCTAATTTATCCGAAGAAGCGACTTCTAACAAAGTACCAAAATCTGACAAAGGAAAAGGGCCAGACTCCAGGCCCAACAAAGCAAAAAAGCCGCGGGGAGCGAAACCGTGATTTGTGGAGATCAAATTCAAGTCTGACCTTGGCCTTTGACTCCCTCTCTCATGCTGACCTTACCAATGATGTGTCACTCTCTAAGGGGTACACATTTCGAATAATGAGCACTCCGATCCGGCGCCGAAACGGTCGCAAGGCCGCCTGTGAGGTCTGTCGAAGGCGCAAATTAGCCTGTGACCACAGTTACCCAACATGCCAGCGATGTCAAAAACTCTCGATGAAGTGCGTCTATTTTGAGCGTTCCTTGGCAGACACAAGAGTAGATAAGGTTACCGAAGACGTAGGACAGTCGTCCAGCCCGTCCAGGGACCCGGTCCATGCGCCATATGCGTTGGAGACTCGGCGTGTTCCACAACAGACCACACCCGTGATCGACACCCCCACGGAGTATCTGGGTCCGACAAGCTTTACGTCAGTTTTTATGGAGCATGGTGAGCGGTTTGAGTTGGAGCATGCAGTCAGCGCTTCAGGGAGTCAGGCGGACCGTGTCACTGATCCTCATTTGTGTTCGACCCCGCAAACAACGTCCGCTGTGGACAGGCAGCGGCTGCAGCTCGGTGCTGAAGTTCTACAACAGATAACCCGGGAGTGTGATTGTTCAATTCTTTTCTCGAAGCATGTCAACCCAAATGATGGCTGGATTCGACTAGCCGCCCATCACGCGTCAGAGAGGATGTGGGATGCATTCCGCCCGGCCCTAACACGACGGTCGACTGACGACTTGCTGACTCTCGCTGCTCATATTTCGGCAAATAGCAAGGCAACGTTGAAGGAGGAGCAAGATCCTCAAGCCTGGCTGGCATCATTTACCGGGAGACAGATGCGGTGGGAAACCCTCGGCATCTTGTACACCTACTGGGCGTTCGGAGCGATATCCTCGTCCCCGGAGCGCGAGCCGGTCTCCCGGTACTGTCGGGAGCATCCATCTGTCATGGGGCCGAAAGAGTTGATGGCCCACCTAAAGCATTATGCGTCCTTGTGCAGCGATCTGTGCCGGCAGCTTGGCTCAGTCCACGTCCTGTTTGTGTATCTGCTCTACAAGCACAATATCTTAGAAGGTATTCTGAACGGTGATAAAAGTATGTAGCTCGACGGTGCGCCAGAGTAAATGGCGAGATACTAACTAAACAGGTCTCTCATGTTGGATGCAGCACGGCGAGCTCGTTGCAGTCACCACGTCTATAGGATTACGCCGAGAGGTCACAGCTGCGTCAAAGCAGCCGACACTACAGCGCGAAATGAAAAGGAGGGTTTTCGCTGCAGTCTTCAACATCGACAAGGTCATATCAACTTTCACCGGCAGACCGCCAATGCTGAGTCAAGCATGTTCGTCGACTTGTCTTCCACTGGACTTGAGCGATGAGGCGCTATTGTCGGGCGATCTTCTGGCTGCAGCCGCTGAGCTGGACTCGAATGGATGGAACAAATACCGCCGAATTTACTCCACGACGATTCTGCGGTCCCGTACAATGTTCGCACGGATCCGACATGAGATACTGGAGCTTGTGCAAGCTTCGTTGGATGCACCGTCAGAACAGTTGGTAGAACGAGCCATGTGCGTCTTCCTCGCTGAGCCCATATGATACTAAACGTCATACAGGAAGCTGAAGCAGAGCACACATGATACATACATGCAGCTGCCGGAGTCGATCATATTCTCCTCGAGTAAGGTAGACAGTGGAGACATTCCAGGGTATGACCTCTACGCACAAATACTCACCAAACTTGAGTCTCTCCTCAATCTATTCCTGCTGGAACGCCTCTTGACGAGTCAGAAGACAAACGCCACACAGGACTTGATCAATGTAAGCCAGCGGATGCTAGAACTGACCTTGATATTCTGGAAGAAAAAGGACCGCTTCGTTGGTCTCTACAGTGATTTTGAGTGGCTGGCATGTCCTCCACCTGTTCCTGCACTACATGGGTAACATGCTGACGAAGGCAGGCAATGTCGTACGCCGTTCCCCCCAGTGGGATTCTCTGCCTCGAACTGCTGCGACCTGAATATATCCTACACATCCCACGCTCGGACATCATCCAGAACCTCAGTTTACTTGTTGCGAACCTCGAATGGATCCAGCCTTTGGCATCTTGCGGAGATACGGTTTCGTTTATTCGGAGTATATAGGATAAGGAACCTACTTATTTAAACTTTTACTAAGTAACCCTTTACTCCATTCTATTATCCTTATTCTAGTCTCTTATAATCCCTAATCATTCCTTTATTAAATTTGAAAATGCTCTTCTCTACTCTATTATTATCTATAGATACTCTTTAAGAATTTGATATATAGTTAGATATATAATCTTTATTTAAGGCCTAAACCCACTAATCTATAATTAGGCCAAGTTCTTCTATCTCTTAGTTAATTCCTGATAATACTTCTAAGGCTATACCTATTAAGATTATAGCCTTTTCCTCTAGTTAATCTCCTCAGATCCCTTCTATGCTTGAGCAAGCCCCTGGCAGAAAATAATATTATTAAGTAGTCTTTTATCCTATAAATACTAAGCTGCGTGTAGACTTCTATAGTTAGTAGAATAAGACACCTTATGTAAAAGATTGCAAAGTAAAGGATATTAAGCTAAAATAGTTAGGAGGGCAAGTATAAGTATAGGATTATTTTATAGAGATTATAAGTATTTCTTCTATTAATCCCTTACTTTATTACTTAACTCCTAGTTATGGAGCTCTATTTGCCTATCTAAACTTTCCTAAGTAAAATAGAATAACTAATCTATACTATTATCTAAAGAGGCATGAAGGTTTTTAAGATAATAGATAATTAGAAGGAA